TCAAGGTTAGTCTTCAGTGATTTGTCCACTAAAGTGTTTTCCCGTTTTGATCCTTGTTTTTACTTGTACTTGAATTTATGAGCCTTTGTCAGATGTAAGTTTTTCATAGGTGGTCGTGTTTGTGATGTTAGAACTGACCTTGTGGTACATTAGTCTCCTTGAAGTTCCTGTTTGGGTTTCTTAACCAGAGTTTTAGTTTTTCATTGGTTTGTACCCTCTTGCCGCCATCACAACCATGTAGGTTCTGTTATATCAAAACATTACCCACACCGAGTCCACCTTGATTATAATCCTACGGTCGGTTAATTCAAACATGACCGGCCGTTTGATTATAAAAACGGCGGCTATTTGACTACAATCCTGCACAAAATAAAATGGAACAGCAAACCCCCATCCCCCCCAAATCAAGGATGAAGCCGCGCGAAGGGCAAAAACGCGCCATTTTCCCATCCTTGATTTGGGGGGGGGGGGTCTAGGTTTTCCATTTATTTTGTCCAAGATTGTAGCTAGTTGGAGAGGAGAGTTAGAAGACCTTGGATTGAGTGAAAGAGTTAGAAGAGTAAAAAAGGTAAAGATTGTTAGCAGAAGTCCAAGAAGAATAGAGACCAAGATGTAAATTCCATCGTGTACCGAGCGAGTTGCTCGAACATACCCCCAAGAAACCTATTTAGTGTTAATATATACATTGCTTTATTTTTCAGTCTTGTCCTAATCATGGGCATAAATTGCAGCCATCTGGGTGCCAAGAGATAAATGCAGGTGTTTCTGTTGGAGAAATAATAATCATGTAATGTGATTCGTTGATTAAGATCATATGACACTCTTTAGGGGATTACACGTGCACTTCGATTGCGTAATCTCATGATTTATTCTCTCGTAGGCTCGATTACCAGCCGCTGTTCGGGAAAATGAGCCCGCACTCATCCCACTTCATTCATTCATTCATTCCCACTCATCTCTCTTCGGGGAGGATCAAAGACCAGATCCGGGAGACGGCGGAAATCGAGCGTAATTCTCTCGCCGTGTGGCTTATGTTATTCAGTTCTAGTTGTAACCTTCTTTCGGTTCGGATTAAAGATGAATTCTTAATAGTTTCAACGATGGCTTTTTATTACGGTTTTTGCTCCTACCCGCCTAGACTAGCCCTGCTATTTACGGTATGGCAGTTTGTAAATTTTCACTTTTTAATAGCCTACATAACAGGCCTTTTTTCGGTGTGTTTTTCGTTATGTGTTTCGTAAAGTTGGAGATATAGCTGCGCAAACAGTGAACCGAGGAGAATGGGGGATCGAGGGAGCGAGAGAAAGAGGGTAGAGATAAAAACCGCGGTTTATCTTTCTGTCTTCTTTCCTGCGCTCCCTCCCCAATCGTTTGCTCGTTTGACCTCAGTTCAGCTTTCGCGCGACTGTATGGTTTTCTTTACGTAACCTAAAGGGAAGCTTTTAAAGTTGAAATAAACTTGGTCTTATAATAGGCCTTTAATCCCAAGATCGCTGTGTTATGGTCACAAAGAAACCTAGGTCACCCTCCTCTATCTATAACCGGTCATACAGTCAAATTCAAATTGCCTGCACTGAGTGTCCCAGCTGCGATGCAGTCGATCAGGAGCCCTCTGAGTCGACGCAGTTTGGACATCTCTCTTGGTTTGGAGAGGTAAAAAGGTAAAGGCGCACATGAGCCAAAGGCCCAAACTGCCAGAGCTTATCCCGGTTTCATTAGCATGAAGCACCTAAGAGTACTGCTGCTCCTCCCTGGACGGGATGCTAGTTTATCGCAGGGTTACCCCCCACCAGTATGTCGCCGGTACCATTCACCTGGGTGAAGAGAGGCAAAGTGGAGTTAAGTTCCTTGTCTAAGGAAACACGCGACGAGCGATGTTTATCTGTTATACAATGTTATACAATGTAGCCTCATTCTCAGTCTGGTTCCCATTTTCTGGTGGAAAAGATCTGGGAACGAGTGGTGCCGGATCCGTCACAGTTGTAGACCTGGATCAGTACAATTGACCACTCTAGAAAATACCATAACATACCATAATACTCTTTGTTGGTCACTCCAAAATTTTGCATAAGCATTGTTTCCAGTTTCTCTTGGGCCATTTTAACTCCCAAGAGAAACTAAAGACAACGCTCATGCAAAATTTTGGAGTGACTAATAAAGAGTATTATGGTAGGTTATGGTATTCTCTGGAGTTTTCAATAACCAGTGGCGGATCTATGGGATGATAATATTTGGATTTGCGGATAGAAGTGGAATTTAGCCTATGTTAACACGAAAACAAAGGATTTTTCACAGAGGTTTTTTATCAACTGAGTGATAGAGTAAATTTACAAACGCAAAGAGATTCAAAAGCTGACCTTTTGAGCACTAGTCAGGGGCGTAGCCAGGATATTTCAGAGTTACGCACATTTCTCCAAATGCCCCTGCCCCCCTTTAATATGCCCAAAGGTGAAGTTTGTAAGCCTAAGCGTTTTTACGGTACGTGAAATGACATAACTAAGTAAATTGTAAAATTTTTTGTGGCCTTTTTGGGTTCATTGACTGAAGCACGTCAATCGCTTTTCATAACTTAAGGCTACGTTTACAAACATAGATACCCCCCTTTAATATGCCCAAAGGTGAAGTTTGTAAGCCTAAGCGTTTTTACGGTACGTGAAATGACGTAACTAAGTAAATTGTAAAATTTTTTGTGGCCTTTTTGGGTTCATTGACTGAAGCACGTCAATAGCTTTTCATAACTTAAGGCTACGTTTACAAACATAGATGCCCCCCCTTTAATATGCCAATAGGTGAAGTTTGTAAGCCTAAGCGTTTTTACTGTATGTGAAATGACGTAACTAAGTAAATCGTAAAATTTTTTGTGGCCTTTTTGGGTTCACTGACTGAAGCACGTCAATCGCTTTTCAAAACTTTGAACATAGATGCTTGAATCCAAAAAATGATAACAATAATAAATCCGGGTTTGGTCAAGTCTCCAGAGATTTTGAATCCGAAATCGGAAATAAATACTTTGCATCTTTTGTAGAATAAACAACTCTTCCAGCGAATCATCATAATTTTCCTCCTTCGATCATAAGAGTTTTAGTAAAGATAAAATGGAAGTGACACTTTCATTAGGAATATAAAGTGCATTAAAAGTAATATAACGACGGTGAGGTTGGCAAACACGTCACTGTTCAAACGAATTCTCGTGTTTTGAAACTTTTCCGCATTTATTCCAATTTGCTCCAAATTTGCTTTAAAAGTAACCACGGTGAGGTTGGCAAACGCGTCACTGTTAAAACGAATTCTCGTGTTTTGAAACTTTTCTGCATTTATTCTAATTTGCTCAAAATGGCAAATATCGGTGTATTTCACTGGAGTTGCACCCTTAGAGACCGCACCCAAGCTTGAACGGAGAAAGAAAAATTCGCCATCATACTCCAAACGTCGCGTAAGAAAATTTTACGTCGCGGCGTGCAGGGACTTCACAGAAATGTACCAAAAAGCGTGCAAAATTTATTGTTTAACTTGAAACCTTTTGCTTTTTGACGTTTTTCTCGTTGCCATAGCGCCGTTGTCGTTACCAAAGCCACCCAGTTTTATCGATGTGTGTAAACTGTTGGGAGTCCGAATGTGAATGTTTTTAGTATGAACGCTTGCGACATGATCCGAATACCCTCAATGTAATTATCCGGAATCCTGATTCCGAAACATTTCGGTATGAATCCTTTAGTGCAATCTTAGCGCCTACACCAACAGTCTGGTGGTATCTTAGACTTTTATTTGCAAATGAGTGATTCTTTTACCGCTATTTGCCACGGTATTTTTGACCGACGAAGTTCATGTAATTGTGCCCTACTTTGTCCAGAGGGAAGACAGACCGAAATGAAAACAACGCGTTTACGCTTTATACCATCCAGCCTTGCTATTTGCCCTTTTCCTGCCGTTTCTCCAAATTTATCATTGAAGATTCGGTCCACCAATGAATCACGTCTCTTTTCTAGAAGCTGACATTCGATTGTATAAAAAGAAAAATCAAACTGACAGTCCGTTGTTAACCAAACTGTGCTCTTAAAATAATTATCATGATCTTATATCTATCCTATCCTTTCTTTTTTTTTCACCATTCGCTTTTGAACTCTTATTTTTTTATTATTTTTAACCCTCGACTTTTTTAGGTGCGCACGTGCGTACAGGCCGCTACACCCCTGCTACCTATTAACGCTCTGAGAGCATCTAGTACCGGGGACTGACCCAGGCTCACCCAGCCCGCACCGCGTGAATAAAGGGAGAAAATCGGCGCGCGAGAAACCCCTTTTGGCCTCGCGCGCGTTTGATATTTCGGGAATTCGAATTCCTTCAAATTCCCCTTCCCTCTCTAGCGCCTATTCGTTTTTGATAAATGAATAATTATTTATATGTATATATATATATAATAACTTCAGGGAACCCATAAATAAATAAAAATGCAATAAAATGAAATGAAAAACGTCTGTAGAGCTGGTACAGCTTTTTAAAGTGACAAAAATAGCGGGCAACCATGTGTGAATACATAAATACCAGTTTGGTCAGTTTGGGGGTCGAAAAGTAACCTTGTGAAAACGAAAAGTCAAAACTTCAAAAGACCGGCAGTATAAGTGCTCAGTGATCTTCTGAAAGACAATCCAACATGGCTGCTACTAGAACATGAAGCAGGCCAGCTGCAAGAGACGTTCTCATTTCTGATTGGTCAAAAGCTCTGGATCCGCGCATATGATTGGCTGTAGACTATTTTGACGGGCATTCGGTTTTGATTCGAATGCAGGGCGCGAGGTCGTCAACTGAATCAATTCAAAGAGAAAAGCTCCTTTTTTGAGCTTTCTTTTGATATTCAAATTATCCTGCCAGCGTCTCTTGAGAATGTCTAGGTAAGCCGGGTAAAATACAGTTGAATGACGTATCCTTGCGTTTGAATAGGGACTGCCGTATTTGCAGATTTTCACCCTGTTGTTTATCTTTGTGCTTGCGTCTTTTGTTCCATGGAACTCAGATCTGGGCAGATCGGTAAACAAAGCAGAATTAACGAAGACGAGGCATGTTTGAAGGTATGAAACGCTTTATTTCTCCTTACTTTTTACCGATATAGTCTCGATTTGAGAAGTCATGGATTTCTGTGCGATTAAACAGCGATGTTTTGAGCAATTAATTAACCCGAGCTGGCCGGGAATTCGAGATGCAATCACTCGTCGAGTCGCATTTCACTTGAGCCGTGTCGTTTTTGTCTTGAGCATATTGTCTTCTCGTGAATGTTAAGACTTATTCGTAATTGAGGCAGAACAATCCTTAAGACGACAATTAGGTTTGCTGTAAACATCACACTGTCCGTGACACTTCTTAATTCAAAGCAATTTAGTGACGGATATTGGCTACTTCGAGTGCAGGTATAATTCATTGTGTGATTAGTGTAAGCTCCACCGACGATGTAAAATAGCCACGAGTTTCAGTAGAGATCCATAAGAATCCAAGCCTAGGAAGAACCTTTTTTATGTAGCCGGGTGGTGATATGTTGGAAGTTCTTTACTAAAGAATGAAGTCTAGTGTAACTCGATGAGCTCAAGAGGACAAGAATGATGTAGGTGTGTGAGCTTTAAAGACTTAGCTCGCTCGATTTATTTTGTCACATATCACAGATTAGCAATTGTAGTTGTCAGTTTACAAGTTTCAGCTTATGATTTTCTAGCGCTTGTTATCAGTAGAGACCTGAAGACAGAACAGCTTTTTAATGAGTTAAGGCGGAGAAATGGGAGTTGAACAAGTCATCGAATAATACACATTTTTTCAGTTCTTTTGCTTTGACGCCTTTTGGCATAATTTCGTTTTGATATTGTTATTAAAGATTCATAGGAAATAGAAACCACAACAAAGAGGTTCAGCTCATTTTTAATATGTGATTTGGACTCGCACAGAAGAGAACCAGATGTCCTCAGCTGGGATTCATAAATCTCTAGTTGAGTGACCTCTTTGAAATATGGAATTTTCGCTATGTTTTCACATGTTGAGGTGGTTTTATTTTTTACGCGACCCATGAACCATGATGAACGCTATCTAGATCTGGCTTCCAAGAATTCTTTCCGACACGTACGTTCAATGTTTTTCGACTTCCTTTATAATTTATACTTGTTTGATTGAGGAAGTAAAATTGTTTGGGAGGACAGGTTTTGGTAAGTACAGGGCAAAATACCCTAGAAATTTTATCTCTCAACTAGGGGAGAACTTTCTGTTAAAAAATTATTTCAGTCATTTTAGGGTACGTGACATGAATTGAACTGTTTTCAAATCTATGTTAATTTTAGCTTGATGAGTCTGTGTCACTTGCTTTTCTCAACACTTTTTCCTTAACACGAGAAATCCACCTTTTCTGGTGATTTTAAAATAAATGTCGTTGTTGTGTTGTCTTAGTTACCAAAATAAGATATTTTGATCGCAAGACAGAAAAAAAAATAACAATAAGCTGATATACTATTTGACATTTTATATGTGTAGATTACAATAACTGCCACAAAAATACATTGTATTATTTCATACATTATACTAAAGTGCAAATTGGATGAACAACAAAATGAGCAATATTATTATTTGAAAAGAATCGAAGTTTTAGTAACTTGAGAGCAACTTTGTTGTGTAGTTCCTTTCCAGAATCTTTTTCTAGAGATTTAAAATATATTGCTCTTATATTGTCACTGTGTCATATAAGGACTTCTAAGGCCAAAAAAGTCTACATAGTAAGTTCCTACCAAAATTAAACAATAAGTGAGATAACGCCACTGTTTAATTTGTAACAGTTCCATTTAAAGTGGACAATCTACATTTTGAAGGATACATAATATTATATTAGGCAAGTCAAGACTACTTAAATGAAAAACTACAGACAAACCTGATATAATGAAGTGCCAAGAGCCTGAGAAACTCTGAGGGTATGTTATATCAAGCTCCTCTTTCTACATACATTTTGACGTAACACAAAGTTTATTAGTATGTGAAGGGGTTCATCAAAGTTAATTTTTAAGATGCTGTCTTGAGAAAATAACCCCTATATATAAACATCGTGGTTCAAAATTACATGTACGTTTTGTTCAAATTTGGATTTTTACTCATTTTTGTTATGGTGACTTCCATAATTAAAAAAAGTTAACCACAACTTACTGTATATAAAAATAATAACAACTGGCAACTTTTGAATTACATGTATCTAGTTATCATAATAGCTATAAATACTGATAATTGAAGAATTATTTGAATCTATAATGCTATCCATGTTCCTGGTTCAATCAAGGTTGTCCTGCAAGAAGAACTATATCACATTAATTAAGCTGAATAGTAAAGTTTTCATTTTCCTGAAAGACAAGAGTTGATAGTTTCCTGTTGATGAACAACAACTACTAAAATCAATCCCTAATGTTTTCTTTATATAGAGGATCCCATCTAGCGGTAGACTGAAGTTGTTTGATTTGCTTATGTTAACCTATTAGCATTCCACCGTTTTATTGGTGCAGGCAGTAACTGTTTTACACTGATATTTCCTGAAACTGGCAGTTCAGTCATGAATTAAATTGCAATGTCATTGTTATCATGAAATGCTGTTATTTTTCAAAACAGCATGCATATTTCAGCAAGGTTTACTAATTTGTGGCTAAGAATATACACTCAGCACTTAGTAACCTGATCTTAATACTGAAAATAGTTTTGTAGTGAAAAGAAAGGCTTTCCTACAGGGAGTTTTGCTTTGCATGTACAAAACTGCAGTAGTTTATGTAGATCAGACAGTACTGCCTCCTAACTTGACAAGGTGAGCGTCTGAAAAAGCCATGAGAATGCTGTTTATGTTGTCATGTATGTTGTTTTCAGCGGAAAGTAATGATTCATTCCTAATTGAAAAGTTGTTGAAAATTTTAACAATGTATAGTGTAGAACAGCTTTTTTTAGCACTTCACTATTTACAACTGTTATTCTTAAATAAAATGAAGAAAAAATAGAATACACTCATTTTGTCAAGGTGTTTATAACGGAGCTAGGTGGCTTTAATTAGTGAATTTGATTTGGAATGAAAATATGTTGTCATCAAAGCGTTATTTTTGAGGTCAAGTATTGCGATTGTGTTACATATACTCTGTTACTCATGGACTTGTTGGATTGCACAGGGCTTTGTTTAGTGATATTTGTACAGATACTGCTTTGTGGTGTACAGTGTATCTCTTTACAAATTGAAGCTTCGTCAGCACAATATCAAATTCCTTTGTTACCACAAGCAACTACTTCCTCTAACAACACGTTCTTTGGTGTGTGAGAGAATCATCAGTGAAATTATCAAGATGTAATAGAGACTGCCAGTTTTTAAGACTCAAAAACAACATCCAAGTGCAGATTGCAGGTAAATTGTTGTGGAACATTTTGCTCAGCAAGCTTGTAAATATCTCTGTGAGATTCTTTACGGGTTCATGTCTTTTGAAGAACTTTCACTTTGTGATTTTGCTACTCTATAGCTGTTCAAAGGAGCAGGAGAGTGGAAAAGAAGGTGGTAGTATTAAAAAATTAAATAATTTTTAGTTTTCTGGGAACTTCTGCTGCAAGTGGTATATTTTTCTCTAAGGATGCATGCAGTTAAAAGATCTGGAGTTTCTTGGATTTTCTCAATCGACCAAAAAATATTTCGAAATTTAATGTCATGTCTGGATCTGTTAATTGAAAGCCATTGTTATAGAAAGATTTCTGTTTGTTGGAATCTATCTCTGGATTTTTTGTTTTATCAGGGAATCCAGTAATAGATGTTGATAATCCAAAATCCCATTTAAAATACATGTACACTCTAAGTTATCTCTTTGAGCATCTCATGGTGTTTTGAAACAGCTCCGCTAGTTAGTCTTTCTTGAATGTGTCAGAAAGTCTTAAGTATCGTGCCCGAATAAGGCTTTCACAAGGTGTGGCCAAACTGAGTAGTTGGAACAGTCAGTAAAATGATGTACTTTGTATTTATGTTTTTTTAAACTAAGTTTTCTCTAATTAATGATGAGTTCTGCACAATGGTCCCATTCCATTTCAGGACTACAGATCTCCAGACAATGATATTCAATGTGTGTGCATGTGTAATACCTTATCAACACTAATTTTGTAATTTTTGAAAAATAAACAGTAATAATAGTATTAAAACTGGACGTTGTGTAATTTGTGCACCCCTCGGTTGAGTATCGGTCGACACTATTGGTCGACTCTCTGTTGATATGTCGGCTGATATGTAGAGCGATAGTCGACCGAGGGTTGGATGACATATCGATCGATTGCTGGTTTTCAGTGTCACACCATTCAAAATAGATCAAAGTAAAAATCAAAACTGTTCAATAGATAAAGTCCACAATCTGGAAAATGAAAGGAGGTACATATACAAAGCCCCTCGCCTAGATTCAGGTCAGACGATTATGTCGTATACGAGATATCCGAAGAAATGTTTTACCCAAACTTATAGAGATTTTTATGGAGACGCCATGCTGGTGCTCACCTGGGTGAGCTCCAACATGGCGGACGGAAACCAACAGAAACATCTGTTACTGAGTTTTGCAACAGAAGCATGAATTTATTCTTCACGAAACTCATAAACATTAAAGTAATACTTTTTCTAATACATGAACTGTTTAGATAGCAAAATGTCCTGAAATAAGTCATTTTTTTAACCTACATGACAGCTCTCTTGGCCGTCATGTAAATGCCGCTTCACGTTAAAGCGTAGAAATTCAAGCGTACTCTTATCACAAAACCAAGATGCCTTTTGAAGCGAAAATTTGTATGAAAATTAGCTCTAATGCATTGTGAAAGTAAAATCTCGGTAGGATCGATAGTTTTTCAGTTTGAATTTTAGTGGCGTCATGTGAAAACCAACAATAGGCTACTAACATTCGGTCAATCCTTCACTGATACCTAGTCGATGGTATATTTTTTGTCTACTCAAATTTTTGTTATGTTGTCCATGAAGCAATTTTTAAGGGGCTTTGGCATCTTTTACCAGTCTAATGTGAAAGCATTATTTAGAGTGTGTGTGGGAGGTGTTTTTGGAAAAAATAGGGACTGCTATGGCATCGCCTTTGAGAGGTGTTCAAGGGCAACCTAACATTATAACATGTGTAGAACAACGGTAGAAATGTGGCAAGTAGATGCAGCGAGGCTGATGTTGGATGAGGTGAACAACAGAATGGAAAAAAAAATTTCAAACTCTCGAACCACGATATCTTGCACTAAAAACTGAAAGCCAGCTCCCCTCCTCTGATTAACACAAATTATATTATACAACAGTGGACGGATGTGCCACTGATAGTCAACCTATATTCCACGGACGTCCACTGATAATTCACACTCCCCGTATCAGCCAAGTGTTGACCGGTATACTAGCCATGTATCGGCTGGTGTATTGGTCAACATGTTGGTCAATATGTCAACCAAAATGTTGGCCAATTCACCGGCCGGCATATTGGTTGAGTGTCCTCCAACAGTCACTTGATATGGCGATCGAGAGTCGGCCGATACGTGGTCAACATATCAGCGGATAGTGCCAACTGATACTCGACTGAGGGGTGTACAAATTACACAAGATCCCTAAAACTTATGGCGTACATGTTATTCTTGTTTTTTACATTGCAAGGTTGTGCTCCAGGAAGAATTGAAGGCATCCCAGTGCTCTGAACTTGTGAAATGATTTTTATGAAAAAACTAAAATCTTCTAGTCAGTCAAGAGTAATAGGTGTCAGGGGTCAACAGGTACTACTTGAAAACATCCTTACATTGTACATTGTCTTGGTTATTTATTCCCAACAGACACAAATGTCAAAGTCGTTAAATTCAAGCACAAAACAGAAGTTGGATTCAAGTGTAACAGGCAGGAGAAAATCAAGTCTGGAAAGATCTTTGCGGTCTCTCAAGGTATGAGTAAAGCTGTGTTTGCCTACATGTAACTTTAGGTGTAACTGTATTGCAGTGTTTGGTTTGGCAAAGAAACCTTAAAGTCAGTTCTACATTACCATCAAAGCTATTTGATGTGTCTCTACATGTGAATTTGCTTGTAGCCTCTATGGTAGGAACTTTTAAAGGTTTTACACAAGTAATCACACTTGTTCATCCTGCACAAATCCTTCACTTTTCGTGATAAGTATCTACCATGGGGTCTGAAACAGCTGGTGTTATTTTATGCCAAAGCCAGTTCTGTTGTTAAGATTTCAAGTTGCCAGGTGCATGTATATGCAATAGTTAGAGGTTTCACTGAAAGCATATATTAGTAATGTGGAGTTTGTTCAGTTATGAGAAAAAATGCCTCCCTCCTCAGCGTGCAAAGAAAGTCATGTCACGATAGCCCGGGGCTAGTGGATTTTACTATCAGGCTAATTAATTCTGTTCTTAACTTGCCTGCCTGGCAAGCGAAATTTTTTAAGGAATTCTAATCACAAAAGAACTGTTATCAACCCTGTTTATAATCGGATTAGTTAAAATAACTTTTGGGCTAGTACTTGCTAACTACAGCTTGCTGGAATGGCAAGTTGTAAAACTGACTTTCTTTGCACCCTGCTCTTTTAAATGTCTTCTATTTACTAAGTGCCGCTGCTTGAGCTCTGGGCATCTAGAGTAATGGATAATTCATTATAAGGGCTCCAGTTCCTCCATCCCTGCACTCGTAAACATCTTGAATTCCGGCAAGTCCTTTGAGCAAGTAGCTTTCATGGCTTGCTTACCTGTGACAACTACTTGCTTGTCTTATGTAGTTAATGATTTAGTTGAAGGATGACTTCCCTGAACCCTTGCCCACTGGTGAGCTTGAAAACTAAGGGACTGTTTACATGGAGGGAGGAAGATCCTAGAAGGCAGAGCAACTTAACATTGGGTTTACTTTCGGAAATTTTGGTCTGTGTGGTGCCCAAGTAGGAAAGGTTTGAGAAGGAATTAAAAATGATGGGCGACAAAAACAAAAATGCAATTTTGTCCCTTCTGCTCTCTTTCCTGGCGTTAATAAATCCTTTAGCAGAATTATCACAATAATCAGTTTGTGGTAATGCCAAACAAAATGTTCAGCCTTTATTTCTGTGATTATCCAATGAACTACCTGCTGACATGCATTTTTGTCTGGTTTATCCCTAGTACTAGTTCACATGGTGCTAGGATCTTACTAGTACTAGGCAGATCCTAGCAAGTACAACCCTTTGTATGTAAACCTAATATAGACAACATATGGCATTAGGATAATCTGCTTTCTAGGATCTTCCTGGTGCTAGGATCTCCCTCCGTCCCTAGTTACTTGCTCAGCCAGAAAATCTACCTGTCCTAGAAGACTGGACATGGACTTTTTTTCCAAGCCCTGCCACCCCCTTGATGTACAGGCCAAGCATGATTGGCCCATAAATGACAGAATGTACAGGAAAAACAACAGTAATATAAGGCAGGGATGTCACAAATGGCCAGGAGCCTGGGATTTCTCTTGATGACTGTGAGCATGACATCCAACTACTTTCTTAGAAAACAAAGGGAAAATAGCACCAAAAACTTCTTGGCTGTTCAATTACATGTATTACCAATTGCATACAGTGCACTGTATACTGAGTCTGTATACACCTACAACTGAAAAAAACGTTGTCTCTTGAAAAGTATAAACCATGAACAATGGGACCTAATGGATTTATGGGTACAACTTTATTACCATTGCAAATTTAAAGTTCTTCTCAAAAATGTTTACATTTACGAAGCTTTTCGCGATGATGCATTCCAAAAAACGTAAAACAGTTTCCAGTATTTAGGGCTCACAACTTCACCAGTTCTGGACACACAAGAGATTTCTACAGTTAAAGAGCGTAGCCATATCCCTAACGCACACTTGAAAATCATAAGATAGGACCTAAAAGCGTTCTTGGAAGACAAAAAAAGACAACAGCATGCCTTAAACAAAGTACTCTAGGGATTTGCATCCGCACGAGCATCTCGTGGCAATGTAAACTTTTGTCGAAAGAACTTTTAATTTGCTTTGCTAATGAACGTATACCCATAAATCCTTGAAACCTCATCGTTCATGGTTTATACTTTTTAGTGACAATGTTTTTTCAATCAGGTATATCCAGCTGAGCAACTTGAAATCATAGTGACAGCTCCTGAAGAGGTACAGTGTATTTTTTGGGATATAGAGGCAGGATGATATGGTTGGTTGTGTTTTTGACAGTTACTTAATTACCTAAATGCAGTAATTTAGCAACAATAATTGTTTAGTTTTTTGTTTCACTATTGTTTTGCAGATAAGAGGTGGCAGCCATTTAAATCTTAAAAACCTTGACATCAAGGATATCAAGGTAAGCAAGCAAACAACTGCGTGTACAAGTCACGATATGTGCCCCTGCTAAGGGCATATCAGGACTAACCCAAGCGTAATTGAGAAAACGGCAGACCAGCATTGGTTCGAGGTTAACTTTGCCTTAATTAAATTTAAACCACGTGACAAAGGATTGTATTTTAAATCCAAAACTCTGTACAAACTAAGGGAACATTACTGTCTATTATTGTACAACTTCTGAAACATAAGTACATGTATATTAAGCTAAACAGGGTAGAATAAAAGGAGAAGTGTGACTTCACATTACCATGGTAACAAAATTTCAGGATCACAACAAGAGGGAGCTTAAACAACAATGACGTTGATTACAAGGAGAACAGCAAAAAAGCAGTAGGTTTATATTAGCAAAACAACAACTTTGCATGTGCGTCATGCTTTTTTATACATTTCTTAGCTGTTGTTGTATGTTTACAACATAAATCTTCCCAATGTTGCCAACACTTGACAAATTAAATGAAATATTGAAATATTGAAGGCAATGTGATGTAACGACTTCTCCTCTCTATTGAGCAAGTGGCAATACGTATGTATATCCAAATCAGCCAATCAGATTGGTTGCATTTTGTGGTTCAATCTTTTCTTACACTATTATGATCATAGGTAATTAGTTTTCTATCTCTTCTCAGTTGTACACCATTGTGTTATTATCCCTCTCATACAAGTTCAGTTCAGTTTAGTTTATTGTTTTTCCATAAAGATATGCAAAACAAGAAGTTCTAATTAAATATTTAAAAACTTATGGCGAGGAAGCCCAAGGGAAACCAAGGAACAGGCTCCCTCAGTTACGTAATTGTTACAACAAACAAATGAACAAAATAATATTATACATGCAAAAAATCAATGGCAGAGCTAAATATATATAATAAATTAGATTATAGTATCAATCATAGTTAGGCTAAAAAAAAGCAAAAGGACAATAAAAAAGTGAGAATGGAAAAATGAAAATGAAAAGCAGAGATAAAGAAAAAATTGAATGAAGAGGATTACAATACTCATAAAATGTAAAGATATTAGCCAGATGATAAGGAAAGTGGAGGAAAGTGGAAGATCAGAATGTCATTTCCCACTCATCCGCTGATTTAGATGTTAATGATGGTGATTATGCTAAAATAAGCATTTTTGTTTCCTATATAGAATCAGTTTCGGAAAAGAAAACGCAGTGATCAACAAGATAGTTCACAGGCTATGGAAGTTAAGGTTTGTTGCCTTAAATTTTCTCGTCGTAGTAAATGCCATTTTAAGAGAGAGCTCTAGTTAGCTAAGCAACTGGCTTTCAGGGTGTGTTCACCATGAATACCTTTTGGTCCCCATTCAGTCCTGCACAATAGTCTATTGTATTGTGTTTGGTATCGTGGCTTTTGTATCTTGATCTCCGTCATATCTTGGTAAACTGGAATCATGTCTATAGGGGGTTACTATCAGCGGATGTATCGACTGATATCTTGGTCGACTGTTTGTTGTCACTAGTCAGTCGAGTCTGTACTGATCTGTGGCTGGTAGTCAGTACAGCCAGTACAGTTTACTGGTTGTTTATGTCACAGTTCCTTAGCTACGTTTAAAATATAAGGTGAAGTAAAAAGACAACAAGAAGACATATGGTGTAAAGGGGGAGCACCATTCTGCAATTGGCACGGCAGATGACTTCTATAGTGTGACCATTAAGCCTAACTTATCTCCCCAGCATTATTTTTAAAGATCTGTGCCAGAGTTAGTTTTTAAGTCCAAAACGTACATCTTACAGCCTAACTCTCCATGGCACTACGAGCTAAGATCACCAGCCAGCATCGTGCAACTTAATGGAACAAGTGTAGGCAATTATATTGTTCAAGCTGTTTATCTTTATATCAGCACTACAAGCTGACACCACCGGCACTTGCTGGAATAATTGCAATTCAAGAGCATCACAATAAAATATTGCATTAAAAACAAAGCTTGGGAAAGTCACTGCGAGACTTAAACCATCACAGATATGTGCTGAGCATGTATCCCCCACGCAAACCATAAATTAGAAGGATGACACGCTGGCCATCTGTAACGCAGCGGAGAGTAGCACGTTACGAGGTGTACATATATAAAGTTGATAGCAGTCTGACGACCATCTGCTTAAAACCTTAATTAACCAATCTGGCAAGCCCATGGCAGCTGCACTAGAAGCAGCACCATTACCAAAGCTGTGCCCTTTAAGGGTCTTGAAAGGTAGGCTGGCATGACGAGCCCCATCCCGGCGAAGGTTAACAACTGCCGACCTGGTGAGCAGACGACCTGATTGAAAGTAAAAAGGGGCCTGCACGTGCAGGCAGTCAGAAAATAGTCGTGCATGGCGGTCACTGCGCAGACCAGCGCGGTTGAACGTGCAGCAACAAGCATGTGCCCCTGGCAAAAAGCATCTGTCTTGGAGACTTTTAGAAAAAGAGGCATTTGCTGTGGGCAAGCCAGACTTGGAGGAAAGACACACAGTTGGTAGAAAGGTTGACCTTGGAACAAAATCTAGAGGTCCCTGGATAAGTTAACTCACATGAAGGCTGCCGAGACCATGGAAAAATCGTGATCCCCCAACCAAGAGTTTAAAATGGTCCTTATGGCCAGTGTACTACAGGACACTTGGGTTGTTTACCATTTACATGGGCAGACCTGTCGTTGACGGTTTGGTTTAACCCTTTAAGCCCCAGTATCTACATACAAATTCTCCAAACTGATCTCTATTCATTTCCTTAAAGAATGAGTTAAGAGAATTTGTTAAAAGATCAAGGCATTTTTACTTAGGTGATCAGTTTATTAATTCTCATAACTTATCTGTTGACAATGTATGGATATTTTTAGGAGAAAATTGATCTTGATCACTATTAGGACTTAAAGGGTTAATGGTACAGTAAAATTCAGGACCGGTACGTTTCGTCCCAGAATTGCGTTTATCATTTGTAGAAATCAGTTCCAATGACACAGCAAAAAGCAATAGTAATACAGGGGCAGTAAATGCAACAATAGCAAATGCTAAGTTATCCTTCACTTTACTTTTAAAATTACCATAAAATCACTATTGGAGGCATGCTTTTTGACAAAAATCATTTAACAGTTCTTAAAATAAAAGAAGAATCTTGCCCATAAAGGGGGAGTGAGTAAAACCACATGACAGTTTAACAGTCATTATAAAGTGCATTTTTGTCAAGGGCTCTGTTGAGCTTTTATAAAATCACAACAAAAATTATTTAGCAAAGTACCTGTGTTACATTATTTTACTTACCCTTAATCAAGAATCTTGAAAATTGATAGCACTCATTGGTATAATATGTAAGAACTATAAAAAGCTCCCATGATTTTTTGTTTTTTAAAGGAATGCATCTTATGTGAGCAGGCTCATGATTCATAAAAATAATTCGTTTGTTACACTATCGTTGATTTCATGACTTTGGCCTAAATCTGAAATGCATTTTCAGATCAATTACATGCTTATCCTCATCACATGACAACCTTTACTCATGTCATACTGTGCTATGTTCATAAAATGTGTAAGTGAATCAATGTACATCTTATAAAAGAACTCTTATATTATCATATATTGAAGACTGGCTCAGATAATGGGTCACCACTTTTTTTAGTAACAAGGTCTTCTAAGACCACCTTCATTATAATGATGAGTATTTTCAATCAGTCAGGGATTTTCTTCAATCTTTCATAGCAGTGACAACGGGCATAATAAACTTGATCTGATCATTAACTTCAGGAAATTGATTTTCTTGTTACAAACGACTTGATTGATGACTTTGAATTCATTAACCACCCTGAAGACTTCAAAAAATGCCCCTCAGTCCTCAACATAACCCGTGGCAACACTTATCTGTGGTTTCCTGTGGAACTGAAATCATCTAATTGGAATTATTATCCCTGTAATTGCCTTTGTGTTCGTTGAAGGAGGAGTAAACGGGTTGCTCAACATGTGTCCTGTCTGAGGTAGTATATCATTTTACAAATCAGGTTGAATGATCCAAATTTAACCTTGAAACCTGAGCTTGAGCTAAATTCTTGGGATCAAGTTGCTCAGGTTAATGAGATCAGTTTCATGAAAGGAGAACTATTCATAACACTTTTGGATCTAATCTATCCAGTTATGTTGTACATCGGAAGAAAAGCATTTTAGTTTGAACTGAAAGGATTTTTCACTAACCAGGGTCTGGAATCACACTGTCATTTGTCAGGAGATTTTGTGCATGTGAATAGCTTTTTGTTTACTTGTCCCAAGAGGTGACTGCTGTCATACTTCACAAAAGACAGTGTATAGAAGTGTGCCTTCTGACACAATGCTTAAGCCACTGCTTCGCCGGCATAGCATCTCAACTGCTGCAACTTTTTTTGAGCCAGCTCCATCCCCAACCAGGGCTGTTATTCATCAGGTGTTTATTGCTTGATATTTTAATTTAATCTAAAAAGTATTGTATTTGCTTGTATTGGAAACAAAAAAAACAATGTTTTGATGAAATTCACCCTCTTTGTTGATTACAGGAACCATCAACGAAGAAGATTTGTGCTGTGTCTAACATAACGTCGTTAGCTCAGGCTTCTCCTGGTCCCACAAAGAAAGGAATTTTGGTTCAGGTCTGTAAAAACATATGAAGAAACTTATTAAATTAATATGTAACACTGTTGTGCATTTTTAATGTTCTAGTTTACTAAGGAGCGTGGACACGTCATGTGGCCTAATGTAAATTAACAGCTTTAATCATTTTGGGTCATTTGCTATCAGCAATCACATTGCCATTGTTTAACTCTTCTACTGCTGTTTTTTCTATTTTAAGCTGAGGAACAAACGTAACTGATTATCTTGTGAGGCCAAACCATTGCTAAGTTTTGTTTCTTTATGTCTGCTTATGTTTAGAGTTCTAAAAGACTCCTGTAACTTCTGATGTAACATCTGTTTTAAAGATTACAATTTCCCCACTGTAAGGTCTTTGTCCGTCTTTAGTAATCAACTAGGTTATCATTCTGATTGCTAAAGCTTTTGCATGTTGGGTTGATGTGAACTTAATTTGCTCTCCAGCGTTCTGTCAGCTTAAGGTCAAGTCTAACTGTTAAAGACAGTGACTTTGCAAAGCGTTACAGAGTACCACAGACTCCAACAAAGCACCGTCCAAGCAAGGTATGCAGCCTGCCATGTTTTGTGTCCTAACTTAATTTTGTAGCATATCAGAGATGATTAATGTGTTCTTTCATTAGGAAGCACTTGTTAAATTTTATGCTGACTTATCAAAAACATTACACAGACTAAGCTTTGATCACTGCAAGTTAACATTGTTAGCTTGTGGATCAATTTTTTCTACGGAACTACAATAAGATAATTTTGTAATAGTTTTTATGTTGCATATTTTGGAATTAGGATGTCATGATTATTTGACATAATTCTTTTTGGTTACTTTTGGGGTGCTGTGCTCTCAAAGAAGGAAACACTTTCACTCTACAGTGTAGTTGGGCCTTTCAAAAGGGACTTTGATCTATGTTATCACTTAAATGTATCTAATCTTTTAAGTCATTGTATCCAAGTAGTGTGCAAAATTTCTTACACAATTGTGAAGTGACTTTAAACAGTGTCTTAAGATGTGACAACATTTTGCTTAATTACCATGTGCCGTCAGTCATTCAACTTGATTTGGTTACCAACTTGAGATACGAGACATCACTGTACTGTCATTATTCAGATCAGGCAAAGCTTCAGCATGAAAAAGTGGAAAATTTTGGTGGCAGGATTTTCCCCAAACTTGCTCAAGAGAGCCTACTCGCAGACTATTTCTGAAAAAAATTTTAGGGGTATTTCTTAACATAATGTATAAATAAATCAATTATGGGCAAAGACACATCCCAGTAGACATGACTGACCCAAAATGTATCTTTCTTTAGTATCTCTGTTGCAGTATTCTCCTACATGTAGTCGATCGTGAATCACATTTCAGTCTTAGCTTTTATTTTCCTTTATTCATCATGGTAAATAATGATAAGAATTGATGTTGATGTCTTATAGGAGAAAACATCTACATTTATTATAATACTAGTCTATTCCATAATTCAAACATTTCTGTACATGAATTTTGTTCTTTGTGAGTTTCCAATCTTAGAGAGACTTAGAATCTGAATGGCAAAAATGCCCTTAAAAGTATTTTGAGCAGTGATGAATGCTTTAGAATCACTTTTACTTCAAATATCAGTTTGCACCACATGATTAATTGTTTCCTTTTACTTACTTTCATTTTACTGGTTCATTACTTTTACACAAATAGTAATAATAATAATAATAATGATAGTAATACATGTAATAATAATAAACTTTATTTACGTGTCAGGATATTTAGCTTACAAACTAATCGGGGACACCACAAACACAAACACAGAAATAAAATGCTTAAGATTATAAATATAGTGGTGTAAATTAGACCTATAAAATTGTATGATAAGAGTGTATCGCTATATATAGGAATACAAGCACTAAAAATAAATTAACAGTGGCATAAATAGCAATTCTGACAGCATTATATCTAGTTCCGCTATGTTTGTTGTTGTAATTCTAGATGTGATATTTCTAATTTCTTTCCGAAGTTTAGACCATGGGTATGGTCCGAAATATCTGATTGAATGTTGACCATATCTAACAGTGTTGAAATTCGGGATGTTATTCTCAGTTCTTAAATTGTACTTGAGGGACTTAGTTACAAATACATCATTCAAATGAAAAAATATTACAAATATTAGTAATTTTGTGTCAGTTTTTGTAGATAGCTATTCACTTCTCAACTCCAAATTTATGAATGATCTACATGCAACATTTCCTGTAATACTTGTAGAGTTGAATGTGACTTATTTTGTTGTTGCTGTGGTTGTTTTTTTTTTGTAGCTCATTGTTTACCAAATTTTTTGTTTTGTTTCAGTCATGGAGTGATAGTGTTTCCAATAATGAGATCAACAAGAACCTGTCACAGACTGAAATCAAGAGACAAGAAGTGAGTAGCCTGTATAGCGACTGCTTGGAAGTAATATGCGAGATAGTAAAGGGTGCATAATGTAAACATGTGATGGGAGACTGAGCCTGTCTCTCTCGTGCACCCCATTCTTTCTTGCGCCCATTTATACTTTCAAGTAAGCAAATAAAAGTGAAATCATTTTATTGCAATGCCAGTGTTAAGATACCACTGGACAACTAAACAGTGCTCCTACAGAGTCTTGAATTCTTGAAAAAGTCTTGAAATTTGCTCAGCAATTTTCCAGACCTGGAAAAAGTCTGGAAAATTGAGATAAAGTCTTGAAAAATGGTAAAAAGTCTCGAGTTTTTTTGAAAGCTACAACAAGTGCTTTATAGGGAATTTTTTTTGTCTTGCTCATCATGAAAAAAGCTTTGTTCCTGCATTTTCTCAAGGTCTCCACTGATCACCTATTTGATGACCTTGAGTCTGGAAAATTATTGTTTTGGGAAAAGTCTGGAAACAGTCTTGAATTTCGGATCTAAAAATCTGTACGAACCCTGTTAAAATTATGTACTAATTTATTAGATACAGTGTTAACACTAATTTTATTATTATACAAAGGAACGGAAAATGGCAACTAAAACAAAAAGTAAAAACTATACAATCTTTTAGACCAGCAAGATTAATCCGGTTTCAAAAGAGCTATTAATAATCATATGCTAGGTGCGATCATTCCCAAAGATAAAGAATTAGTATATTTTGCGCAGGAGAAGGTGTCACCTTCCTCAGATAAAAACGGAGAGATACAAGAAAACTTTTGTAAATAGACTTATTTTTAAATATAATTTAGTATAGTATTACTCTATCTTATATTACTATTGTATTTTATCGTGTATTTTTAAATACTTTTTCACTGTAACTTAGGATATGTATTTTTATCCTTTGATTGAATAAAGACTATTATTATTATTATTATTATTATTATTATTATGCAAAAGCTTCTATAAACACAGACAAACAAGTTGTTCAAGAACTTTAATTAGTGTCCGTGCGATTGCTCTCAGTTGGTTAGACTAGAGTGTGCGTCCTTTTGTGTTCTGAGTTTGATTCCCAGTTGTGACCTTAAATTCTTCATTTGACTGCTTTCCTTTTGGTGTAGCTTTAGGTAGCTTTAAATACACGTAAAACAGAGCACTGCAGGAGAAGCAGGGAGGGGGGGATTAAAATGAGCGCACTGTCAGCCTCAGGTTTGTCAGTGAGATGACTATTTCGAGCTACCAATGCAAAATAAGGACTCTTTACATTTTGTTACTCACTTAATGAGGTTGATAGTGACCTTTTCTTGTCCAGCTTTTTTTAGGAAGTTTGAAGGGTAGCTGCATGAAGGGTATCTGCATGCAGGGTGGTTCGCAAAAGCACTGAGAAGGTTTTCCTGTTGTTTATTTTCTTTGTCCTTAATTTTTAGGCTATTTATGAAGTTTGTACTGGAGAAGAAAATGTTGTCACTGATCTGAAGATGATCAGAGAGGTAAAATAATATATGTATATATTGAGAATAAATGGAAACTGAGAAATACTTATCTTTTCCAATCTGTAAACGCAAGCAATTCTAATAACTATGAAAGATGAATTTATGAAAATCATTCGTAGGAACTGCAGGGTGAAGAATTAAATGAAAGAAGATCATCACTGATGTAGATGAAACTTTTGCATGGGTGACTCTGAAAGAATGAATATTCATTGTCATCATTTTTTAATGGCTTATAACAAACCTTCTCGATGTCCCACTCCCAGTTGCCTTGTGAAGTCATGATCATGATAATGATGATAATTATGATGCCGTACATGGCAGTGTATTTTCTAAAAAACAAACCCTATTAAAATATTTAGCATTGTTGATTATTTTGCACCTCTAATAAATAATATATTATTATTGGTTGTGTTCATCAACAGGTATATTATGCACCCATGTACAAATTGAAGTTAATGAATGAATATGAATTTATGAAGATTTTTGGTTGTTTAGAAGTTTTACTGGCTCTTCATCAAGGTAGTATACTGATTCTCCCCAGTGTGTTAATTATCTTGAGTACTGTTTAAATCATTGTGACTTTACGTGTTTTGTGGTCATTAACGATTTAATTGATGTAAATTAATGGCATCTTTTCTTTCAGATCTCTATACAAAACTTAAGAACGCTAGATCAAGTGATGGTACTACAGACAATATAGGAGATATTATGTTAAACTGGGTATGTTTATAGTAAAAAAAATATTTTTTAAGTCATTTTTATTCCAACAGTAAAAACACTGACTCTTTAGGCTTTCCTTGTTAGCAGAGGTCTCTCACAGTAAGAGAATAATGAGAGGAAAGAAAAAGACCTCCTTTAAGTCTTTTACAGGCGTAAAGATAGATTTCCCTACCCTTTTATATACTTGAACAAGTGAAAACCCTACCCTTTGGCTTTCATACCCTGAGGCCTGAAAGAGATACCCCTTTTGTGCAGTCTCCCCCTCTAGGCCATTATAGGGAATACTCCCCAGGACTGAATGGTTAGCTCAGTGACTGTCTGCAAGGCTGACTGATTTGGATAAGTGACTGTCAAATTGGCGCAGAAGCCTTGTTACATTTTTAAAACGTAGAAATGCCAATTTCAGTTTCCAGGGTTAAGATGCTATGCTAGATACTGTGCAAGTCAATTTGAGGCAAAGACGATTCTAGATGATAAACTTCAACAAGGGGGCAGTGTTGCAGATTTTTTACAGGTATTATCTAGTGGCAGAGAGTCACACTTTGTTTTGTCTCGCTGATATGTTGTGCTCATAAGAGTATGGGGTTCAGTTTGCTATAAGCTAAAAAGATCACAGGGAACCCAAGCGTTCAAGGAGATGAAGCAGTCATTAGATATCTCCACGTTATTCATAACATTATAATCAGTTTGTATAGAATTTGCCACATAATTTTATGACCAAAATTAGTACAAAAGTTATCTTCCCCGTTATTGTTCGGTCTTGTTCAAAGCGTCTAGAGAATTTGTTTCCTGTCTGTTCAGGGAGCCTTACTCGTTACACAATCACGTTCTGTGGGACAGTGTGAAGAGGCGGGGGTTTCTGCTTTTGGTCAACAAGATGCTTTTTAAATCCATTTCTATATCTTGCTCGTACGTGAGTTACTTAAGATCAATTTGATGATATCACAGTGAATTATTAAGAAAAGAATCAGACACAATAATAAGTAGTACTCATTTCATCTGTATTTAACATGAGTGAAGATCTTGATATAGATCGCCTTGTTCCTGTAAAAGAGCTGCATGACGATTTCTGCACCTTAAAAGATTTAAGTTTATGAACTTTATTCCATGTTAATTTCCTCCGTCTTAAACATCCCTTTACCTTGTTGGTGTCTTTTCCCTTATAATTTCAAGGTAATCTTGTTTATCGTTAATTAATCTTAAATGGCTCAAAATATCGTACGTGTCAAAGTGAGGGATACTCCCTCCTTCACCACTCTGGAACCTTCCTTGGAGCGGTATCGCTTGTACTTGTAGACTCATTCAAATTTCCAGTTTATCAAGGAAGTAAGTCTTTCCGCGGCTTCGTATATAAGGTTCTGTGCTAACGTCCATTCTGAGCAGGTTTACTGAAACCTCGATTTCTTGAATAACAGAAACACAGGAGATGCAAAATAAGTAGAGGATGTTTTCTACGAATTTTTAGGTTAAAAATAATACCTAAGTGATTGAGAGAGAACAGAATCTGTGGCTCACGTTTGGGGGCGTCAATGACACCAGCAAACAGGAAAAATTTGAAATGTATAAACTAGGCCGGCGTTGGACTCCGTTTCTGGCGACCAGAGCTAAGTGCTTTTAAAATTAACCTTCGTATATACCGTTTCGTTTTTTTTTTGTAATATTACCGACAAAGGAGACCTTAGAAACCAATGTTGACCATGTTCTGTGCGCCAGGCACGTTCGATGGTTGCTCGACCGCAAATTTGTCCCTTTACACCAACCTTTGCATCAGCGTTTAACCTGAAATGTTGTAGTGTCCCCCTGACATTCGACTCGACGTTTTATTTTTGCTTCATTAAATGTGATTCTAACATACTGATTTACGTGATTTTCAATGCTGCTTATAGTAAAGATAGCAAATTCATGTCCAAAGAGGAAATGTTTAAAACCAGCGGAAATTTTATTGGCTTACAGGCGCTATTACGGATAATGATAGACTTACTCCAGATGTCGCTTTGTGAATTGTATGTAATTTTTGCTGTCGTTCCACTTATTTTCATCTCGATCACTCACTCATTTCACCATGTTTTTAAACAAGTCAAGCGGTCCACAGTTTAGGTCAAATATTCTTTGAACTAAACTAAACTATCTGGTTACCATACGGTATATGAAAGAATTCTCTGACTCAACAACGGCACCAGAAACCCTATATGGCTTATATAAGGGAGTACCCCACTCCTCGCCCCCGGGGGAGAAACGTCTTTGTCCACGTTGCGTTCCGTACCGAGTGTGTTTTTTTTATAGTTCCATTTTTTTCTCATTCTAGACGCTCTTTGGCTTGTTAAAGGTCAATTTTTGCACTGATAAATCTGTAATTTAAGTGTGTGTCAATAATGTATGGCAGATTGTCGGTGAATTTCCTCTGAACCTATTTACGTGCGCGAAGGGCAGCGAAATTCCTATCCATTTGCATTAGTGAAAATGAGACTTATCGGGTCGCTTGGTTTGTTTTTTTTTTAACTGCTGTCTACTTAGATTTAGGTATATTTCTAGCTAATAACAGTTGTATTGTATTACGACTGAGCGAGAAGCTCGCACGTTTTTCTTTCGATCCCGTCCACCCGTGGAGCGGAAATTATCTTGCGCGTGTACGTGTTTTATTCTTGACCACAATCTCTTTCTTTCCCTTCACAGAGATGCCGTGACTCTCCCTTTAGCCGGAAGTTAGATCTTTGGAGCTTTTTAGGTCAGCACTATTTGCTAAGATACTTCTGAACTCTTAAATCATTTCCGGTGTACAAAGTGGTTATCCAGCAATCGCTGCACAAACATCGCCGACGTTTTATTGTTTAAACGTAAGCCTATTAGTAACCAAGTTGTCAAAGTAGAAATTTTACATGCCAGTTTTCGCACTAAGAATTGAAACACGCTTAAGCAACTTTAAAACTGATGACAGTTTTATTTTGTAACTGATAGGATTTCGTAAATGAACTGGCCCCAATTTAGAACCACTCCATTTTATTTTTACGTAATCTCTGTTAACTGGCCCTTACAGAAATTGCCGGTCAAATGCTTTGAAATCAAACTCTTATTAAAGACTTGAACAAATCGACTGTATTTGACCCGGTATTAATTGTTGTCTTACTGGCGCCGAAATACAATTTTCTTTTGCGCTAATCTTTCAAAGGCAACCCTTTCGTCAAAGTCAAGTTTTATTGCTGAACTGTAGTCATGAAATTATGTTATTCCGAATTCCGACTTGTTGCGGAGAAAAAGGTAGAGGTAACTTCATTCTTTAAAGAGTCTTTAAACCGGCCCTAAAATCCGAAAACGATCAAATAGATAGTCATCATTGATTTTTCTAGTAGTAAAGAGTATTACATTTAAAAATGAACAGTTAATCTTTGTTTGCAGATTCGCCAAGAAGTCGCCTCGTAAAATATCCGTTAATGCTTCGAAGCATCCAGAAATACGTGAGTATAAGATGATCAAGAGGCTGAATTTCCGGTCGCTTTTCTAGAGAATTCTTCATCCTCCTACGCCCTTTCGTTTTCCCTAATAACCAGCCTGTTTACAGACCCTCGTCACCCTCTTCTCCTCCCTAGTCTCCCTTGAAACTGTTTTTGTCTAGTCACGCAACGCTCCTCCTCCTTTCATTGCGTGACCAGACAAAAACGGCTGCGAGGGAGACCACCCCCTCCCAAAAAATACCATCTTGTAGGCATTTCTTATAGAGATCAACTCCTGTAATAACCTTTTCACGTTATTAGTGTTTAGGTAATAAATGTTTTTTTCGTTCCTTTTTCTCGAGTAATCATGTAGCTGTCGCCAGATATATTGTTGTTTCGACTGAGCTGATAAAGAACGTTTGTTCTTAAAATGCGTTGCTAGCCTTGAGCTCTCAAATTGCAAATTTTGTTAGAATTTAATGACGGCTCTAAAGTAAGACACATTTTATGAAAGAACCTCACTTAATTCAACTAAACATCACGACTTGACGATATCTTTACTGTCGGGAATTTTTAGGGAAGTCAGGTTTATGAATGTTGGTTTGTTGATTGACTTCTTTTATTTTATTTTATTTAGACACCTAAAGATCACCCAGACTGGAATAAACTCGAGCAAGCGGTGAGTTATATGTGTGGCCAACTTCCAGAACTCTCCTTTTATTTCATCCATCAGTGTAGGATGTTGTTGCAAGTATCTTCGAAGTTTTTCATCTCCAGAATTTAAAAAAACGTTGCATTATCGAATTTTACAGTCGATTTCTGAGTTAAGGTTAAAAGGAGGAGTGATCCTGGAGCAGGCAGCAACAAGCTCTATTAAGGGCAAAAATTATTGATGGTGCTGACGATAATGACCAGATGTTTCTTTTCTTGTCATAACTTAAAAGTTTTTTCCTGTCCCATAATTCTATGTAGATACGTCGCTTACAAGGTATTATCGAAGAAGTTGACCGAAAAACAGGAGAAGCAAAGGTATATTTGACATTTTTTTCTGTCTGTCATTCATCAAATTGTTGTTTAGTTTTGCAAGACTTTTTTTCGGCGAACTCCTTTTGATCCTTTCAATCTCTTTCTTGTCAGTGCCAAGATGTTCTCAGTAAAATAGTATTCTTGGACGACAGACAGGTAATTAACATTGCGTCTTTTTATCACGATAACATGGGCACTTTCCATTTATATGGGAAATCCGGAAATTCCGGTTAGAAAATCAAATGGTTCGCGCTATTCCGTATAGGAAGCTAAGTAAATTAGTATGGGCTGTTATTTGAGGCGAATCAATTTTTGTACTTTTTTCAGTCTGTTCAGCTGATTTGAATATACTTTGTAGCGGGTAGTTCTCCCAACACGTATAAATTTTTTAGCTTTATGTTTGTGCATAAGATTTCCACCCAGGTGGTAAGCTCCCATGGCACCAACTGGTAACCATGTCGGTATTTTAAACTCACATTGCAAATTTTTCTTAAATTTGTGCTTTGTCTTCTTGATGAGTAAATGTTTCCGGTCTTATTTCACGGCTCCTGCCACGCCTGTGGCTGACTGGTCCAAGTCGCCTTTCTTGTCTATCATTAGGGAGCTTCAGCATCGACGACGGCAACGGCAACGAAAATGTCAGTTTTGAAAATGAATTTCCTTTTTTTCAATCTTTGTCGCGTATATTCCAATTTGCTGAAAATGGCAGGTGCAGGCGAATTTCCCTGGAGTTGATTTCTTGAGGACCGCACTCAAGTTTAGATAGAGAAAAAGAGATTCGTCGTCGCTTGGTTACGTCCTCCATAAAACATGCAATTAGGCATTTTCACGTCGTAGTCGTCCAAGGACGGTAAAGAAATGTACAGAGAAGCGTGATGCATGTGCAGAGTTGTTGTTTTGCTAATATAAGCCTATTGCTTTTTGACGTCTTCGTTGCCGTTGCCGTCGCCGTCGTCGTTACTAAAGCTCCCTATTAATGGTGCGAGGGATGGATGGGAAGAGCCACGGTCAAACGATAGAAATCTGCAAAAATTAAAGGTCAGGTTTTCATAAATAGCTTCGGCAAAAAAGGAAAATGAAAAGATGAAGGGTGATGCACTTTTAGGCCGCGTTTTGTCGGACATTTTCTTCAAATTTGCCCTCTAAGTATTCGACCAGAAGGTTAAAAAAACTCAAATAGATAACACTGGGTGTGTACCCACGGTGTGGGAGAGCTTTGAGTCAACCAAATTCTTTTTTTATGTTTGTATTTGCTGCAGATGTGTCCCGAAGTGTTCAGATCTAGGAAACTTATATGTAACGGCACACTGAGAAACAAAAATGGAACGGTAAGAATTGATATGCGTTCCCTGAATAGTTGAAGTAGACAGTGTAACAATTAATTAGCTGTTGTTCCCTTCAGTGGAACCTCAATATTGCAAAGGACAAGGACAGTAGTTCGCTATAGCGAGGTTTCGTTATGTCGATGTTCCTTTACACATGTTTAATTTTACTGTTATTGGGGCAAAGAATATCGACTTCGCTATATGGATATTTTACCGTAGTTGAATTTAAGAAGTCCTTGTATTTTTATCTCATTTTCACTCGAACAGTCAGTCCCCTCTTTCGAAAAAAGTAGCAAATTAATAGACCACTTCCGAGTTCCAAAGACCCTCACTTTCATAATGAGGCCAAGAGCTCAACCTTTCTTGTGAAAATGAGTTTTATTTGCATGAGATTGAAAATCATTTCCATATCAAAGGCTGAGTACTTAACCTCATTTTGATGAACAGGTCTGGGGAACTCGGAAATTGCCTATTGGCTACTATTTTGATGCCACGTTTTATCTCTTTCCCATAGAAATTACAAGTGTTTCTGTCCGAAGCAGTATTTCTTCTCACCCGACCGGCGACAAGGCAGGGTAGAGCAAGCTATCAAGTCTTCACACAGGTTTGTTGAAACTTTTTGCTGCTACTTTGGTATTTTCCCGCTGCAAGGAAATCTCGCTATAAAACGATGCGATATACTAACCATGCTTCTTTCACCATCAAAATCAGCCACTAATAAACATCTTTCTGTTTCGTTACAGTTCAATAATTGTTTTATCATTCGATCACCGAGTTTGTTTTTTAATTATTTGCAAAGCGATCTACAATTTTCACGCAAGAGTGATCGCACGAAGGAGAAAAGCGTGGTTTCATTTACGCATGAGCAGAATGTTGTTTGCAGCCAAACACCGTTAGACGACATTGCGCATGAGCGCAGTTAGTTGCAGGTCACGTGGCTCTAATGATGATGTGTTTTTCGTGTAGTGCCTTGAAAACAGTTGAAAGTATTTTATTCCTTATTATCCACTCGTCCTTATTATCGGTAGCCAATCCCCGTCGAGCATTTATTGGTTGAAGATCTCCCGGATGGTGACGTCAGAATGGGGGGTTCTTTCAAAACTGCCATCCCAAGACTTGGTACAGGTATGTTGTGTAAACACAGTAGTCAAACAGTGGTCGTTACTGCAGTGCGGTTCACCATGACCACTACACGCACTCAGACGATCGTATTTAACTTCCTTAAGTTTTATTTTTCTCGTAACATGACGCGATAGTGATAGTGAGTCTTGAATTCTTGAAAAAGTCTTGAAATTTCCAAACTAAAATTTCCTGTCCTGGAAAAAAAACTAGAAAATAGAGAAAACCTCCAGAAAAAAATGGTAAAATGGCTGGAGTTTTATCTATTTATTTATTTTCAAAACTACTACAATTAATTAATTGCTAAATGAATTTTTCGTTATCCGGTGGTCAAATCTTATTCATTTTAGTCTGCAGCCAGACCATCCAATAGCAGAATGAGAAGCTTCAGAACTCTCCGAATTTCACTGTGGTTACTTAAAGTTTGCACTGCATCATAGGAATTTAGGCTTGGCTTCTGCGTTTGTCGAGGTTTATATCAATCACTTATTTGATAACCTTGAGTCTGGTAAAAGAAATCAATGTTTTGGAAAAAAAACCTGGAAAAAGTTTTGAATTTTGCATTCAAAAATCTATGCGAATACCTGTTATTTTATCTTTTTATTCCAACAGCTAGACACGTATTTAGAGTATCAAGTGTTGATGCTGAAGGAGGTCACTCACATACACTACAAGCACCGAATGAAGAGGAGAAAAAACAATGGCTAAACGCCATACGTAGCGTTATACCGTCCCCAGAAAACTACAAAACTTATCTCTGATGTCACGCAATCATATCCCAAGTAACGCTGCACCTCGGCAGACCGCCATGGCAACTGCGTAAGCTCTGCCGAACAGACTAAACCTCGAAAGCGGTTAGGTGTTTGTTTCAAGGATTGCTTTCTTGTGAATCTAAGGGGCTTGTAATCCATGGCGCGTGGTGTTAGGAGTCTCAATCTTCCGTCGAAACAAACTGCCTGGTCTGCAAAGCCACGAATTTGAGCAAATGAGCGATTGTTTGGCAATGTGAGTTGTTTTTATGGGGTCTTATGACGTCCCATTAAACTAGCTCGGACGTGGACGACAGGTCAGAGCTCGAAACTGTTAACGAGAGTCAAATTTCTAGAACAGACCACTGCAGAATTCCATACTAGCCTGTTCACAGACCCTCTATTTTCCCTTCAAAGTCAGTCGAGCACGGGTGATAAAATATAAACCGCAGGGGATTTATTGACCGCCAGCGCAAGGAGGTAGTGGTGGGGGAAGAAGATAGTTCTTTATTTTTCTTTCTCGCGCTCCCCGCTCGTTCTCGCGCGCTTGCTTCGCACGCGCGCTCCCCGATGTTTTCGAAAAAAACGATAAGAAAAATAAAACAACGTCTTTGTAAAGGCTAATTCCATACTGATGACGTACACTTCCCAGACTTGGGTAATGCTTGTGATTGGTTGAAGCAAATTTTCCTCGCGACACGACCAATCAGAAGCCTTACCCAGATCCTTGTAGTGATACGTCATCAGTATGGAATTTCTCCGCTCGTTCCTCAGACGTCATTTCGCGGGGAAACCAGTGATGGCCTCGCGTAATGTCGACAGTTTTTCTCAGGCAGTCAAATATCATAAATGCAGTTTCAATAACTTTCATTGTTAACCACAACTGGAAATTACGTGCTCTGTTCTATAGAGCTCGCTCTCGTGACCTGAAAATTATCAAATGGCTCCCCGGAGAATCAAGAATAATTATGAATGCGCATTATTGCAGCGCGAGTTGGGGGTAGTTGATAATACCCAATATGGGAATTTGTATCAATTTGTATAGTTATAAAGTATCTGTAAATATGCTTTAGAAAAGGAAGTCTTTTATTTACGTGATAGAAACCATATAATGGTAGATGTCATGGATTCGGTCACATCAAGTTGCTTCAGTATTATTTGTCAGGGCTGACTGGCCTAACCAATCCGTTTGTAAATTGATTGTGCCTCTTTAGACATCTCTGTAGCCCCACTATCCACATACAAATTCTTCAGACTCAACTCTGTACATTCCTGGAGAGTTAGTTGAGAGAATTGGGTTAAGGATAAGAATGTTTCCCTGAGGTGATCCTTTTATGTATATTTAAAAAAACTGATGTTACGATCACTCTTGGAACTTAGAGGGTTACGTTTATCAGATTGGCGCATACTACAACGCGAGACGTTACAACTGACTCGGGTCAATGACATCATTCTCGAACACGTGCTATAGTCGACCTTTTTCCTTCTTTCCTTCCAATGTTGGCCGCAGAATTGGAAAAACTGAGCTAAAAAATCAATGGTCAACAACATTGGGAGAGAAGAACCGTTGCAAAGTGGGTTGAATGTCCATGATTGCAGCTACAATCAATCAGAGCCTCTACTCACCTCGGACAGATGGGGAATGTTTCTTATGAGCGGACCAGTCTCGCTGCTGTAGTTGACCTGAGTTTTATGAGACCGAGATAGGTTAATAGTTGCGCGTTTTGGCTGCCCGTTTTACCAAAACCTTACTGTAGTTAGGAAATGTTTGCAATAAGAACAACAATAGCTAACCTTGACCGAAGCAAGACTTGAAATGTATTTTTTAGTTGGGCAGTCGTAAGACAGATTCTAGGATGCCCTTCTCACTTGCTCGTGTAGTAGCCTACATTAATTGATAAACCTTTACAAGTGTGTAGCGGTTACCGTTAATCGCGTTCGGCATGTTTTTCAGTTGATCTCCCGCTGGGATCGCATCAAAATTGGGGCGGAATATGGCCTGTGAAAACGGGCCTTCACCTAAAATCACGGAAGTTGTTTTACATGACGAGGGACTTCGAAAGGGCTTTAAGTCAGCAAAACGTCTATGGGCAATTATATTTCTGCAATCCTGCGCTTAACTAGAGGCGTGACTGATAATGAAAAATTCTTGCGATGGAAATATATCTCTTAGGTAATATATTTCATTTATTGGAGCAAAGAAATCTAGGAGTAAGCTCCTTAATGTAAAATTTAGATACTGGTTGTAAAATTATGTACAATGTAAATCATTTATCTATGACCTGGAAATTTTCTATGTAGGCTAGTTCAATGTAAATATCTATAATTCCTTTAGTTCTCAGATTGTATGCGGATGTTACTAAAACGGGCACAGGGGAACGGGCACGAGGAAGGGGAAAATGAAAAATGGGAGCAAATGAAAACTGGGCAAAAAAGCAGAATTGCAGATGAAGTAATTGATAGGGCTAGGGTTCAAGTTAGTTTTTTTTACCATTTTTCTTTTTTCCTTTCCCCGTGTTCGTTATACCGTTCCCCGTTTCCCTCTTTAAGGTACGTGCAACAGGTTGTGCAAACGAACGCAAAATGTAACATCCAGTCATCCAACAATGTTGTGTGCGTTTGCACGGGGCTTAAGGGCCTGTTTACATGGAGTTGGGGGACCCCAGGTAGGTGAGGTAACCCGCTTAGGTGGGGTAACCCGCCTGCCCATATGATCTCTTATTTTAATTTGATCACGTGTACATGATAGGTGGGGTGACCCGCCAAGGCGGGTAACTCGGTCTGCCAGACCGGGTAGCCCTTTCAGCCGGGGTCAAATTTTGCCGTGTAAACGTTGAAGGTGGGGTAACCCGCCTAGGCGGGGTCCGAATCGTGATACATCCTATTCGTGCAAAATTCACTTTGGCGGTAGTTTACATCATTATTGAAGGAAAAAATAGAAAGCCAAAGCACTGAAGGTTGCAGCAAGAGCAAGAAGTGAGTTTAGAAGAGCATTAATCGCCAAAATGCGTGGTTTGCCAGGATTTTTCTTGTTTACGTGCAGTTAGCGACCATTCAATAATCTTGAGAAAGTGCACCCCGGGATGGCGGGGTTGTAAGATTGCATGTAAAGGAGGGTTATTTTTTACCCCACATAAGCAGGTTACCTCACCTACCTGGGGTCCCCCACCTCCAGGTAAACAGGCCCTTAGTAACATCCGACTGAAACCAGGGGTCAATTTAAGAAAACTTTTGCAAGTATAATTTACAAGTGTAGCCATTTTCTTAGAGTCTGAAAAAAATAGCGATACTTGTTATTTACACTTATAGAGGTGTTACGAAATTGACCTCAGTGCATGTTGGTACAGCCACGTAAAGGTGTAACAACGTAAGTCGATCTGGACACGCAAAGGCTCACTTGATATTCAAGTGAAAATAAAGCTTTAAGTGAAACGCACCGAGTTTCAGCTTGTGTTCGTTATAAATTGTCAGCTAAAATTTTCAAGAAGTGCCTGAAACACTCCAGGACATTTTCCCTGGTATTTCCATTCTCGAAGAGATGATAAGTCATTGATAAATTTCAAGGACGTCTTGTCACTTTTTGTTTTTGTATTTTTCTTTTTCGTTGATGGCAAATGGTTGCTATTCCGGCACTGAACAATTTTGAAGATTGCTGTACACATTTCTGAGAAACTTTCTGCGCTTTTATAATAAATAATTGATAGTTATATATAACCGAAAAGTTTTGAAAGTTTTTATTAGTTTTTTTTTCTTTTTTTCGTTTGTGCTTTAAAATGTCGGCGAGTCGACAAACTTTTCATTTGAGTGCGTTCTTGTTCATGGATGAACCGCAAGCGTGCTTTTCTCAGTACACTGCCAAGGTACGGTAACGTATACGTTCTGCAATTGAGACCAGTTTTAAAAGCATCTCGAAGTCCCATGCGTATTCACTTTTTTGCCAAAACTACGTCAAATATTTGAGCGTGTTCGGCAAACTTTCCATGTTGAATGTGTCCTATTTGAGCGTTGATTGCCCATTGTTGAACCATAATCGGCGGGTGCGTGTTTTTCTGGCAGTGTCGAGAGAAAACTCTTGGGAGCGAACCTGCTAAAAAACAAAATATTTCTCATAGTGGATAGAATTTTTAATCGAGCGATCGTATAAATGGCACACATCATTTCATGTTGATCAAACTTTTTGAAGTCAGAAATTTGGCGTAGTGAAGATCAAACTCAGCTCAAGCGGTATCTGGCCTTGTCAGTCAAGATTCGCTCCTGCCTCTTCGAAAATGCCAGGTTTGTTCATAGTTCAACTATTATTTTTGGCTAGTTAATATATACGTCGTTTGCATTAATTGTTGGCAACAATCTAATCAACGGAACGGTGAAACAGCCGTCAGTTGTTTATCGGTGCTTAATTCTGCATGCTGTCCAGTTCTACTCTGACTGCGGCAGAGAATATACACGGAGCGATGCATTATTTTATATTTTAAAGAGGCATTTGTGCTAATAAAAGTTTGATAATACCGTATCAGTGAGATTTGAAGGTAAATTATGTTTTGCTGGCAATGCCACGTAAACGAGTGAATACAAATAATGCGTATGGGATGTAAATGCACCGGCCCGAGTTAATAACGTGCTCGTTCAGTCTAGGTTGGTTTGGAAAATTCCATGGTACATCGTAAAGTCTTGATTGCTTAGGTTTATTTCTCAATTTTTTCTTAAGTTTCAATACATTTCTTGTGGTCCAGTCACGTACAACCTTTTTATTTTTTAGATAATTCACGTGAATGTTCTTAATAAAAATGCAACTTCAGAGAGTCATCTTTTCCGAATAGATGAGTGGGTGACAAAACTTGATTTCACATTATGTTTAAAAATTCCAGATGATACTTCCCCTGTAGAGTGAAGATTTAGCATGACGGCTTGCATATAGAACTTAGGTGTAAACACCCGTGCACTAGAGCTGACTAGAGGAGTATACTTTTAACGGTGCTACAGAGGCGGCAGAAAGGTATCAAAGGGAGAAACTAGATACATATAGGTGGTTATTACAACGACAAATAACACCTTGCATTTTTTAACAGGAACTCCTAACTACAGTAAAGAGCAGAACAAGTTGCATGCAAGAAAGCCTTCAAAATATCAATAAAATGAACTGCCACCGTCCTTAACAGGGATATGCAGCCATACTCATTTGTGTCTGTGTCATTGATTATTCAGTATATACCAAACCTGTGGTAAGTTCCTTTTTTGCATAACACAGTCGGTTAGTCAGAACTTGCAATGCACTTTTCCTTTGTTTTGAACAGGACATTATTTTAGATAAATGAAACAACAGGTCACTGAGGTGGAACAGAAGGTTATTACAAATAATAACCTGCTGTTCTACCTCGGTGATTCCGATAATGACCTGTTCAATCTAAAACCACGGAAAAGAGCACAGGCGCTCGGGAATTATTTTACAAATCGCCTCGGAGATCGATTTTTATCCTGTTTTTCTGTTCACGCCGGCAACTTTCTTATCAACAATATCAACACGTTTTTAACTGGTTTGGTATATATACCGTAACAACTACAACTACTTTGCATTTCTAAATACATCAAACCAATTTCCGAATTTCTGGCCAAAACTTATTACCATTAAAAAGAAGTTTGCGCTGGTAAATTTGGTAAGAGATGTAAAGTTTAAAACATACTTAAACATTACGTACAGCTAAATTAATCAACGCGAACCACCAAAAAAGAAATTGTAAAATTAAAGCAAGAGTGTATTACATAAATGCAAACCTTTTTGACAACCATCATAAATTCAAGAAAACTAACTCAGCAACTCAACAACTCCAAGAAGATAAAAAAAAGACACAAGGTAGGTAAAAAAGGTAAGTTAAAAAGTAAATTTATTTTTTTTTCCTTGAGCCCTGGGGACTAAGGCTCCGCCCAAGGGGGGAGAGCCCTGGGGACTAATGTGTACGACCACAAGAAATGTAGTCGACTCCAAAATATTATGGTCAGTGTTTCCAGTGTTTAGCCCTGGGGACTAAGGCTCCGCCCAAGGGGGGAGAGCCCTGGGGACTAAGGCTCCGCCCAAGGGGGGAGAGCCCTGGGGACTAAGGCTCCGCCCAAGGGGGGAGAGCCCTGGGGACTAAGGCTCCGCCCAAGGGGGGAGAGCCCTGGGGACTAAGGCTCCGCCCAAGGGGGGAGAGCCCTGGGGACTAAGGCTCCGCCCAAGGGGAGAGCCCTGGGGACTAAGGCTCCGCCCAAGGGGAGAGCCCTGGGGACTAAGGCTCCGCCCAGGGGAGAGCCCTGGGGACTAAGGCTCCAAGGGGAGAGCCCTGGGGGGGAGGGGAGAGCCCTGGGGACTAAGGCTCCGCCCAAGGGGGGAGAGCCCTGGGGACTAAGGCTCCGCCCAAGGGGAGAGCCCTGGGGACTAAGGCTCCGCCCAAGGGGAGAGCCCTGGGGACTAAGGCCCCGCCCAAAGGGGGAGAGCCCTGGGGACTAAGGCTCCCCAAGGGGAGAGCCCTGGGGACTAAGGCTCCGCCCAAGGGGAGAGCCCCCTGGGGACTAAGAGCCCGCCCAGGGGAGAGCCCCTAAGGGGGGGAGCCTGGGGAAGGGGGGAGAGCCCTGGGGACTAAGGACTCCGCCCAAGGGGGAGAGCCCTGGGGACTAAGGCTCCGCCCAAGGGGAGAGCCCTGGGGACTAAGGCTCCGCCCAAGGGGAGAGCCCTGGGGACTAAGGCTCCGCCCAAGGGGGAGAGCCCTGGGGACTAAGGCTCCGCCCCAAGGGGAGAGCCCTGGGGACTAAGGCTCCGCCCAAGGGGAGAGCCCTGGGGACTAAGGCTCCGCCCAAGGGGGAGAGCCCTGGGGACTAAGGCTCCGCCCAAGGGGGGGAGAGCCCTGGGGACTAAGGCTCCGCCCAAGGGGGGAGAGCCCTGGGGACTAAGGCTCCGCCCAAGGGGGGAGAGCCCTGGGGACTAAGGCTCCGCCCAAGGGGGGAGAGCCCTGGGGACTAAGGCTCGCCCAAGGGGAGAGCCCTGGGGACTAAGGCTCCCCAAGGGGAGAGCCCTGGGGACTAAGGCTCCGCCCTGGGGGGGAGAGCCCGCCCAAGGGGGGACTAAGGCTCCGCCCAAGGGGGGAGAGCCCAATGGGGACTAAGGCTCCGCCCTGGGGGAGAGCCCTGGGGACTAAGGTCCGCCCCAAGGGGAGAGCCCTGGGGACTAAGGCTCCGCCCAAGGGGGGAGAGCCCTGGGGACTAAGGCTCCGCCCAAGGGGGGAGAGCCCTGGGGACTAAGGCTCCGCCCAAGGGGGGAGAGCCCTGGGGACTAAGGCTCCGCCCAAGGGGGGAGAGCCCTGGGGACTAAGGCTCCGCCCAAGGGGGGAGAGCCCTGGGGACTAAGGCTCCGCCCAAGGGGGGAGAGCCCTGGGGACTAAGGCTCCGCCCAAGGGGGGAGAGCCCTGGGGACTAAGGCTCCGCCCAAGGGGGGAGAGCCCTGGGGACTAAGGCTCCGCCCAAGGGGAGAGGGGAGAGCTCCCCAAGGGGGGAGCCCTGGGGACTAAGGCTCCCAAGGGGAGAGCCCTGGGGACTAAGGCTCCGCCCAAGGGGGGAGAGCCCTGGGGACTAAGGTCCGCCCAAGGGGAGAGCCCTGGGGACTAAGGCTCCCCAAGGGGAGAGCCCTGGGGACTAAGGCTCCGCCCAGGGGGAGAGCCCTGGGGACTAAGGCTCCGCCCAAGGGGAGAGCCCTGGGGACTAAGGCTCCGCCCAAGGGGGAGAGCCCTGGGGACTAAGGCTCCGCCCAAGGGGGAGAGCCCTGGGGACTAAGGCTCCGCCCAAGGGGAGAGCCCTGGGGACTAAGGCTCCAAGGGGAGAGCCCTGGGGACTAAGGGCCCAGGGGAGAGCCCTGGGGACTAAGAGAGCCCGCCCAGGGGGACTAAGGCTCCGCCCAAGGGGAGAGCCCTGGGGACTAAGGCTCCGCCCAAGGGGGGGAGAGCCCTGGGGACTAAAGGCAAGGGGGAGAGCCCTGGGGAGCCCTGGGGACTAAGGCTCCCAGGGGAGAGCCCTGGGGACTAAGGCTCCCGCAAGGGGGGAGAGCCCTGGGGACTAAGGCTCCGCCCAAGGGGAGAGCCCTGGGGACTAAGGCTCCGCCCAAGGGGGGGAGCCCTGGGGACTAAGGCCCCCAAGGGGGAGCCCTGGGGACTAAGGCTCCGCCCAAGGGGGAGAGCCCTGGGGACTAAGGCTCCGCCCAAGGGGAGAGCCCTGGGGACTAAGGCTCTGGGGACTAAAGGGGAGAGCCCTGGGGACTAAGGCTCCGCCCAAGGGGAGAGCCCTGGGGACTAAGGCCAAGGGGAGAGCCCTGGGGACTAAGGGGGAGAGCCCTGGGGACTAAGGCTCCGCCCAAGGGGGGAGAGCCCTGGGGACTAAGGCTCCGCCCAAGGGGGGAGAGCCCTGGGGACTAAGGCTCCGCCCAAGGGGGGAGAGCCCTGGGGACTAAGGCTCCGCCCAAGGGGGGAGAGCCCTGGGGACTAATGTGTACGACCACAAGAAATGTAGTCGACTCCAAAATATTATGGTCAGTGTTTCCAATTAGGACATTTGAGTAAGGTTCTTGAGTAAGTGGCTATGTTCCATGGAAATTGCTATATGAAAGTGATGGGAATGCTTGCTGGAAAATCATTAGAAACCAAATAATATTTGTGAAAAGATTAATATGGGCATGGTTTACGGTTTACTTGTGTTGCCTTCCAAAAAAGCTATACTAAACCAGATATCCACTTCCTGGAACCAGCTAAGAGCTTTAGTGGTTTGGGAGAAAGATGTTGAGATGAAAGGTTTCTTATTTTAAAGGGTTTTGTTTTCTCTGTATATTTATTCCTACACACTAATCCCAAGTTGTATCGGTGAGGGTAAAAATATTGAACTCTGTAAAGTGACATTAGAATCTCCAATTAACACCCCAAAGCCAGATGACAATTATTATACAGTTGAACCTCCATGTGTTAATTCCTCTCGTAGGCGACCACCTGACACATGGTTCTACTAAACAGGGAATTACATTGTAAAAATGTACAAAAAGGAATTTATTCTTTGGTTGTCATTATTGTCTACACACCTATATCTGTGTGAATTAGTTCGATCTATAATTTCCATATTAACCATTACCGTTGAGAAGGAGACTTCAGATTTCCAGGTTGCAGTTTGAGAAGTTAAGCTCTTGTTCGTGAGATGTTTTAGGGACAGTTCTGCGCAAAAAGTCATGTGGACGAGTACAATTTCTTGACCACAATTTATAACGCGTGTTATCTATTGTAATTAAGTGCATTATTTATTGAACTGTCACATAGAATAGCTGGTGAGTTTGTCAATAAAACTAACAGTAACATTTAGCAGGGGACAGTAAACTTTCATTATTGTTTTAGAATAAATATACCAGTCCATTCTAGGGTGACTAAAAAATTTTGCCCTTGCGGTCCGACTCTGGGAAGCCACCACCTCCCGTAAGCAACCACCAAGCCTTTCAAATTGGGTGGTCGCTTACGGGAGGTTCGACTGCATATCCCCGTATATTTTACATGAGAGTTCCTGGGTGCAACCTATAATGTGAGAGCCCACCCAATCTTGACATTATAGATGGTCACTTCCTGTACAAGGGCAGTGCACAAGGACCCTTGAGGAAGTATTAACCCAGCTAACCTCTAGTCGGAGTAACTGAAAAAAAAGAATTTTACACACAGAGCTGACTACAGTTTGTATTTAAGAGTGAAAAATGCAAATACAACAAAAATATTGTTATAATGACTTTGTTTATCAAGCAGTAAATTAAGAAAGACTGTTTTGTGGGATCTAATAATAAGAATGTATTATTTATCTTAAGTAGTGTCCAGAGGACTTCATCATACCCAAATAGTACAAGTGCTGTTTCTAAACTTGGGAACCAATGACACTAAAGTGTAAAAGCCATGGACAACTGCAACAGTGCTGCTTATTACTGTTAAAAGGCTTTCAAAAACAGCCAAATTTTTGTAGCTCATGAGTTATTTTAGCCCTTAGTTAGAGACATTCTCCAGCATTGGAGCACTAAAAGTGCTGCTTGTTTCAAATGGGCGAAGCATTTTACACGCATATCTCTACAGAGGAATTTTCTCACTTGGATAAAATAATTTTCATCACTAAAATTAAAGTGGTGGGATATATACATTTTTTCTGTCTGACGAGAATATCGCTTGCTATATGTTCAAGGAGGCTAATAACCAGGTCAAATCGTCAGTTAAATCAATGATTTATATGAATATAAACTTCTATACATTATAGTCAAGAATGCTAGACTTTTCTTATGGGTTTTCTATTGTCTTATAGCTAACAAAATCTGCTACTTTATATCTACAATAAACAAAGAAAAGAATACCACTACTTTTTCTTTCTTAAACTGCAAGGTCTATCAAGTAATCTATAGGAGAATGTACAAGTTTACAAAATAACAAAGCTAACAAAACCTGCTACTTAATTTTTATACACTTTTAACTTATAACTGAACTCTTTTTCTTTTCTAAATGCCAAGGTCTGGAGTAATCTATACAAAAATGTAAATACTAGGTAATGCTGACAATATTATCTATGATATTTTCAATTACAGGTACCTGCAAGGCTGGCAGAAGGATTTTACGGCTGTGAAAAAGTTGAGAGAATTTTCTAGTTTTGTGATTTATTCATAATTAATAGAAAGTGCGTTTAAAGCAGTTAAAGGGATGCAACATTCTGAAGCTAGGAAAGTGAAAGGGGTACCATTTGTCAATGAAAGGTATACTTTCTGTCAAAATTGGCACATGTATATAAAAGGACACAGGTTGGACCTCCAGGCAGAGCCTCCTTGTACAATACTTTGTTAACCCTTTAAGTCCCAGTAGTGACCAACATCAATTTTCTCCTAACAATATCCATAGATTGTCAAGTGCAACATCTATGAGAATTAATCAAATGATCACAAAGAGAAAAATCTCTGATCTTTTATCAATTTCTCCCAACTCATTCCGTAAGGAAATGTATAGAGATCAGTTTGGAGAATTTGTTTGTGGATATTGGGGCATTAAAGGGTTAATGCCCCCTCCCAGGGAATGTTGTCAGCAATGCAAGTTAATGATACTAACAGGGTACGCTAAGCATCACTTTTTAGTTAAACAGCAAACGTGAATTTCTACCACCTGACCAAGTTTCCTAGATTTATTTGTCGTTTACTTTCACACAATTTTTTTATCCATAAGAATTCTTTTGAGCTGTCTTTATCTCCTCATTTTCTATTTTGAAAAATTATCAACTTGAATCTGATATTGTTTGCTGTTTGTCATATATGTGAAGCTTAAACCTCTACTTAAGCTGCATCTGGATGTAGGGTGTGACCGCCTGTTACTGATCAGTAATAGTAGTTGAGGTATTCTTTGAGGCAGCCAGGAAGGGGTAGCAGTGGAATCTTGACTGATGGAGTTCGTGACAACTGTTGTCTGATGACAAGCCGGCAGGTTTCAATAAGTTTTGCTGGAGTTTCTGGAAAAAAAAAAATCAAGCAAAAATAAGCCTTTACTAATAATATCAACATGTTTTTCAGCATAACAAAAGAAAGGATAAAAGTGGGCCTGAGATGAATAACATTTATTAATTTGCTTATTAATTTTATTTTGCAAAAAAATATTTAACATGGTAACATTTTTCCAAAAAAAGGTGTCTTACTAGACAGTTTATCATTCATTCCCTCCAACTCTATCATTTCCTATTGGTTCTTTACCTCCCTGTCTGAAAGACCCCACCCAAAACACCTGACTCCAACTAACTTTCTCTGCATCTACCTATAGGCGAATCTTTCGTAACATCACTGTTTACACTTTTGTTTAGTAGCATATGAGTTAAACCACAGAGGGCATCACTGTACGCACAAATTAAATTCAAGAGTTGAAGAGTTGATTAATTTGTGCAATTTTCAGCTTTTTGCAAGCAATATAACAAAGGAAATAGCAGCCATCAAAAACTGCAAAATTGTTGGGTGGCAAAAAGGTTAATGAGCCCATACATACTTTTTGGTAAAGTTTTAAGTTTTTCAAAGATAATATCATTTCTTCTAAACTATTTGGTGTATTGGGCTCAAATTTTCACAGCTATCTGAAATTGTTATGCTGACGTTTGATTATTCCATGAGTTTATTGACCAGAGAATAAAAGGGACATGCTAATGAGCCAAAAAATGTAAACAAAGCTTTGCCTATTGCAAGATGAGAGTATGGATTTGACAATGCATAGTTTCAGCACCCCTCCTTTCTCACCGGCTTTTGATAGCAGGATTTTTTTGCATGCCACATCTGTAGCCAAATCAGAAGGTCTCTTGCTTTGTGAATTCCTCTGATAAACATTTGCTCCATACTCCAGAAGCAGTGCTGCACATTCCTCGTAACCACATAGTGCAGCTGTGTGCAAAGGAGACTGGTGTCGTTTGATTGCATTGGGATTAGCTCCAGCATGAAGCAATGATCTCGCACATTCTGTATAACCACGAAGACAAGCAACATGCAGGGCAGTTCCAAACTGATTCTCAGATCTCTCTAAGTTGGCACCCAATCGCACTAAAAGATCTATGCAACGAACATGTCCATTCAAGGCTGCTTCATGCAAAGGTGGGAAGGTGACTGTCAGGGAAGGGTTGACTTCTGCTCCTGCTTTAACCAACAGATGTGTACTCTGAATACACCCTTTGGAACAAGCAAAACACAGGGGGGTACTGCCATCTATATTGCGTGCATTTACCTGTGAAGAAACAAAAAGAAATTTGTCATGTATACCAATGTAAAAGCATAACATCAGCAGCAGACTAGCTGTTACAAACTTTAATGTACTAGTGATTAATGTTGTAGTGGTAATATTAAATGTTGTCCTCAGGTTAAACCAGAATTTAATCCTTTGTCTTTTATTGAATTAATTTTAGGGCTACATAGAAGGAAGCAAAGAAAATTGACCCGTTCATTCTTTAACATAATTGATAGAGTCCTTGATTTCAGTAGATGTGCAGAACTGCTGTCAGGGCTGAAGAATGCTTGATAGAAGGACAAATTCTTCATCAGCTAAAGATACACTTAATTGGCATGTTATCACTTTATAGTTTAATTTATTAACTACTCAACTGGTGCAGCACTCTTCTGCTGCTGTCAGAGTGGTTGATAAAGGACTAGAGAGAGAATACGCTAAAACACCGGGGATGTTCTCAAGAATTATTTAGATCATCATTAACAACTGAAGCATTGAATCATTATTGTATCAATCAATGATACTATCAAATTTGAAATACTATTGTGCTGTTTTTCATGGCTGTGGTAAAGGAAAAATGAAGAAGAATATTTGGAACGCCTGCAGAGACGAGCTGCTAGGATAGCGTTAAAGACAGTGCATTTGTCCACTGAAGATATGGCGGCTTCCAGTCTTGGTTGGGACCCTCTTAAGACGAGAAGAGAGAGACACATCATCAAGTTTGTCAAGAATCGTCTTGATGGACAAGCTCCAAGTTATTTCTCAGATTTTTCTCGAGAGTGAACTTGTGATATTCATGACTATTACCCTAGGTGTAAGGATAAGACAGTTATCTATTGATAAAGTCAATCTGGAGTTGACCAAGAGAGCCTTTTTTCATAAGGGGGCTACCCTTTTTAATGATTGTATGTAGTTTTGTTCATTATAAGGAGGCTACCCTTGTTATTGATTATATGTAATGTATATATCCCAGTTTCGTACATAGTTTTTTTTTAAAATAAATTTTTATTTATTTATTCATTTATTCTTTATACATCATCCTGTTTAAACATGTTATTATTATTATTATTACCAGCGTAATTTCTTAATATATAAGCAGAGCTCGAAAAAAACTTGAATTCCTTCTTGTCCTTTGGGCAAGCAGCTCTCTCATTTTGCTTGCCCAGGGCCACTTGTTGTAATCTATTAGATGGCAATGTTATAGGAAGAGTGCTGTTTAGAATGAAACTACCGTACATGGTAATAAAACACCAAGTCAATTTTCAGTAAATAAGACATTGTACTTGTGATCTTATATTGTAGGTAATATGTACATATTATTGCACTATAACATTCTTCAATATAAGGATTATTTACTTGTAATAACATGTAAAAAGCACACCTCAGCCCCTTCTGCAATAAGAGTTTCAACAGCTTGTGGATGACCACCAAAGCTTGCTTCATGTAATGGTGTCATAAGATCTACTGTTCCACCATTCACATGGGCACCATAAGACAACAGCAGGTTTATGAGATTCACATTTCCTTGCTGCGCTGCAATGTGCAGAGCTGTCTGATGGTTCCGTGGATGAGCAAAGTTAACAGAAATATCTGGGCAGGCAAGCAAATTTTTTATACATGCCAGAGGATGACTGTTCTCACTAATTGTTTGTAACAGGATCTCACTTGGGTCCATCATTGAAAGCTACAAGAAAGAACCAAAAATAATAGCTGTAAATTACAACAGAAAAAGCATAATTATCGTTAGAAACTGAATGGATTAAGTTCAGCTCAATTGGGCTCTTGCCTGTGTGTAACCTTTGTTTTCAATGAGTGAATTGCCTAGGTGTACACAAAGTCATAGCTTGACCATCCATCATTATTATGTGGAATGATCACATTTTTCTTACAATCTTCCTTGTTGCAAATAAACACCTCTTTTTTTCAAATACCTCTTTTATAGATTTTCAAGTTTGTAAATGCCACGCCTGGTGTATTATACAATTCACCTGTTCAGAAGATCATTTTCCCATTATTTTACATCAAATCCTTTTGAAACTTTGCAGTTTTACTAAATTAGGCATGGAAAATTGATCTATGATGGTCAATTTTTAAAAAAATGAAAAATATGAAAATTACAATTCTGTGTGACATCTGCGAAATGGGTAATTATCATTGATTAAACCACTAGCACAGCCAAGCGTAGCCATGACACACTAAGTGACTAAATCTGCAATCTACATTGCAGTCCCCTAAACAATATACCCACCCCTTTCACATACCCCTGCCCCCCCCGCCAGCCCTCTCCTCACCCCTCAGGCTCATACCCTCCCCCCCCCAACCCTCTGCTCATCCCTCAGGCTCCTTTAGGTAATGTACCTTAGCAGTGGTCATTTCCATCTGCATGGCCAGTAGCTTTGCAAATTCAATGAACAAAAGGAAATTATTACAGGTATGAGAAAGAAGTTCAATCCCGGGGGGAGTTAAATCCTCACGGGATTATGTTAGTAAACCAACATGAATGCCCTGCAGGTGTGACGTCATGTGAAATGGATCTAATGAGTGTACGTGAAGCCGGGGTCTTTGCCTTTGATTGTGTTTTGCAATTAAAATTTTGTTAATCCTGGAATATTAACCTTGCGTTTGCCGACTAAAATCTAGCCGCACGTTTGAGACCGGCTTTGCCGGCTTACGTAATAGTTCCATTGACTGATCGATTACCGGTATTTACCTTTGTAAACCTTTGAAACTATCAAACTGCTTACATGCACTGTTGGGAAGTATTTGAAGATGTAACACATAAACAGATTCTAAAAATGCTGGGAACATTTTGCTTCAAAGAGAGAGACTTTTGTTATCGATCGCTTTCTGCAGCTTGCATGCATATTTATGCTTACGATCTGTTATGATCAGACTTCGACAACACCAGAGCTAAAGCCAATTTCCCCTAATCTTTCCAATCTGTTCCTTAAAACTCTTTGTTTGCAGATGTCCAAAAATTTTAGAATAATTGTCTGAAGCTTGGATCATTAATTACCTTGAATTGTTCTCCAAATAAAAAGCATCTATGGCTTCAGTTCGGCTTTTCGCGCAGCGCCGAAAGTTGATTATCAACAAGGCCTGGACTCTCAGCGACTACAGGGTCTATTTCCCCATCGGGGGGAGTGGGGAAAGGTATTCGTCCATGAAAAGGAAACTGAAACACGGATAAAAAATTTGCTTTATCAGCATAAAAACAGGCGAAAAACCGAAGGCTATGTCAAGACAATAATTTCGGAATTCATAAGTGGCAAATTTAAATTTTTTTTGTTGACGTTTGGATGCCTTGTCCATTTTTTACCACATTCTCACCAGGGGGGCTTTGTCAAAAAATAATCACCATATTCCCGCGCTTGTTTCATAGCCGTCACTCGTGGTCAGGAAGCGAAGATGGCGCAGTCGAGGTGTGAAATGCAGTGATTCTTACCTTGAACGCCGTTTTATGTGATAGCGGCAAAGTCATGAGGAGAAAATCCAAGGGAAAGAAAACTCGTTCACAATTAATTGAGGAAAATGTTAGCTCCAAAAGCGGCAAAATCCGACAAAGGGCAAATAGACAGTGATCGGGCTCCAAACGGGTCGAGCTCAGATTTCTCTGAAGATGATACTCCTCTCGCCGTACGATTGAACACGCAAGGAACTAGCAGGCCAAATGACACAGGAAAGCCACGTATAAGGCCTTTTTTATCCAAGAAAGGGGCAAGCTTTGTTATTCCCCGGAAAAAGAAACAGACAAACGGTAATGCCTACTGAGATTTGTTGCTGATTTGTTACGTTGATCATTTCCAAACTCGTCTGATTTTTCACGTTTAACCAGTGCAAATAAGCTCATACCATTTTATACTTTTCTTTGCAAATCAGAACTTCTCCAGGTTTCAGATTTTAACTCGAGAGATGGAAAAGAGATGCTTCGAAATGTGGAGCAGTCGTACAGAGATCCAGCTTTGGGAGCGACGTTCAAGTTTGAAAAACTTGAGCTCGTACATAACGATAAATTGTCCGCAGAGGTAAAAATAAATATTGTTTGAACCAATTTTTACTTTCTGTAAACAAAACAGCATTATTTGATCTTTATGTATCACTTACGTCTGTTATTACGTGTTCTATCCCTACAGTATCAAGAAAAGAAGCAATCAATGAGAAATGAATGGCGAAATGCACGAGAACTTGAAGACAAATTTGCGTTCCTGTACACGCTTGAACGCAACGAGGTTTGTTACGTTCTTTAGGTTACTTTACCGACGACACCTTTGTAGTTCTGCAAACATCAACTGCACTTATAACTTAGCCAATTCATTCATTTTCAGTTGGATTTGGCAGGTTACTTCTACGTTATTTTTATTTTGCTAGTGGGCACATTAAAATGTTGATGATTTCCAGGTAGTTTTAAAGCGCTTACGAACAAAAATTATTTTAATTTTGTCAGCAGTAGACGCGTTATTTCGTGATTTTCGGCATATTTATTCCGCTTGATATCTAAGAATGATAAGCTTAGATTGAAAGATGACCAGTTTTAGAAAAGAATACTTTTCATGGGATGAGTTGAGGTTGAAGAAGGCACCACAGCCTACACGTTATTAAAATATCGTATGTTTGTGTCTTCGGTTTCCAGAGAAATTCCTTGTTTCCTTTCCTGTTTTTCTGCACTTTTTAAGGAATGAATTTAATTACTGCTCAGTTTAAGCATAATGTTATTTTTTAAGAACTTAACCAAAGGCGCTGTCAAGTAAAGCCATTATCTGGAAAACCATCTGTTTATCTTAGGGTGGCATGATATTTTTTTAACAGGATACTGCTTTGCACGGAGTTTGTTTGCAAGCGTTTTGGATAAAACCGAAATTTTATCTTGAAGTAATAAACAATGCTCAAATTACAGGATCAGTAAAAATATTGAAGAAAGTGAATTTATCTGGAAACCATCTGCCATGCTGTTGTCCATATCACAGCAGGTGGCTGTGTATTATTTTTGTAGATTATTTAGTGTAGCATTTGCAATATTTTAATTCTGAAAATGTTTGTATGTAAGTAGTTTGTATTTTATATAGAACTGAAAATAGTAGTTGTATGAACTGTAAGGTAAATGTGATCATACAACTGTTGTCAGTTAGTTTCTGGAAATTAAGCTTACATGTATATCAGGTGCCTCATTTATATGCTGTCTTTTTTTGTTTGCCATTATACAGTGAAACCTGTATTAAGCGGACACCCTCGGGGAATGCTGTAGTGTCCGCTTAATACAGGACGTCTGTCTAATACAGGTTTTATTAGAAAATGTCATATGAGGTGTCAAATACCATTCAAATGAACAGTGGAAACGTTTAGAATACTCCCAGAGACTATGACGATATACGTTTGCAGTAATTTCTTTATTTAAGTGGACCAGTTGATCAAAGTACCATAAACATAGATTGCAACTTGAACTTGAAGACATCAGATGAGTGAAACAAGCTCTATACAAACAAAACGAAATAGAAAACACAACTGTCCTGTGAAACTAATCAAATAAGTTAGTCAAGTCACGTTTTTAAGGTAAAAAAATGAAAATTTGTGGGTGGCAGTCTTTTGCATTTTCGGTGTCTGGCATGTTGGGTGGTGGAAATTAATTACAAGTGTCCGTTTAATACAGGTTGGAAACAATAGAAATGACCATTTCAGGAATTTTTTAGGTGTCTGCGTCCGCTTAATAGAGGTGTCCACTTAATAAAGGGAAATAGATTTGGGAACTTCGGCTACTGTCCGCTTAATAGAGGGTGTCCGCTTAATACGGTGTCCGCTTGATACAGGTTTCACTGTATTGAGCAGCTATCCCCATGCATATGGACTGTCTTTCCATTTCATTGGAAAGTTGTTGATTATGCAGATTGTGCTGCCAAATCATATCAATTGTGGACAAATTTCCTCTATACTTGAGTCTTAGGTGGTTTTTACATGAGAAAACTTGTACCGGCGCGAGTTTCACACCAGGATGACTTTTTCGTTTCATATCACGTTTACGTAATGACTGGGTGGTCATTTCATATCTTGATATTTTAAGGAACACTTCACGTTGATCAAATACATACGCGATTCAAAATCGCAAACATTGTGTATGGACTGCCTGTTCCAGTCTATCAGCAGACTGATTTCACACCGAAATGTATGGTCAGTTTGTGTTTACATGATACCATTGCGAGATTTTGTACCAGAGTGAAATTCTCACCCCGATACAACAACTCACACAAGGGTGACTCGCCCTGGCATGACATTTTGTGGTGGTATCATGTAACAAATGTAGAACCATGAGAGGTTGCATTTTTTTGTATGAACCCTGAGGGAGGTGAGCGAAGGTAGTGAAAAGTTTTAAAAAATTTAATCACTGCATTGGTGCATTTTATCATTTTACTGTTATGAGTGACTGAATTGGTAGAAGTAAGGGTGAAGGTGGAAACTGCACTTTTGCATGGATAGAATTTAGCCTATTTCTTCACACCACAGTAGTGACAGTTTTCATCTTCAACAGGCTAAGAGAATCTGCGAGTTGGGACTGGAAGTTGGTTCGTCATCTTTATCTTGTCTGGGTGACCCTTCAATGGGTAAGCAACTAAGTACAAACACATTTATTTGTATGTTGTGGTGACTATTCTAACAATGACGTAACTAAATTTAAACCTGAAATCTTTAGTGTCTAAGAGGGTACTCCTTTCATGTTTGATAATAATAATCTTATTAAACTCTTTCTAGTTTGAATTTTCCCATGAACAATTAAACAATTTTGCTACTTATTCCTCTTGTCGAAAACAGGTTTTAGGATCTGTTTTTGTAAATATCAAGGCTTTTATCAAGAACTGGGGGCCAAAAATGTTTACCTGGGCCCAGTTCGTCAAAAGATAGTTAAGCATAACTCAGGATTAAGCCAAATATTAAGCAAGGATTTCTCATCTAAGAACATGTAACTCAAGTGTACAAAGTGCAGGAGAGCCTTTACTCCAAGGTACAGCAATGATAACACAAAATGTTACTCTAAGCAATGCATAGGAAGGTAAATACACAAATGGAACAAAATTTAATCCTGGATTAGCCCTAATCAGCCTTTCAAGAACCAGGCCCTGGCTTTCAATTTTATTGATAAAAAAACAGTGGGTCAACAACAAAACAGTGAATAACAAACACTGGGCTATAACCCTAAAACGTCTTCAGGAGAACTTTGTTGCCTTTGAGCACACAGTTCTGCTGGTTAGAGCCATCACAGCTTAGTCACCACTGTTTATCCTTTTTGCCAGGTGTTTACCTTTGCCGTCATGCTGATGTAATTTCCAGGAAACCTCTACCTCTTGCTGCCCTGGGATACTTGATTATTTTCAAAGTCATTAAGGTTTGTGTTACAACCACTTCATGGCCATATTAACATGTTTAAGTGAAATTCCTTACCAAGTTCAGTTCTTTTGAGCTTTCACTAGACTTCTGTTGTTTATTAATAATTAATTAATTTTTTATGCCATCATTCATTCACTTAGTGATAAATTTAAATTTATGTGTGCAAATTCTCACATTCATGGCTGTATACACATCCACAATGTTACTGAAATGTTACATCACTATTCTTAAACTACTCAGCCCTCGTATCATTGTCTTGCCACAACAAATTCATGCAAATCATTATGGTAAAGACAATGTTTGAACATTTCCTAATACACATATGCTTTGCAGCAGAACTGCTCTTCAAGGTTTTTAAATGTAATTTTATTGCACCTTTTGTTTGCAGGGCAAGGTGAAACCTGTCACGGAAAGAACAGCTGGTACAGACTTGCTTGAACCAACACCAAACTTTGATTGTCATATATCAAGATCCATTCAAAACCTTCCTGCCAACACTCCACTTAGCCAACTGTTTGATTATTCCCAGGTACTTCTGTCTTCTCTCAGCTTCTTACCTGTCTTTGTAACAGGCTGTAATCCTGGTTCTCATATGCCCCTGTTGTACCTGCGACATAGTCGTGAATACTGCCTGCATTACTGCTGGGACATATGGGAAAATGCACTGCCATTTAACAAGAAACATTGCATGTCTTTACCTCTGGAATGCCCGTGAAGTTGAAATCAAGTCAGCTTTGCAAGTATGTCAGCAGCAAAGACTGGGATGGCCTCTGTTAACGGCAACTTCTGTTTTCATCTGGGAACAGTATCCAAGGTAGTACCGGAGGCTACATCTCAGGGTGCTCGGTGGCATATGAGAACCAGGCTTAAGAGCTAATATGAGTGGTGGCTGAAAGGGTGAAGGAGGCCTTCATGTGTTCGATGAGAAAAGGAGTTCTTGTTGTACCCCTACAGGGTTATTTTTCAAAGTGGTCTATGTCAAGGCACCTGGACAAGGTTTCAAGAGTAACTGGGTTGCCTAAAATAGGCAGCTATCAGTACAATTCTTTGAGAATAACAAACTTAAGAAAAAGCAGTCAGAACAAAAATTAATGATTTACAGGTAATAAATATTATATTCTGAGACCTGTTACCTGAGATCAGGTAAGAGTTAGGAAAGAACACAGAGTAGTTGTACTGATACTGCCGATCAGGATGTACTCCCTATATACATGGACATTACAGAAATGAAACACTTTTAGTTGACTTAAACTAACACACTGCTCTCTTATTTATTTTCAGTATTATTTCTATGAGTTTGCTGAAGAGGGTGATGATTTGCATGTTAAGCGACCGAGGCAGTGTCTGCCTTATGCTGTTATAACTTTCAGTCTTGGAGATTTCTCTACAGCTTTTCAGGAATTATCAATTACACAGGTGAGTTCATTTGGTCACAGGTGAGTTCATTTGGTGAAATTTGGTGGTAATGACAAGTGTCAAATCTGTCAGCCCCAATATTGGTACAAATTATTCTGAGTTTCTAATTTTTCATTTGAACTACTTAGGTGTAATCTCTTGAAATGGATTAAAAGGCCAATGGCAGGGCCCAGTTGCATCAAAGCTCAGTTAAATTTAAGTTTCTCTTTAATCAGCAGAACATTTTCAACAACTTGCTGGACAGAAAGAATTAAAACGGAAACTTTTTGTGTCTGCACTAACCCTGGGTTTTTGCTTTACATTTAATTTCTTTGCAATCCCTGCTTTACCGGGTTATGAAACTCTATAATGTGACTTTTAATGGAGGATGTGCAAAGACTTTCACTTTTCCCTTTGAAACTTAGATGTGGTGTCTTTGCTTCCCATGTTGTTACAGTTGCATTAACTCCCTGATGTTGATTGTTGTTGTCTCTGCAAAGCCTCTTAGTAGGAGACAATAATTGAAGAGCCTGGCGGTTAAAAGGCAGAATTTGCTATTTTGCTGTGAACTCCAAATGGACTTAACTGTGGTGCAAACCTCTGTTTATCATGTACTTAGTTTAAAGAAAAATTTTAAATATCAAAAACTAGCATGCTACTGTGGTGTTAATGGACTTAAATGAACAAACATTGTTTAAAAGTTTCTTTTTAAAGAAAAGTTTTGAAAAATGGGATGAAAACAAGTCCTACCATTATCTTGCTTCCAAATAAAGCAAAGCATTTAAAAAGTTTTTTTTTGTTTGTTTTCTTTTTAAAGGGGGATCAAAACAAGTCCCACCATCAAGAGAAAAAAAAGTCTCTAGGGTTGCTGTTTGATTCTTGGCCTCCTTGTTATATTTACTCAGCAATTTGAAATCTTGACAGCCCTGTGTGTCTGTTGTTAATGCTTGCTACTAGATTTACTTTTAAATTGCATAGAAAAACTTCCAAACTGAGCAATGCCAGTGCGTGATTGTATATTATCTTTTAAAGGATGAAATGCCAAGCAAAGAAAACAGCGGGCTTTTAGGCACAATCCCACCTTTAATGAGACCAAGCACAAGTAAGTTTTAATTTTTGACTCTTGGGAATTTTGCAGCATCACCATAATTTCCCAGTGTTTGTTGCTGGATGCATATTAGTGACCTTTAGTTTTTAAGACAAGGATGGCTATGAGGACAAGATTTTCTCAATACTAGGAATTGTACATGTGTGGACCAACTTCATTTTGACAGAAAATGTAGTAGCTGTTGTTATTTCTAGCAAGAATGTCGTGGTGGCGGAACAAGTCATCACATTGTTAGAAGTTTTATCATTTTGTGACTTAGAGAGGGCTTAACCTCCTTCAATAAAAATAACTGTGCTTACGTGTTGAGTTGAAAAAAGTACGACAAAGCTGTTATGGGTGTCTAGTTTTTGAGGATGTGCAAAATACCTTTAGTTGAATCTTGTCATAATGGCCCAACTGTTGCATTGGAATTTGAGGGTACATGACACATCTCAAGGCTTTAAACCCAAAGAAAGGAGTTATTAAGAAAATGGAGCGTAAATGGTATTTCATGCAGATGTTTATCTCACTTGGCTGTAGAAAGACCATAAAAACAACTAATAAGCACTACATCTTGGCACTTGACTGTCAAACGCACGTCACCAAACTTGTTGTGTTGGTGGATTGTTGACACTTGTGTAAGGAGTTGTTTGAGACATTCCCTTGTTCTGCATTATCAGTTTGTGTTAGTGTGTAACTGATATTATCTCTCACCATTACCAGGAATTGTTGATAACAGACAGGGAAGAACCAGCCATGTTCTGTGGACTGGAAAGATTTCCAACAAGGATAGGATCTTGGCCAACGCTCAGCTTGTCTGCCACTCTTTGCAGAAAACCAAACTCCCTTTTGACATGTAAGTTCATACTTAACATGAACATCATCTTTCTCCTCTTAGATATGTGGCATTGTGTTTGTCATTTACAGAAGCATTTTGACAAAATTTTTTTTCCATTACAAGTCTCTCCCGCCCACTCCTGGTCAAATATTATTGTAAGTCATTCTAACAAACACATTTTCATTTCATTTTTATTGGTCATTCAGGATTTACAATTTTGTTTTCTCACTACCCACAAACAGCAAAGCCAGTCTAGGTGGGCAGCATCAATGTTACTCGTCAAAATTAAATTGAGGTTAAGATTTTTTAACCTAGGTTGATTCTAAATTCTATTTTTCTCCTAGCCCTAATTCACGAATAAGTAGGGCAAGGAGACAAAGGAAATGGAGATTCAACCTAGGTCAAAACATTTTTACACGATTTAAAGTTTGACCTGTTACATCAAAACAAAAAAAATCCGGTAAGTGACAACTGAATGTCTCCCTGTAAGCAGTAAGTTACAGCAACTAAAACACAGTCACAGTGAAAGATGTTATCAAGCAGTTTTCACTAGAGAGAGGGAAAGCCTTGGTACATAAGTAATTCCTCTTAATTTCCACTTTCACTTTTTTGGTTTGTATTTTAGTGGTGAAAAGATTGTGATGAGAGAGAAAATCTCCTTTGATCAGCTGAGGCCGTTCTTAACCTTCCCACTTTTTCGTGCTGGTCCTCCAGTAGAAACAAAAATATGTAAAGGTGAGTTAATAGTATGATCATTAATTGTGGAGTATTTTGGTTTTTATGAGCATCTGTTTTGCTCTACTTGTAATACATGTAAGTTATGTTGATCATAATAATATGTAGTGTAGTTCTTGGTTATGGGGTTATGCATGGGAAAAGAGGGGGATTTTTTGCAAGAGGGGTGAAGGGGGTTGAACATTTAGACCCAAGGCCCAAGGAACTTCCAAGGTCCACCCACATCATCCCTTTGTTTTTGAGCCACCAATGCACATCAGAGAATCGTAGACAATCCTCGAAATTTTAAGGTTAATATTTTGAGTCTGATCCCAAGAGGCAGGTGAAATTGCATGCTTTCAGTTAGTTCTAAAACTATTATTTAAAATTATTGCTTTAAAATCAATTAATATTTTGTAGCATCCATGGCTGGTGATAAAAGTTTCTTTCTGCACTGTGATCTACTCCCAGTGGAAGACGATCATGGAAAGATTAAAAAACTTGTCAAGTTTTTCCAAGAAAAAAATTGGGTAAGTTAATAAATAATTTAACTACGAAAGTAAACGTGAAAAAAGAACAAGGTTTGAACCCTCCGATGGTCATTTTCACGTTTAGCAAAACAAGGTAAAAAAAAGCGTGTGTTTATATACTCTTGTGAATGGACTTATGAGGTACTGAATTAAAAGCTGTAAAATATTCATATAATCCGTAGAAGCAAAGATAACACAATGAACAATAAAAGTGATGCTAAAAATGATAAAAGATATTTAAAAGTGAAATAATCAAACAAACAAAGCGAAATTATCAAACAAATAACTTCACACGGATTGAGTTGCATTGTTTCACTCAAAATATAAGCACATGCTAATTATTTACTAATTAACCTGAACTTGAAAAAGACCGCTGGATGGTCGAAACATCATTCTTTTTTAGCATTAGCTTTTATTGTTACATCCTTTTAGAAAAATATGTTGAAAGTTAATAATTAACTAACACAGCGTTTGCTACCTTTCAATTGGAACTGGTCTTTTCTTATGTTGTTATGTTATACAGTCAAAGCTCTTGTAAGTGACCACCTTGGAAATTTGAAAAAGTGGTCATAACTAGAGCTGGTGGCTTATGAGAATTACCTCTCGTAAATGACCGCAAAGCGAAACAATAGAGGGTGGTCGCTCACGAGAGCTTCAAAAACTCATTAGTAATTTATAAAGAAAAAACAAAAAAATTAATGTTTAATGAGTGTCTTTAAATCTGATATTAGACACAGCTAAACGTTGGGTCCACTATTTTAGACCAAAATAACCTCAAGGTCTTTATCAACGAACCATTAGTGCAGTGTGCAGTTTCATTTAAGTGTTGTTTTTTTTAAAAAAAAGATCTTGAGTGGTGGCTTACAAGAGCTTAAAAACAAAGGAAAAGTCCAGTTGGGAAATCCCAAAAGTGCTCATGGTCTTGGTCACTTATGAGAGCTTTTTGTGACAAAGTTTAAGTCACAAATCAAACGGGGTTTCACAGAGGTGGTCATGACTAGAGCTGGTCGCTTACCAGAGTGGTCGCAAGGAGAACTTCGACTTCATGTAGTTAATAATCCCATAATACATTTACTCATACCTAGTCCGCCATTATGTGAAAGCCAGTGGTGATGATTATACGACAGGACATTGTATGGGAGACACTGGGTTGCCTTGGTTTTCAAGATTGCTAATTGAAAGTGTATTAAGATTGTATTAATGAACAGACGTATGTGTCTAACTTTTCAACATTGTCTCTCAACTTTGTCTCAAATTGCAGGCTGGTATTGTTAAATGTCCTGATGCGAACAGAGTCATTTTCCTTATACCCACCTCTCAAGTCACTCTGGATCTTGGTAAGTTTGCTTTATTCCATTTCATGTGAAGCACATTTTCTGACACAGGCAGTAATAGCATAGCTAGTTTCTACTTCTAACAGTTATTTGGTTTCTTCCTCAAAATTTGGCATGGAAGTAAAAGATTAGAATGAGATAAGGACTGAACAACCAGTATATGAAAGGAGAGACCAACTGCACTCTTCTTTCTCTCGTATAATAGTTTGAAAGTACTGAAAAAGCCTTTTGTCTGTTTCCTGTTTCCAGTATCACCCTCACAATGACCTTGCAGGTGTAACATACAATTAGTAGGAATGTCAACCCAAGTGTTAATTGTGTGCTTTTCCTTTTCAAATTACAGTGTAATGTGTTTATTTATTTTATCTCGTAGGAATCACCACAGTAGATTCTCCTGCAGCTCTTCATGTACTTCTTTTTGTAAATACACAGAAAAATTCCAAAGGTGAGATAGGTGTTATTAACCCTGGCGCTGCCAAGTATTGCCAAAACGAAAATTTTCATTTCAAAATTTCATCCAGGCAGTGATTATATCGCTATGCAGTAACTCACATCCTGTATTTATTTTGAAATTAGTGCTTACTCTTTGTTAGACCATGGAAGGCAGGGTGCTGATCTGTAGAGGGAGAGATCATAGGTTTGATCCCCTGTGTTCAGGACTGAAGAGACTGGTCTCTCAGGGAGAGTAGCCAGTCATATATCCGGCAATCCTCCTATTTTTGTTCTATTTGACTCATTTTCCAAGTTAGAGTAGCTTGCTGAATTTAATGCATTAGCCAGTTAAAAAAGTTTTTGCTGTCCAGGTCACAATTGTGTTGGATCAAGGAAACAGTGTTTAATCAGGATACTATCTCTTATTATTTATCTCAACCTTTTTTTGTATCTTCCCTTTTTATTTACAGACCCTTCAGTGAGAGAGGACAGCTCCAGAGAAGTAAAGACAGTCATCCAAATTCAAGATGAGCTGAAAAGATGTTTTAGTGATATCAGAGAGATCCCCACTGAACAGAAAAGATTGAGCCTGGACTCTGTAATACCCCAGGACAGAACTTCACAGGATTCTAAAGGACCAGAGTTTGTTAAGGAGTTAACCAATGAGCAAACAGCAACATGGAAAAATGCAGTCGAAAACTGGCTTAGTAGACCACATCCCTTACACCACCCAGCTCCTGTTGGTACAGCTAAAACAGCTGATAAGCTGCCTTCTCCTTTACTTAGCATTCCAAAGACTAGAGAACAACAAGCAGTAATGTCACAAAATAAGTTCATTCAAGATGTGCAAATTTGTCAGACAGGAGGTGCAGAGCAACAAAGAGCATTTGCCAGAACACAAGCTGATGAGAGAATATCCATGCAATTGAAAGGTGACAGCGGAGTACGGGAGCAGAACACCGGACCACCTCTTGTGCCCCTAGTGACAAAGAAAGCAGAACATAGAGAGGATCGGACAGGAAGTGCAGAGCAACAAAGAGCATTTGCTAGGACACAAGCTGATGACAGAATATTGAGGCAACTAAAAGGTGACCATGGAGCACCAGAGCAGGACACCAGACCACCTCTTGTGCTCCCTGTGACAAAGAAAGTAGAACAGAGAGAGGACTGGACAGGAAGTGCGGATCAACAGAGAACATTTGCTAGGACACAAGCTGATGATGGAGTATTGAGGCAACTGAAAGGTGACAGCAGTATAGGGGAGCGGGACACCAGACCGACTCCTGTGCCTCTGGTGACAAAGAAAGTAGAACATAGAGAGGACCCCAGACTCAAGAGACATTCAGTTGATGGTGAACCTAGCCCAGAATTAGAATCTCCTAATCCAGTCAAAGGTAATGACAGTATGCCATATAATGCACAGAATGCACTAATGGCACAAGGTGTGATTTCTTCTTCTGTCTCAACGTCAACTTCATCAGTGACAAGTCAGCAAGTCAAGTATCAAGTGAATGATGAAACTGTTAGAACCGTTTTGGGGAAATTACAGATTCCAAAGCACAAGGACTTGGCTTATCAAGTTAGTGTCAATGATGGTACAAGAAAAGCTTTAGAAATACTGAAACAAACGGAAGAGTCAAAGACAATCACTGCTGATGATGCGAAAAAAGATGAGGGTAAGTTGGTCACTGCTGTAAGAAAAAATGACGGGAAGTCCCCGAAGAAAGGTAACTTAAGTGTCCCAAAGGACAAGGAGAAGCTATCTGTCAAAGAAAGAGTCGCATTGCTTCAAAGGAAAGAACATAAGGAAACAAGGAAAGAAAAGAGGCAAGAGTCATCGGAAAGACCTGAAAAGAAAAAGGCCAGGATTTCCAAGGGTTTAGAGAGAAATGATGCCCCTGTAGAAAAGCCTGAAAAAGCAGTTGTACAGAGTCCAATACCAGAACTTTCAGATGACTCTTTCCCAGCCATCTCATCAAAATCTTTAGCAATGCTGAAAAGCCCACCTTCAAATGCTGGTCCGACTTCCAAAGCACCTAAGTTAAAGCTGATCTTAAAACCCAGAAATAAAAATGAACCCTCTGCAGGGCAAGGGATCAACAACAGCAAGTCATCTGAACAAAAACCAACAGATGTTCCTGATGAAACAAAGTTAGATAACAGAGACAAGCCTGATCTTGGGGAGGTAAATAGGGATAGAAAGTCCATAGATTCACCGGTTGCTATGGATCTTAGTCCTCTGTCTCCACCCAGTATATCCGGTTCAGTTAGCCCCATAACTGTGGTCTCTTCAAAAGGGAGATATAATCCAGTGGCATCTTCTAAGGCAGCTCCCACGACTCCTGTGAATTCCACTCCAGCTCCATCATCGTTTCCTTTCAGCCCTCCTTTTCCACAAGGTCCATTCAGAAGTCCAGTATCACCTGTTGGGTTTCATGGTCAATCAATGTCAATAACTCCCTCAAGTGGATCTGCTCCTTCCATCCCTGGCATTAATCCCACCTCATCAACACCATCTAGTACCCCAATGCCTTTTGTTCCTCCGGTTCCAGCTAGCCCTGTTTTAACACCAACATCTGTTGCTCCACCACCTCCATCTCTTCCTATGGCTACCTCTATACCTCCAGCAAATGCACCTCCAACCACTGTACCACATGGATTATATCCGCCAGCCATTAATTCTATGCCACCTAGAATTGGAAGCCTGCCCACTTCTGTTCCACTTGGAGTAAGGCCTCCTGTAGACAGTCCTTTATTTACAGTCCCTCAACCTCCAGCATTCCCTGGAAATGTTCAGAGGAGAAACAGCTTGGACTCAGTACCCACTAATGTATCCTCATCCCCTGGAATGTTTCCACCGACACTGCCAGGTCAACAATGGAGACCACCTGCTCAAGGGTTGCCATTCCCCCATCCTCGTCAACCTGCAGTGAATGTTCCCCCAGCATCTCTTCCAAGGCCTTCACATCCTCTTACTATGGTCAGGCCACCTGTTTTTGTACAGCAGTTGGGTCCTTCACCACAAGTAAACCCCCTAACAGTACAACAAGCAAACACTTCACAACAATTTGGATTTCCACCAGTGGAAGCTCTGAGATTTGGTGTTCCACCAGCAACACCACAGCGAATGCCTTTTATGCGTCCCCCTTCATTACCTAATATGGTACCTTTGCCACCCCAACTGGGTGGAATTTCAGGGACCCCAATGGCCCCATTTTTTCAGCAAATTTCTTTTCAGCAACGTCCTACAGGATTTTGGCTTGCTCCAGTGAAGACCCCAGCTGTGTCGGATGCCAATTTGGGTAGAATGCCACTTCATCACAATTCAGTGCAAAAACAGGCAAATGGATCAGTGCCATCATCGTCTCATAAAAGCTCTGATCCAGTAAAACGGTATTCAAGAAGTGATGATGGTGCTAAAGGAGAAAGAGATGATAAAAAGGCAGAGAAAAGTGTGCTTCAAAAGAAAAATTCTGATGAAATGAACCCCAAAGAAGAAAATTCTGTCAACAAACCCTCTTTGAAAGTTAATGTGGTGAAGGGACATGTTTTAAACACATCAGATATAAGTGATGAGTGTGTCTCAGAAAGTGAGAAATTAAAAACAGTGAGTGCCACTGAAGAGAAAACAAGTGAAGAGGATGCCCTAGGTACAGATGCTGAGAAGGAGTTGAGTGCTGATCATTTTGAACAACCAAGGGATAAAAACCAAACAAAAGATTTCAACAATTTACAGGTGGATGAGAAACATATGCACGAAGAAACACCACTTGAACCAATGTTGACTTCAGATGCTCTTAGCAGTAAAAGTGAACAGGAATTGCCTGTTGTTGATGGTGGAGAAGAAGACAAATGTGCCGAAATGCAAGATGGAGATGATTTTTTATCAAGGAAGAGGATCTGTGAAGCCCAGCAAGCAAGCCCGATGGTGTCTTCAGATGCTCTTAGCAGTAAAAGTGAACAGGAATTGCCTGTTGTTGATGGTGTAGAAGAAGACAAATGTGCCGAAATGCAAGATGGAGATGATTTTCTATCAAGGAAGAGGATCTGTGAAGCCCAGCAAGCAAGCTCGATGTTGACTTCAGATGCTCTTAGCAGTAAAAGTGAACAGGAATTGCCTGTTGTTGATGGTGTAGAAGAAGACAAATGTGCCGAAATGCAAGATGCAGATGATTTTCTATCAAGGAAGAGGATCAGAGAAGCCAAGCAAGCAAGCCCGATGGTGTCTTCAGATGCTCCTAGCAGTAAAAGTGAACAGGAATTGTCTGTTATTGATGGTGTAGAAGAAGACAAATGTGCCAAAATGAAGGATGGAGACAATTTTGTATCATGGAAGAGGATCAGTGAAGCCCAGCAACCAAAAAATTCTTACGGGGAGAGTCAAACATCCTTCTTTCAATCCACAGTAATGTCCACAGAGTCTTCCAGTAACAAGAGCAGTAATGTGCTTAAAACGCAAAACAGAGATCAGCTTGTGGAAGAAAACATATCCTTTCCTACTTCCTTAGTAACAAATTATGTCACTGAAGCAGAGCAAACAAGCATCAAAGCTGTTAAAAAAATCTATGACATTCTGAGAAGCAATGCTTCAGAACCACAGCCAGAGACAAGTATGACAAACCAAGAGCCAGAGAATCCATGCAAACAGGATGAACCAGACAAACCTGATATCCCCGAGCCTGATGTTCACATGGATGAAGGTGGGATAATTTGACGATGATGTTAGGTTGTGGAGGCAGACAGGCAGCAACAGAAAGAACTTGAAAGGCAACTTTCTGCACATTTAGAAAAGACAGGCATAGTTTTTCTGGAGTTACTTTCACATAACATTTGATGTAGTAATAGTGTAATGTGGTTTTGCTTATTTTTAAGTATAATGTATATTTTAGTTTGTATAATTTCCGTTGTTGTTTAGTTCACAGAATCGATTAATACAATGTTTAGTCAAACTGTGAAAGGTTTGAACCCAGGAGTGATTTCATAAGTAGGTTGAGCATGATTGTCTGGTTGAATGTAGTCCAGAATAGGACTGTTGTTGACAGTGACTGATGTTTCGACAACCTGTGCAGTAGTCATCTTTGGAGTCAAAGTGAGTTGTATCACTTCAGTTGATGGTATTGACCTGATTGGTCAATTAAGTTGTGATGTTATCAGTCGTCTGTCAGTTAAGGCGTGATGTTATTGGCTATGAATACTCGTAATGTCATTGGTGCATTTCGATCCATCTATTATCATAGTTAAACAGTCATGTATTGTTAGTCAAATTGTCGGTTGTCCAGTCATTCTCTTGCAGTTAGTTTTGTTGGAGTCCATCAAGAAGTCATTTGTATGGTGCTGATAACATCGCCACTGAATTGATCAATCAGATCAATAACAAGAGTTTAATACCATCAAATGACATGATGTAACTCACTTTGACTCTGAAGATGACTACCTCACAGGTTGTTGACATGTCAGTCACTGTCAGTCCTACTCAGGACTACGTTCCCCCAGATGATCATGCTCAACCTACTTACGAAATAGTTAGTCAGTTTGATTTTGTTTTAGTCTAATTTATTAAAACAATTCTCGTGATCTTTATTTCCCATGACTGCTAACAGTTCTAATGTCTATGCATTGCTATTCTTGCATCGTAAAAGAAAACAGATTTTTTAGAGTAGTTTACATTTTATGTTTACATCTCTTACTTTCAAAGTGGCCTTAACTTGTTTAATCAACGCATCAATAACAGGTTTTCATTGTTTACAATCTTGGTAACCATAGTAGTGACATCAATTTAAGTTAGTTATCTGTCTCCTTTGGATTGTTAATACATAGCTTTAAAATTTCCTTTTCAAAGGTTGACTTTTTTGAGGTTTAGCTCCTCCCATTTCTTTTCTAATAATCTTTCATCTGCAAAACTTTGAATCAAGGTATGGCAAAGGAAGAAAAACTGCTCTTTAGTGGAGAGGAAAGTGCCTCAAGTGAACAGACCACTCACCTGGAGAGTGGATTGCGCATTGTTCAACTTCTTGACTTGGGTGGAAGTGAGAGTGAGAAAGAGAAGGACACAAGCGGTGGAAGATCATCTTCCTTGGCACCAAGTGAACAAGGGGGAGCTGGCACTCAAGAAGAAATTTCTGCTGAGTCATCCGAGGAATCAAAGAAAAATAATGGATCACTTGTGCCGCGTGTCACAGGCTTATCCAGAAAGACTAGATGGGACAATGTCAGTAACACCTCAGATGGTGACACTCCAGAAAGAGACCTTCCTGGTATTGTATCCACTTTACATCTATTGACAACAAGAGAGTACTTTAATTAGGGTTCTCCAGAAAATTTTAAAAGAGAAGGGGAAAAATAATAAGTAAACAGTAATATATTAGATTAAAAGACGCAGAGCACCTTTCATGTGGCACAGCCACTTATAATATTGCCTCTCTTCCATTGTGGAAGTCTTCCCCTGGGAAAATTTTTATTTGGTGGTCCTGAAAACTGCATTACCATGAGTATGGTAACTTTAACCCACATTGGCTTCATTGTATAATTTTATATCATGTGTTTGTTTTTTCAACTAAAGTGCGATGAAGCAAATACAAAGGATTTAGTATCCCTCTAAGCATTTTTCCAGAGATTGGCCCATGCTTCTGTGACAGCTAAACAGCGATTTTTGCCAGTTGCTGTTGCTTTTGAATAACCCCTGCAATGCAGCTTAAAATAGTGACACAAGGATCTTTTTTTTGGACCAACATTAGTTTTCTCCTAACAATATCCATACATCATCAAGGGAAAAAGATAGGAGGATTTATACAATGATCACCCAAAGGAAAATGCTTTCATCTTTTGTCAAATTCTCTCTACTAATAAAATTATTCTTTGATGAAATGTGTGGAGATTAGTCTGAAGAATTTCTGCGTGGACATTGTGGGCTTACGGGATTAAATGTAGTTGTTATGGGATTGGCCATTTGTGGGCCTTCAGATATCTTTTGATATACTAAGAGATTTCTGTCAGATTCAAATATTATAATAACCCTCTTCAGGGTTGTCACTAAGATGTCAAGTGTTCAGGTAAATACAACAAGAAGGCAGGGAATCAATCAGCTAGGGGTTTCTTTTGGTTCCATTTTTCTTCTGTTTTGCTTTGAAAGTAGCCAGGGGCCACATTCATAGTAGTATGGGGAAATCCCTGGCCCCCGCCTCTTAATACAGCCGTGCTTTTGTAGAACACAATAAACAGTGACAGGGCAAACTACTGCAGTGTAGATTTCCTTTGCATGGTGACACTTAAGGCATTACAGCAAAGAATCCAAATGTTAGGATGTCAGTAGTTTATTGTAAGGAGGTTACTGGTAAACCCACTGACTGAGTTTCCCTTCATTGCTAACCTGAAATTGTTTCAAACCTTCAGCTAGCTCAGGCATCTTCAAAAGTTATTCAAACATTTAATTCACTAATATAAAGAGAATAGGGAAGGTCATTGAAATCCAGTGTATTACTCCAACATTCAACAAGGACCCTTCATACATTTGGTCACTTGAACAATTTTAAACTGTGATCACTTGAGAAGAGCTTGTACATAAGAAGCTTTTTTTTTTGGAATCTCAGCAGCAACTTTCATTAAATTGGTTCCTTTTTGTAACACTCCAGACACTTGCATTCTTGTAGTACCATAAGAACTAATAATAATAACTGAGAGGGTGTAGCTCTCATAGCCATTGGTACTTTTAATTATCATTCCATCATACTGTTTATTTGTTTACTCTAGGACATTGCTCTGTTGGTATTAACTTCAAACAGCATTATTCCAAAACAACAGAGGCTACTCAGAAAACACATCCTGATACAACAGGTGCTCCAAGGGAACCTAAACCAAAGACTGTACGTGATGAGGGAGACAGTTCAACTTCTGCTATTAAGAGTCGTGTTTCTGTGGTTACCCAACCCTCTCAGAAAAGAAGAAGGCACAACAGTACAACGGAGGGAAGTGACTCAGAGGAACGTACTACTCCATCTAAACGAAGAAGGCCCGATAGTCATGTGCGAAGAAGACACAGACGGTCCCCGGAACGACATAGTCCTGTGGACAGTACAAAGAAGTCTAGCAGAGACAGGTCAAGATCCAGTGAGAGGCGTCAGCGATCTAAGCGTGATCACTCGAGAGAAAGGAAAGTCTCCTCAAGGATTGTCGTCAGTAATCAAACAACAAAAGGACAAACATTGAAGATAACCATATTACAAGGTCAGTGCAAAATGTTATTACAAAGCATGTACCTGGATGGTATTGAAAAAAGAAGTGAGGATTGTAATGTTCAGCAATGGTAAAACATTGAGTGAATTATTTCTCTTGGTCAGTGCTTTCTGTTTTGTAGTTCCATGCATCAAAATTTATTTTTGGTGTGAACCAGAAACTTGGGCAACTTTTTAAGCATTCCTGCCTTCTTACACTTTTAACTCTCTTTTAGTCCTTCCAAGTTATAAATGTGCAAAAAGAGAAGTATTATTAAAATTGATATTAAAAGCCACATGTTTTTTTTAGGTGCAGTGTATTTTTAAAAGTAATCATGATGTTGCATTTTTGCTTAGATCCCGGTCCTAAGAAGGGAAAGGTTGAACAAGAGAAGTCCGATCTTCTTAAAACACCTGAAGAAAGTCAACCGTCACAACAAGTAATGATGAGTAGCTTCCTTTCATGAATTAGATAATTTGCCACAGTGTACAGTGTTGATAATGCTATCATTCCAAACTGCCCAAAGTCCTAAATCTGGTTTGCATTGATACTGAATGAGCAAAACTATCAGTGTGCAAAGAAAGTCAGTTTCTTTAGCTGGCATGTACTAGCCCAAGAGTCATTTAAACTAGCCCTTCAATATTTTTGATGAGCAGGACTGATTACAGTTCTTCTGTAATTTGAATTTCCCTGGCCCAAAAAACCTCACTTTCCCCTCGGGCAACTTAAGAACAAAATTCACTAGCCCAGTAGCAAAATCTACTAGCCCTGGGCTATTGGACACGCCTTTCTGTGCATGCTGACCAATACAGTCTAAAAGTGCTGCCAAACTGGTCTTATTTAGATAATTGGCTCTTTATCTACAGACTCAAAATTAGAACTGCTCACTTGTTTTAGCAATATCAACTCAAGGAGAGACAACAATTAAGATTGCATTCTCCTGTTATGTTTGCATGGCTCAGGATCGCTTGTGAGGAGACAGTTTTCTCAGAGCCCACAATGCTGTGCTAGAATAAAGGCACCTTAACGATCATCAACCATATTTTATGTGGTTTAGATGCTGAATAGGGAGCGACATGTTTTTAATGAGTGTATTGTACTTTAGATAACACTGTTGTAGTGTGTTGTATTATACTGGCCCCAGTTGTTCGAATGCCAATTAGCGCTTAACCCAGGGTTACATTTAGCCCTGGTTTCTTTTTCTTGTGTTCAAAACATTTTCTCGGATAATTTTCTCTGTTATTTTTAGAGCTTCCAATCACCAACCTGTAGACAAAAAGAATTGAAACTGAAATGCTTTATAAGCCCTCAAATCTGAATTCAAATCTCGTACTAACCCTGGGTTATCTTAACCCAGCTTTGAACAGCTCGGCCCTGGTGTTTGGAAGGGCTCTGTGTAGTTCATGTCACCACCTACAGTCAACTCTCGCCTCGCAGACACGTCGCTATAATGGACACCTTGATAAAACGGACAGCAGCTAAATCCCGAACAAAAATAAATTACAGATGTTTGACTGAAATAAACTCCTGCTCTTACAGACTCTCGCAAATGAGGACACTACCTCGAGGTCCCTACAGTGTCCGCAATAAAGGGAGTTGACTGTATTAAGCAATTTCTGCAGAGATTATGTTACGAATGACTCATAATTCTGAGAGTTTTAGGCCTGCTTGATCTAATCGTACACTGTATTTGATTTTTTTCCATTTTTTTAAAATTCAAAGAAAAACCCTCTTGCTGACATAGAGTATAGTGACCTTGAAGACATCAGCCCAGGGAGACTCAGTTCAGAAGATGAACGTCCAGCTACACCAGACACTCCAGAAACAGCAATTCCTGCTGTAGACTTCACTCATCCAAGCCTAGGCTTCTGGGCTGCACCATTAGGAAACAATGAGATGGCCAAGCCAGCTGTCCCTGCTGTGGGTGTTCCTATGATTTCTGAGGATGCACAAGTGACTGGAGCTGATGACTTGCCACCTATGACTAATTTGTCTTACCTTGATGACCAACTGCACTCTGGAATTCAGCTAGATCAAGTGTCGTATGGCGTTGAGGAAAGGAGTATTAGGGACGATGCGATACAAGCACCTTGGCCGAGTAAGTAACTTGGCTTCTTTTCTCAAAAGGTGGATAACACCATACAATGGATGAGTCTCTGTCTGCTAGATAACCGAAATTGGTTTCTCTAATACACTGTACTTTTCCACTGGATACTGATATTAGCTACATCCACCGAACAAAAATGTTCAACCGGATGAAGATTCGTGCGTTTAGGCATTCCGTTTACACGGATCCACCCTAACTGTACCAAAAGTTATACGCCTATCTATTCTAAGTTCCCTGTGAACAGGGCGAAAATATTGAATTGTCCTGTTTGAACAAAGTGCCAGGTCAAATTTTTCAGCCAGTCAAAAATTTGTTTGGTACCATGGGAACTTAGCCTTCTCCACTTTCACTTTGGTACCAATGTGGTGGCTTTGTATGGAGCCCTACATACTGATGTGAAACATCCCGACAATAATTGAAGTTGGAGATGTGGCAAACTCCTGAACTTGAGAGTGACTTCTTTTTTAATCTTCTCAAGTATCACACTGCCTTGACTTCATTTATTGAACGGTTTTAGATTTTGTTTTGTAATTGCACGACCATCCCAATGTTTGTTTGTGTTGGTTGTCTTGTCTTTGCTCTGACAGTTATCATTAATATTACCTTAGCCTTAGTCGAGGAAGGTTTCTTCTGTCAAACTACAACCTCTGAAGAACGTGACTTACTAGAGAAGGGTGTGGAAGAAAAAGCTTATCTAACTGATGATCGCTATTACTCTGTGTCTTCACATGAAAGTGGAGAGAAGTCCAGGTATGTGTATGCACTATGCACAAGTCGTCAGTAAGGACGATGATATTTTAAGTTTACAAGATTTGCATTGACAGATCACACAAATTTAGGCTGATTCAGCACTAAGGGCCAAGTGTTCATAGCACTGATGGAACTATAAAAGTAACAACTTAAAACTTTCAAAGATCCCAAAAGCCAAATGGAAGAGTGGATGGAAGTGGATTGCTTTTGGATAAATTTTTGAAAAAAACAGCCGCCTGATTTTTCAAAGTTATCTCAATTTTTATCAAAAGTGCCATTTATAATGCAGGGAGTCATCTTTGTCCAAGAGTCTTATAAGGTGGTTCAGATTCTTTAGTCTGTGGGCACAATCCTGTGGTGTTACCATTCAAATGAAATCTCTTCAGCAATACCTTCGGATGGTCCTATTTTTTCAGAATTTTACTAAATGAAATTTGTAAATTTTGTTGAAGTTTGACTTGGCCACTTTTGGGAGTTTAAGGTTTATGTGTCTCTTGGATTTAAGTGATTTGCCCCAGTTAAAAACCAACATTTCTAAATTCCAATTCGACCAGAAATCAGGAGAACCACTACGTAAATGTGCTTCCTATCTCTACCTCTAAATTGTTATTTATTTATGTTTGTGTTGTTTACGACAGATATGATCACGAGTTTGCTCAGTCTGAGGTGTTTGACTATGGACATGGCCATAGTGAAAAGCAGAGTACCTTACAAAGAAGCAGTGGCCATACAGACTCAAGAAGCACACACAAGGTGATCCATGTTACCCATAACCTAAACGTGCTGTTTTATTTTCTATCGGCTGTACTCTAGCAGCGCTTGGTTGCCTGTGGCGCCTAACTTTTGCTCTTGGACTACTAAAAAATCTTACGTTTTTCATACAAATCATATGCTGGGCGCCTCGGATTTCACAAGTTCAGAGCACTGGGCTTCCTTCCGTTTTTCTTAGAGCACAGCCTTGAAAACGTAATAAACATTGTCTCATACGTGAATCAACCTATTAGAGGGTGTAGCGTGACAGTGTTTCAACAAATGTGATGAGTATAATGTATTGTAGCTTCAAGACTTTTATAAACATCCAACAAAAACGTGTTAAAGACATAAAGCTATTTCTTGAAAATTGTATGGGGTTTAAGTCTCTGTGAGACAGGCACCTCAGGTAAGTCTCTGCTAAGTACTAGTGGGATTTTGCTGTTACGGCAAAGCTAATTTATAGCAAAAACAGTGTATTAATTGGGAACAGTATTTCAGTGTTCGTACCGAGTCTTGAATTCTTGAAAAAGTCTTGAAATGTGCCCAGAAATTTCCCAGACCCGGAAAAAGTGTGGAAAATAGAGGTTAAGTCTTGGAAAAATGGTAAGAAGTCTTGAGTTTTTTGAAAGCTACAAGTGCGTCGCGAGTGATATTTTTTTGGTTTTGGTCAAATCTCTTTAAATCTCGCCTGCACTTCATGGAAAAAGATTTATTCCTGCGTTTTTAACATCTCCATTGACCACCTACATGTATTTTATAACCTTGAGTCTGGAAAAAGAAATTATAGCTTTGGAAAAATTCTGGAAAAAGTCTTGAGTTTTAGATCAAAAATCTGTACGAACCCTGGTATTTTTATGTCTCCTAGTGGAGGCGGGACAGCCATTGTACGTGGTCATCCGAGCCAGAGTTCTTTCATTTCTCATTTAGTTGAGTGTTGGTCCAGCCCTGGAAATGGAACTTGTGACCTCTTGCTCAGCGGTCAAGCACTCTACCAACTCAGCTAATCCTGCTTTTCTAAACCTCCAGGAAAATAAAAAAAACCCCAGTGTTTTCTATCAAGAAAGTGTCCCAACCTCATTTTAACACCATAATTATTTCTTTCACTTTTCAGGATTACAAACACCACTCTTCAACTCGAATGTCACGATATTATCCTTGGCAGACTCATGTGGAAGAGAAGCGCAATCAGATGACAACAACTGGTGGAGAAGGCAGGTATTTTTTGACTTGGCTACTTGTTGAAGGCCGTGTTTTTTTTCTACAGAGCACAGCACCGTCACAAATTTAAATTACTGATAGCATCGCATAAAAGCACCGTCACAGTTTAATTCAAAGATTCTAGTAACCTTGTATTTAGCAAAGAGAGGCTCAAAATGAAAGTCAGCAACCTATGACTGGTCGTGACTATTAAGATGCTTAGGTGCTGATGATTACACAAAGAGGTTAAGAAAGAGATTAATTAGCAGCCTTTTTCCAGCCAAAATTGTAACCACTGTTTTTTTCCCTCTTACTTCAATTTTAGGTTCAAAGTCAACCGCGCAAAACGTCACTGGAAAAAGTACTGGCTCTGAGATGTCTACAACTCTGATTGATGAGAATCCTGTTAAAAAATTTAAGCCGGAAAAAGGAATACTCAGCACTAAACATGATAACTCTGGTACTGCTAAGGTACCAAGTCTCAATGATTTGCCGGAATCTGACAAGCCAAGAAAGTGGGACATTATGGTATTTGCCTGGATGGATAAATCCCAGTTCTCCAATTGGCTGCGTAGAAAGCAGCATGGAGCCAAACTGTCTTTGGGTGCTAAGGGTGTGAAGAATCCAGTACAGTACACGGCAGAAACTTACAGGCGCTCATCTGAACGTTTGTTGCGCCGAATTAAGAGGCAGCTTAGACCGTCAAGTCGCAGCCGCAGTAAATCACCACACAAGGAGGAGAGGCAGTTATCAGACTGCCCTGATTTTGACTTTGATGATTTGGACCTTGAATCAAATTTGCTTAAAGAAGATGCTCATTGTTCTGTTTCTAAGGAATCTGCTCCGCATACCACAAAGGATGCTGCTGAGAATTGCAATGTACATAGTAATGCTCTCTCTTCACCCTGCACCGTAAATAATGAAGTTGTACATAGAAGTTTGTCTGTTAATGATGATAAGGCTGGTAAGGAAGCACATCATATTGATCTGCTTTGTGATAATGAAGGGCCAGTTTTATCAGGAAGGGGTGGAAAAAAGGAGCCACTCACCAGCAAGGAGCTTGATGAAGGAAGTAAAGGAATGACAAACACCCAAGCTCAGCAGCGTTCAAGTGAACAATTAAATGAACGTAGGCCGATTGATTTGGAAAGAACTCTAGCAACGGATGGCGCAGCCGGTAAAGGTGATCACACTGATGTGATTTGTGAGAGTGAAGTTTTGCTTACATCAGAGTGGAGTAGAAATGACGAGGCAGACACCTGCAGGAACTTTGATGAAGCAGCTAAGGAGGCAGCCAACACAAAATCGGAGCAGGCTTCAAATGATCCATCAAATGAATGTGAGGCAATGGACGTGGAAAGAAACCTGACAAGTGATGTAGCAGTTGGTGCTGGTAAAGAATCGGATGATGTTGATTTGATTTGTGATAATGAAGTCTTGGCAATATTGGAAAGGTGTGGTAAAGATGAAACACTCAGTCCTAAAGACCTTGAGGCAGCCGTCAAAAAACATGGAAAGTCCTCTAATGATCAATCAGCTGGTTGTGAGGAGACGGATGCCAAGAAGACCCTGACAAGTGATGCAGCAGTTGGTAAAGATGATCACATTGATCCAGTGTGTAATAATAAGGTTTCAGCTGCCATGGAAGTAGGTGCGGAAGTTGAGTTACTCGCCAGCAGGACCCTTGATGAAGCTAGTAGCGATGCAACTGACACTCACGTAGAGCAGCTTGAAAATGATCTGTTAGCTGTAGAAAAAACGCTGTCAGGTGATGCGACAGTTGGGAGCATCTGTAAGCAGGACTCAGTAACTGAATGTTTTAACACGTTGCTTGATCCTGTCATGGATGAAAGCCAACCCCGTGCCAGTTTGAATTTTCACGGAGAAAGAGACACGGGCTCAAAAAGGATTAATGAGCAAAAACTATTTATTAGTGAGCAAGGTGAAGGGTGCTCAGGAACCTACAGCAAGGTACCAAAAGCAAAGAAATTGCAAGATGATTTTGGTGAGAAGCCACACGGCCAAGATGTGAAGCAAACCGAACTAGAGGTCACCATTGCTGCAAGGGGTGAAGAGGGGTCGTCAATAATGGGTGATCAGGGAACAGTTACTAAAGAAGTGAAGGAAACTGCACAGACAAGCTACAAAGGAGGGGTTGACACAGGGGAAGGAAGTTTGAATACCCCCGATGACAAAGAGTTATCTTTGACAGAAGAACTGGGTGACGAAGAAGCAGCACAAGAGTCATTTTCCTGTCGTCCCCCTCTTCCTTCATCTTCTCCTCCGCTTCCTCCTCCTCTTCCTCCTCAGCCTGCACCATCGGCGTGTTCAGTGAGTGATAAAAGTGTGGAAACAGTACCAGTTTGCCAAACCAATATGCAGCCCCACGTAATAGTTGAAGAGACAAATAACATTCAAAGTACTCGATCGGAGGATACAGATGCACTGGAGACCACTCCTGCCAACACTAGCCAATCACCTTTTGTGGTAACCTCGGTTTTTAGTTCAGAAAAGTTCAGCCAGTACCTTTCTCCTGTTGATGGAGCTTCGTCAAAAGATCCAGTAGCGAAAGACTCGTGGCTTCAATCCACTGCGCTGAATACTACTACTGCTTCTTCACCTGCATTGTTTACACCTCATTATCCTTTAATAACAACTCCACCACCTCTTCCTCCCAGTTTCATTTGGCCTAGAGTGGATCAACCTGGATCCCTTCCCATGGCAGGGGTTGTACCAACTCATGCTTCTCTGCAAGAGCCAAATTATAGGTTTCCCTCCTGGGCTGATCAGGCAGCACCAGTGCCATTCCCAGTTGGATGTGTACAACGACCGTCAGCGGGTTCCGGTGATATTTGCCCTCCTGGCACTGAGGATGAACAAAATGTCAACAAGGCATCAGGCCCTGCAGGGATTGTTGCAGATGATGACAAGTCACATGGAAACTTCATGGACCACTCGCTCGTCAGTGAACTGATGCAATTTTACTCCGAAATCAGTGAAGTTGAAGGAAAAGACAGCAACAATAACCAAGTGACTGAAAAAACTGTCCAAAGCGTAAAGCACCCAGAACCAACAGATATGAGAAGTGATAAAGATGACGGAGCTACAAGCGAAATGGAGATTGAGTCTGACCTTGAAGAAGGCAGTGTCGTTGATGTTTCTGAAAACATAGATTTTCAAGAAACCGAAGTCAGTGATAATGCGGTCCCTGAGACTGCAGAATGCTTTGATGAATCAGTTGAACTTGGGCAGAAAAGAAAAGAAGTGGTGTCTACTTCAAACAAGTATAGTACAGTAACAGAGGGCATCTCAGAGTCAGTGGCGCATGTGGAAAATACAGCTGTTTGCCCCACTGTGGCTTCCATGATGGACACAGCAGTTACTGAGAATCCCCTTTGCTTGAACACAGTGAATTCAGAGCCTGTGAAAACTACCGCTGTCTCCAGCTTGGTACTTTCCACAGTGGACCCCAGGCTGTTGGATGATGACAAAACTCTGAAGATTCCTGCCATGGGTGCACAAACAATGCATGTGCAAGATGTTCATGTTCCCAGCCCTCTGGATTCACCCATCGACACCCCACCATTGCAAAGTCCTGCCGTCATCACCGATGAAGTCTCTGGAGACATCCAGCTGTCGACTCCTATCGATCCAGTATTTTTTGCAAATGTCGAAAAAACAATCTTTAGCTCGATCAGCGACTTGACAAACTTGTTGGGTCAGTCACCAGTGTTCGATCGCATCGCGGAAGAAGCCATAACCTCAACAGTATCGTCTTTGGAGGATGTTCTTCTGCAAGCACAAAGCAGTTATCAGGGGTCGAATAGCTGCCCATCTGACAGTGGTGTGTCTATTGGTGAGGATGTCTCTATGCCCTCAGCATTATATCGTGGTATATCAGTGCCAGTAAGTCCTCTTCAGGGGTCATCAGACTTGAGAAGTGAAAAAAGTGGAACAAGTAGTGGACCAGACGGGAGTGACACAAGTCACTGCACCAGTAAAGGTTTGTTCTTTAGTTGTCAGTTTAATAATTCAGTTAATTAACAGTTAATGAATGAGGCTGAGTATCTTTGGAGATCGAGGAGGGTGTTATCCGTCGAGGCCGTAGGCCAAGGCGGATAACATCCTCCTGGATCTCCATAATTCTTCATATGTTACGAAAGCCGAATTCAATAATTGTTTTATTATTCATTCAAAATAATTCTTAGTTTAAAAACATGGCTAAAACATGCTTACCTCCATCGATCCCTTTATGTTATGTTCATCTTCATAATGCACGTTTAGGTTTGTCCAGCTCCGCAAATATTCTCCAAATAGCAGATGTCGCCCTTCGAGTTTTCTTCTTGCTGTTCTTGTCATGTTTTGAGCTATTTTTTCGCCTAGTTCTTACTCTTGAAACGAGTGAAACGTCAGCCATTTTTTGTTTTCACAACCAAAACAACTCAACGTCGTCCCCAGGTCTTCTCGGTTAACGGTGACTTAACCGGCACGAACGCTGCATTTTTGACGTCATTTCCTCGTTTAACACCAAATTCTTCCAATTTTGGTCATGTGTGTGCTTTTAGCCAATCAGAATCGGGGAAATATTTTGAATGAATAATAACCTTATTTAAGAGTGCAAAAAATCGTAAATCAAAACATTACTGCGGGAAAGTTCTGCTCAGTAGCTCTCATTTGAAAGGGTTTCACTGCAGGATTTGATCCACAGTCTCAAGTGTTAGAACTATTCCCCTGATCGCCTTTGAAAGTGAAAGGAACCCGAAAATGGGAATTCTGTCTTAAATTTACGAAAATATCAAAGCATTTTTTTCTGATATTTATGTCTAGAGGTTGTACTGGCCCACCAGTTTCATTTCACGAATTTTAAGAATCTTGAGTTAGACAGCAATAATCAAGTTAGACTGATGTTCGGTAACTTGTAATTGAAAGGGTTCACTTTGGGGACTGGCATGCACATATTCAGAAGTTTAACTTTCCTCTTTTAATAAACCATTTTGCGTGACAGTGTTTACATTTTGATGGTCACTCGTAGAGAATTTCCTACACAGACTGTAAGGTTTTTAAATCATTTAATAGGGCTTGCCTGTTATTAATACGCTAATAAAAAACTGTCAGAAAGAACTTGATGGCTTAAGCATCAAAGACCAGTGTTATATTTTTTGACAAGATTGTTTTATTGCTAATGGCATATGTAATCAAAACCATTGGTTTTATGTCATTCTGCAGATAACTGAGTTATAATCATCGCGGTACCACAAGTTGTGGCCTTTCTATGTGTGAGTACTAACCAGTCTGACTTAACTAGCAGCGTGCATTTGTGCAATGTTATTGTCAGTTCACTTGCTTTTAGTGACTCTCTCACTATTATCTAGCAGTTTAATGAAGACAAGAATGCCATCTAATTTATTCAAACCTCAACTCTTTTAACAACTTTTACTCTTAATGATTTTCAATCTTGATAATGATGTTAGAAACATCGAAACTCCGGATAACGTTACTTTTAATTTCTTCTTGTGAAATGCTTTAACAAGTAACTGACAATTCGATTTGTAATGCCGCAAGAGTTTGCAACCATTTTTAGCGCCTGTTCGTATACTCTAACCACTCTTATGGCCAAACAGACGTGGAAGGGAGCTGCCCATCTTCTGCGCAGCTTTTCTTTGTGTCGGCGTCACGCAACGCTTCTCCCCACCAGTGAACGAGTTTTCAACTACTAGGTGATAAAACAAATAGCGAACTCTTAAGAAAACCATTTTTTAAGGTTGGACGAAAATCGTTGTACCGGGTAGAACGGTGATGCCATTATCATATCTGGGAAATCGTGGTCACCTTTTGTATAACTACGTGGCAAACATGTACGTCTACCTGTACCCGTAGAGAGAAACGGTGTATCTTAGGCCACTACTGTTTCTGCCTACGGGTACGGGTAGGCGACCATGTTTGCCACGTAGTTATACAAAAGGCAAACATGATTTCCCAGATGTGATAATTGCCGTTGTACCCGGTAGCCTGCCCGTTTGTCCAGGTTAAGTGGCACTCTACCGGTATTTTATGGCTACGCGTCCGGGTTATCTTACCGCTATACCATAAGATCTCTAGTACCTCTCCAGGGTACGCCCTTACCAAAATGATCAAGGACGTATCTTTTGCATGCAAAAAAAAGATAGCTTGTAGTTCTGGTCCAAATCTCACCATTCTGGATACCATTAATGATGGTCTGTTTATTTTGCTATTTTTTCTCCAGTACCTGACAAAGAAACTGTACAAAAGAAGTTACCAAAAACCCGGAAGAAGTTTCAGTTTTACGTGTATTCTCCTGAACATGACAAAGAATGTGAAGCAGTCAAGGTAATTTCTGTACTTTTCTTTGCCTTGTAACTTCAAATAGCATGGACAGATCTTTTATTGTGAAACAAGTTGCTGATTCCTTGAATTATATATGTCCTTGCTGTTCTTAGTTTACTAATTTTGTCATTTATGTTTCTCTCACTTCACTGCTTGTTTTTGAGCTTTGAGATTGAAACCAAATATTTTCTTTCAAAACGGCTTCAAGAGGGTTGTAATGTTGACTTAACTCTTTTGTATCGTTTTTGTCAAGAACTACATGTTGAAAGCAGGGGGTGTGTTTGTGGACGTCAAGGATTCATCTTGTTTGCAAGAGACTGCTCGGGAGTTAAGAGTGCTGATCAGGAAAAAACATCAACCATCTGTTCACAGGTAACATGACAAGACAAATCTATCACTTCCAGAGACAAATCTTTCACTTCCAGAATAAGATGATGAAGTCTTGTAAGGTGGTTCTAACTTGCGAGTCTTTGGATGAAATCCTATGATGTGACCATTCAAATGAAAACCTCTTCAGCAGTACTTTCACATGCTCCTGTTTATTTAGTATGAAGTTCTAACTTTTGAGTCTTTGGATGAAATCCTATGGTGTGACCATTCAATTGAAACCAAGAGAGAATGATCATTCTCTCTTGAATGAAACCGCTTTAACAGTACTTCCACATGGTGCTATTTGTTTTTCAGCACTTAGCTAAATTTAATTTTTTTTTTTAATTTTGACTTTGGCTACTTTTGAAAGTGAAATTGAGGGTTATGTACCCTCACTTGTTTAGCATATAATACAACTAAAACCCTGTTTACAGGAGCAAGTGAGGTAAAAAATCTTGTCAAGTTTTGTCATTTACACGACGAAAGAATTACCCTGGGTACCACAGGTTTTTACTCGAGCGCTTGGGGCGAAATACTCCAGGGCTTCCGCCAGAGACCAACGCATGGCCGAAACAACGAGCGGCAGTGAAACAGCGAGAGGAAAAATATCAAAGAAAACTTGCTCTCGAAGATACACCCTAACGTACTCCTTTTTTCAGGTTGGCAAATTTGTATCAGTTGAAGATGGCGTCGTCTGTCAAGTTTGCATTGTTTAACACTCTAACTGGTACGCCTCTTTTCCATTTTCGCACGGCTTTGTTTTATGCTTTTTCTTCTCTGACGTGTGATGCTGTTACTCTTTTATGAATGAATATTTCTTGTTTAATCAAGTTATGTTTTTTTCCAATGCAGATGTGGTGGAGGGAAGTCGTTCGTATGAGAACATCTTTGTTTCTGGCGGCGCCTTGCTTGCTGACGATATGATTCTTAAAACCATCGACATCGGTAAAAATACTTTCGAAATGTTCGTTGTTGTAGTTAATCAAACTGCAGAAAATAACGAAATGTTAAAACTGTGCAATACCATTTGCATCATATTTGTTTTCGTCCCTTTCATTTGCATGAGTTAGAGGTGACGAACTGAATCTCAACTTTTTATGGTCCCCTAGCTGTTGCGAAATCTGCCTTGGTTTTTAGCCACAATAGTCATGTTAAATTTCTAGACTAGAAAAAAATAATTAGTGTTCCGGCCTTCTTCAGCTTCTACGAGATTTGACCAAGAAGCGTTCTAAAGACCAGATTGCCGACTACGTCTCTGTAATTGAAAAAGGATATTATATTGAAAGGCAAATATTCATGAAGAAAGAAATGGCTATTTGAAGCGAGAGCAAACTAAGACTCCGTCCAACCGAATTCGGATATTTTTGAAGCCGCATTTGTATATATTTTTAGAGAGCTTTAGATTTGAGGACGAAAACGAGTACGAGAAGGAGACTTTCTTAATCTTGAGTATTGCTCGCGCGTGAGCCAGCGTCATTTTGGCAGGAAAACGTGATAGCCGTCGTCATTCTAGTTCGAGTATTAGCGAGGATGTCGCAGTGGTGGAAACGAGTTATTAAATGGTCCAATTTTATCAAATTGTGATCGGGAGAGGGCTTGACCTCCTTTAATAAAGATAACAGTGCTAACTTTTCTGGTGATTCTAAAGTACGATGAAGCTTTCCGGGGTATCTATTTTCTGAAAATACGCGAAAAAACTTTAAGTCAAATTTCATACTCGTAGTCGTTTTCGTCCTCGAATCTAAGAGTCTCTTTTTTTTTTCACGAATCGGCCTTCCGTCCACACGGAACCACTGAATCCGAAGCCGCATGTTTTTTAAACCGCTCGAATCCGGTTATTTAACAATTATTCCTTGGGCTCTGAGTCAATTCGGCCTCATGGGCTATTGACTCGAGAGGACATGAGGGCGAGAGGAATAATTGTTTTAGTAGAATCCAACTAGTTAGTCAAAAATATCGAGACAAAACAACTTTAGCTAGTTAAAGCTAGGCTTTAATCCTTTTTTGCCGTCAAAAAGCCGGCGCTTTTCGCTACTAGTGGGCTATAACATATAGCTAAGTAGTAGCTCAACCAATCAGAACGCAGCATTGATAATAGACCACTAGTGGGATTTTACTAATAAAAGATATGCGGTTTCAAAAAATGCCCATCCTCGGAGAGCCAGGGGCAGATAGTGGGGGCGAGGGAAGCGGGTCTAAGCGAAGAAAAGTAAAAAAATATGGCGCGAGCCCTGGGGACAAAGAACGGCGAGAAGAGCTCTCAAAGTCGCCTTCTGGCCGTTCTGATTTGCCAGAAAACTTTTTTTTTTCTGCCCAATCAAAAGGCAGAACGGAGGCGACCGCCTGGTTTTAGACTCGCCGTTCTTTACTTTTTATTCGCCCCCGTTTAGACTTTCCCTCGCCCCCACTATCTGCCCCTGGGTCTCCGAGGATGAAAAATGCCCGGATTCGTGTTTACGGGGCCTCTGTAAATCTCTTAGAGAGTTGATGTCAAAGTTGTTATTCTCTGCAGATTACCTGGCAGGTCTGTTACGTTATCTTAAGGAACAGAGCTTGGCGCACCAGAAGTTTGTTTGGGTCTTGAATATCAGTAGAAACGGTTACAAGAGGCTGTCCATGAACAGGTTAGCAAGTGTATAGAGTTAAGGACAAACTAACGTTAACCTGACGTTAAAATAAAACAACAACAATAACGAAAGGAATTGCACCTCTGTCGATTAATTTTGCTTGGATTTTCACACCGTGATATTCTGTATGCAGTAAAAGCACATTTTCAAGTCTTGCTTCTGTTTTTGGAATTTGAGACTGGTGAAGGTCCGAAGTGTTTTCTTACATTGTTAATAACATTTGTCATTCGTTTTTGTCGTTGCGTTTCAAACAGGCCGCTGTCGAAAAGAGACTCAAAGGCGTTGGTAAGTACGGTATTTGTTTTCCTCACTTTTTTTCTCCTGAAAAAGTCTCCTCCCCTGTACTCTTCCCGTCTGGTACTCTTCCAAGCCCTTCATTCTGTCTTCAAGGAGCATTGCATGACGACATTAAGAACGACTGGATCGCATCGCCGCCCGAGAGTTTGCTGGCGTGATAAATTCAAGATAATTTCTCAACCTCGTTCCAAAATTAACTTATTCATTCTCTCTACTCATGCGCACAAGACGCACACCGTGTTAAAAAGGTTAATTGCGTTTGGAAGGAGAAGCCATACCAATGACATCAGATCTTAACAGGCTGAGCATATGTAAATTTGTTTGCCCTTAGAATCTTCTTCGTCGATACAAGGATGAAGGCTTCATCACAGTCCTTCCCAAGGTAAGATGGCTGAAGTTTTGATTACTTTTTTTTTTTTTGCAAAGTGCTGTTTTGTGGACGAGAATCCATCAATGAACAATTAACAGAAGAAACTGCTCACCACATGTAGCGACGAGATACAAATCTCTAAATACTCTAATAATTGTTTTAAAGAATGAACAGCCTTTCAGTGGAAAAAAAAGCACGTTTGAAAATGAGATTAGAGACCTTTAGCATTAGGTTTTTCATGGAGAACCGCAAACTGCAGTTTTCAGTTGCGCGTTTGCAGTTTCTCGTTGCCGAGATTTCAAATGTTAGCAAGGCGTTCATTGTTTAGTGCGGCCATGTTGTTTTTCGTCAAGTCAAAGTGCATTACTTTTATCGCCCAAAAAAACAGGGATAATTCGAGTTCAAAAATCTAACAAGCACATCGCAGATGGATAAAGAAAGCTACTTCGTGCTTTTAGACGTGAGGCTGTACACTTTTTAGTGGCAAAAAACCTTGCCGTAAGTCACTTATCCGCTGGACGTCCTTCCTGCCGTTCAAACGTGAACTGCAAACTTCAAACGCGACCGCAAGACCGTGGTCACGTGACATTCTCAGTTTTACGGTTTGCGGTTTTCCATGAAAAATCTGATGTTAAAGGTCTCTGTTATCAATAATCATAGTTGACTGGGAGATTTTTCGCTGGCATACGCATTTGAGTCAACGCCACGTAGATTTGCCCTGGTGGTTTACTTTGTGTAGTTTTTCCGCTTTTTGCCTGCCATCTCTCCCATCCCAGCCGCTTCTTGGTCCCTTTACGGTTCTGTGTTCTGTGTTCAGTAGAGTTCTCCTTCTTTATCCTATCAAGAGATCAGTATTACACATTCCTGTGGGAGGTAGGGTGGTTGACCCTAAGGACTGTTGTCATGGTTGTCGTCCCTATTTGCATTTTGTGCACATTCACTTGCTTATCGCCAACAGTTCTCACAATTAGCACCCACTCCCCTGATAAATATTGCCAATCGGCAAGTTAAACGCAGCCCTTCATGGGCACCCGCACCTTCGTGGGTAACGTTTCATAAAACAAAGTTTAATTTTACGCAGGGCTATGTGACTGAAGGTATTCCTGCAACTCAACGATATCTACAGACTTCACTCAAGCTGCAGATTGAACTCATCTCTGTCTACAGACACATCATCCTACTGTCAGGTATGCCGGCGAGCGCTCATTCACCCAACTGTGGTCATCGCTTGTTTCGATACAAGTCGTTTTGATACAAGTTTATCCTGTCGAGGTGTAAATAGTTTAACGTACTTGGCTTAAACAGCGAAGAATATGATCCCCCGATGTTTTCTTGTTCACGCGCAAACTACACTTGAAGTGATCAAAATTTTTGTATAATGTTAGTGCTTAAGGTCGCATTGAAACGACCGGTTTCCGTAACTTTGCACCTGTTATTCGCCACTTTAGAAAGGAACTGGAGCCGAAATGCGTCCCGCAATTGATTCTGGGATCGTTACTGCTGACGCGTCGGTCAGCTATTGGCCAATTTTTTCCCAGCCCTGGAAACAGTCCCAGAAGTCTTTGCGAAAGTAAACTCGGCCCATTTCCCTTCTGGTTTCAAAAGTGGCGAATCGGTATTACATCAATGGGAACGGTTTTTTGTAACATCAAGCCGTTTCTTTTATTTCAACAGATATGGACAAAGGCAGAGTGGAGGTACCGTGGTTCTTGGAACGCGGGGTAAGTTTAATCAGATTATATAACTTAATATCCATACAGGACAAGTTAAGTATAACTTGTTTTTTTTTTTTCTATTGTAGATTGGTGTCATGAATGTCCAAGAATTCTTGACTACGTTTGCAGGGTGAGGTTTCCCTTTATTGTTTCTATGTGGGAATCTGAGGCGGGCACAACTCTTCTCCAAATATGGTTACCCCATTTGCAGTGACGTAGGCTTTCACACTAGGCTGATTTAGCAACAGAACGGGAACGTCATATTACGACGGCGCGTGCAAATCAAACAACTGGCTTGACCAATGGCAGAGCGGCAAATTGTGCACCGGAAGTCGAGTTTAGTCCTTTCCGCGCGCTTTCCCTGCTAAATCAGCCTACTATACCGAATAGCACGAAAACCATACCGGATAGGGGTTCTGTTCACACACATAAGAACGGTGACTTCGGTGGGCGCGATTTCTGCAACGAAGCGAAGCTTAGCCGCGCCGATCAATAAATTGGAGATTTACATGTCGGATAGGTATTCACACTATACCGAATAGGTTTTCGCGCCGGCTGTCCGGTTTAGAGTGAATTTAGCCTTAGTATGACGTATTGTTTACCAGTTTGACACAAATTTTTTACATGCTTCAGGCGTCCATTTCGGCAGGGGCTTTTGTTTTCATAAGCTTGGTTCACTAAATTATCACCGCTATATAAGGGATTTGAGCAGAGCTGGCACTTGTAATGCAGCGTATGTGTGTATGTACGTAAATCTTTATTTAAACACGGGAAATCATCAGTTAAGCGCAAGTTAAAAACTAAAACTAATTACAACTGCTTTACATGATTGCCGTGTGGGAATCCGATATATCAGCCACCTTCTTGATATTTGGCTTAAAATGCTCAGCGGATGCAGCATTTTTCAAGTTTTTGGGCAAGTTATTCCATAACATGGCCCCGCTGTAAGAGAAGCTTCGTTTCAAATAATTGGTGCTTGGTTTGGACAGGGTGAGCCTTCCCTCAGAGTTTCTTAAGTTGTAAGCAGAGTGACGCTGAGAGAAAAGACTTTGTAGATATTCCGGAGCAAGGTCATTCATGGTTTTATACATCATTAAGGCTTTTAGTTTCTTTCGTCGAAGAGATAGCCTAACGTAGCGTATCCCTAACTAGGGTCTGACCGACCTTGGTCATATAACTGTATTTTTATTTCTTTCTTATAGAGAGAGCGAAGCGAAGACTTTACTCAATACACGGCCACACGTGTCTTGTTCTGAAACTTCTACAACTTATACAGCGATGGAATGCAGTACTCCAGAAGGTAATTTTTATTTTGCCTTTTTGAGTCAATAGTTTTTAATCTTAAAGCCATATTACAGTAAAAACCCGCGAGTAAGAAAGTGTTAGGCTAAAATTTGCCAGTTAGACCCCCTTTATAAAAAAAAACCTGTTTTGCGTATACTTTAAAATAGGTTCTTATCTTCTAAAATTTATAAGACAATTCTGAACACTTAAGTAAGATACTTCTGGCAAGTAAGATAAGTCAACATTCAGGATCCTCTTTAGAGAGGGGGGTGCTTTATCACTCCAACTGTATTGTAATGGTTTAAAGATTTTACATAAGCAATAAGCTGAAGACCACTAAATACCCTTAGCTGCAATGTATTTGTTTTTCTTCAGAAAATAAGAGCGTAAATAGCCTAAATTTGTGCCAATTACCATTTATTTAAGAACCTGTTCAGGCTAACTTGGGAAAATGCGGGTTCTTACTCGCGGGTTTTTACTGTATATCAAACTTATATTCCATGCATTACCCTAAGAAGGTAACGCTGTGCGTTAGTGGCCCATGTCTATCGTTACTGCGCGAGAGCATTCAAGGGATTCGAGTGAAGTGAAGTATTCGTGTTTGGGTGGGGTGGGGGGGGGGGGTTGTGATAAATGCTCGAGATCTTAGAAAATGTATTTAGTTGACGCAATCGGAGACTCCGCCACCCCCTAGAAAGAGGAAGGGCGTTGAAGTAACGGTTGTCGAAAGCCGTGTAGGTTGTTTTTTTCATCTCCATCATTCCATTCAGCTTCTAAGTTGAGTTTTTTTTATTCTTTATTTTAAACAGATGATGCTCCCTGTCCGACATCAGAGGGCACGCCAATGTCTGACTCCTCAACAGACAGTCCAATTATGGAAACATGCACCACCCCGCATCAAAGCGCAGAGGAACAGCCTCAGCTCGGCAGTAGCCTCGCCCCTCAAAAGAGAACAGTGCGGTCACTGAGCTGGGATACTGGAACCATGACTCAAACCAGACTACAGATCCTGTCGTGTGTGAGGAGGGAACGTGATATCATCCTTAATCAGATCAGCAGTAGTACTCCATCCAGTCCCGTCAGTCGGTCCATGTGACTAGACCGGGGTAGTCACCTTTAGCCTATGCTCAGGGTGGCTACATCAGGCCCGGATGATATTATTTTTCTGTACCTCTAAATGCAGTTCGGTGTGACGTTTTGTTAATGCCTGTGTTCATGAATTGCTCAAGGATTAGAAGGAGTATTTTTTCCCCTCCGTTTTGGGTTTTTTGGTTTCATTCAGCAACGTAGCCGTTGGATTTTGGCATCAAGCTAACACGGTGAAGGTACTTTGCATGACAGCGGAAGTAACAAGTACTTTACAGGATGTCACACATTGAAGAGACCATCGTAGTTGAGTTAAAAATTGTACCTTCACGATGATTTTTCGAAACAGAAAAGAGAATTTAACGTTAATGTTGAAGAGTTTTGTACAGTCTTTGTATTTTTTCTCAGTGAAGGCCACAAAATTTGTGAGTACACTCGTCTCCTTTGACCCTTTTTCCTAGCGTGGTTTTTTGTTTCCATTTTAATGAATATTTTTGGGGAATTGATGTAAAAAAGCATTCGATGAATGATAGATGTGATTAATGTCGATAATTCAATTTCATAACAAATAAGATATCAGAGTTCCTTCTATTTTGTCTAATTTCTTTATGACAGAAACGTTTTTGTTCGTTCGACAAATTTGTAAATAAAATTATCAAATTGAATTTCTATCTTATGTACAAATGATTTTTTTTAAGTTGTAACAAAAGATATTAAATTTTTTTGTCAAGAGCAATAATATATGTTAGCGATTGTGTACAGATACAGTCACAGATACGGATACAGCCACTAGACTCGCTGTTTTTCACGCTTTATATTGAAGAGTTATTTTTAATAAAGAGATGTTTATTTTCATATTTGGACAGTTTCTTGATTTCTGGCTACAGCTAGTTTATAAGGGGCTATGCACGAAAATATTGCTGTTTTAGGTCAATTCTGTGCTTAAGTCTTTACTTACTACCTTTATCCATACAGAAATGCTCCTGTGGAGCTATGAAGACGATATCAAACAACTTTGCTCCCGGAATTTCTAGAATTTTCGGTTGAATGGTTCTCATTGCGGAAATTTTACAGTTTACGGAAATTCTGACAACTTTTTCCTGGAAAATTCTGTACCATTTGCCGCTGTGTCTAAATTTTCGAAAGTTTTGGTTAAATGGAAAGCGCCCAAGATGAAAAGGGCGTTTTCACCCACGTGACCCGCATCCTTGCAAATTTATTGGAACAACACAAAGCGTGTACACAAGAAAAGAGTTCAACTCTTGAACACCAACGTGGCTGCAGTTTCACCAAATGGCCACCGCAACGTCAGGTGAAAACGGTCTATTGTGGAAGATGTGAAAATGGCGAATTTCAAGTAGATTATGTCGGAGAAACGTGTAAAACATCACCAAGGACAAAATGCGTCAACTAATTTTGATGATACTGCCATGCAGTCAAGGCACTTGACCGTAAATTCTCTCACGGTTTGTCGAGATATGTATGGGCCGAAAAAACAACCAGGGGGTGGGGATGGGGTTAGGAAGTTCCCTCCCCTCTTTTCCTCCTTATTTTTCTCTTGGGTTGACACGTGTGAAAACGACCGAGGCGTGTGTTTAACTGGCCGTCAGTTTTCTTGTTTCCATTCTCAAACGAGGGGTGATAAATAGGAGCGAGACAACAAACGTCCAAGACAGCTTGGTTTTGATTGAATTCATGTTTATATTGTTCCTATTTATTTACAAATACACTGCTTTATGAGCAACGAATCACTGTAAAATTTTAAGTGTTCCCAGTAATTCCATCTTCCTATTTACAAAATATGATATTTGTTATTTGAAAAAAAGGGTTTTATAAGCTACACTAAATTACGATAACAATTGCCGTTATCTCATGTCGACGAGAAAAAGCTCCTCCCCACCCCCCCACTTCCACATCCCGCGAAAAAGTTAAAATGCTGCTACTTCCGTCTTTCCGTTCATTCTCTACAACTTTGCTATTCATTTATACCCGTCTTTCTTCAAATTCATAGCAAAATTAACAACAACCTTCCGCTAAGACGCTATTTTGTATAACTGAAACAGACGGGCCAGAATCAATTATTGGTTGTAATCTTTGATATCGTTATCTGGGCGTTTATATCAGGAAATCACTTGAAAACTTGCGTTTGAAAACAATTAGATTCAAAAGAACACTTACTGTAACGAGATAAAGTGTACGAAAATTAAATACCTTAACCGGGTCGTAAAGGAAATATTTGATCAACAAACTTTAATTTGCACTCGTTTCCCACAAGAAGGCTCTTTGCTTTTCATTATAAGAGGAAAACTCTAAATGCGACTACCTAAAGCGTAAATCACAAGAACTTTGCTGTTTTCTTAAGTGTTAGCCGGAAACAAATAAATTATTTCCTTTACCTTTTTTTCTGTAGGCATAACCAACAAACAAGCAGGCTTAACTATTACAGTCTCAATAAAATTTTAAAAGGAAAACTAGCTCACGTTCGATATATCAAAATTCTAACATGACTCCATGGCTTTCTGATCTTGTTTCTATATTTTGTTTGTTTTTTTTGTGCTTAAGTTTCTTCTAGGAATTGCGAGACAATGGAGTCGTGAAAAATTGCAATTTTGTCCCTAAAGCCTCGGAGTCATGTTAGAATTTGATATATCAAACGTGGGTCATTAAGGGTCAATTTTCACTCAAAATGTTAATACATTGGAGGCATAAAATACGCGGGCGGTGGACTGTTTCGAGGGTCGTCTGCCAGTGTTGCATGGAAAGGTGGGGGCGGCTCATACACGACTGAAGGGCTTCTCTTCCCATAATCCACCTCGTCCTCGTCGTCAGAATAAACAGGTTTGTTCAGTGATGTTTCTGAGATGTACGATGGCGGCAAACTCGGATCATCATCAGGCAGGACAAGTGGTTTGCCAGGAATCGGCTTGAGTTCAATCTCCGGTCCCAGCACTATGGGTTTACGCTTCTTGAAAGTCCGTTTTTCATTGGATGGTTTTGGTCTTCGGCGTCTACAGTACCATATCAGGAGCACAGCTAAAACTACGACAACAAATACAACAAGCACGCCTACAAGGACGTGCTTATACCACAAGTCTTCGTCTTGCGTTGACTGCGCCCCTGGTGGTAAGGGAGTACCCTCATCCGTTCCATTGCACACTCCCAATCTTTGCTGACTCGCACTTTCAACTGGAAAATCCGGCAAAGCATCCCGAAATTCCTCTCTTACCTGACCGTCGGGTAGAAGCACCTTGTTCTCAACGTAATCCACTTTCTCCACATCACAAGTGTCTGTTGGTAGCGAGTCATTAGTCCAGGCCATGACCACTGATCCAGATGTAAAACTCAATACCCTAATTAGCGAACTATCAGAGTCACCATAATAACTAGAAATATTCTCTAGCAGCAAAAGTCTTTCAGACACATTGCGACTAAACGCAATAAAGTCGTTCGTTATTCTAACCTTCAGCTCCTGTACAATTGGTTTTTCAGACGGAACCACAAAGACTTCGAATGCGTCAAGGGCATCCGCACCCTGGCTATCCTGAGCCCGCAGTAAGAACCCTTCACCGGTTACCCCACTTGGCACATGCTCGCTAAGTGGTAGTCCGTAGATGGTTTGACTCGTGTTATCAAACTGCAGCCAGTAGTCTGTCGGAATGCTCGTCCCGTTGGCAAAGGAAACCGAAAGTGACAACCCACGTGTAGTCGCTTGGTCTTCGGCGTCGTAAAATGTGTCATCAGGTATGGTGTAGTATAAGGCTTTACCCGCGGTCGCGCTTACCCGCCCCATGTTGTTGTAAAGACGCGGTGGAGAGTTGGCGGGCACGGTGGTTGGTATGATGACAGAAGAAGATGGCGTGATGCTAAGTGTCACGGACGAATCTGTTGGCGTTACATTCCGAGTGAAGTTGGATGAAAAAGTACCTGAAATGGAGGAAAAAACAAGAGACTTGGAAAAGCTTGTTTGTGTAGATTGATATTTTGTAGCTAAAACCACAGTTTGAGAAATGCTAGTATAAGTACTAGAATGTTTGGAAAATAGGGAATTTTGGAAGGAATATGTTGTAGCTAAAACCACAGTTGGAAATTTACTAGGAAAAGAAATAAAAGTAAACGAAAAAGCTCCGGGACTTTGGCTTGAAACAATCGGTTGTACGGAGGCCGTGTGGGTGCCCATAGAGAAAGTTTTTGAGAAATGCCATACCTGCGAAAGTGAGATAAAGTTTGAAGAAAGGTCTTGAGCAGACGCAAGCGAAAGTGAGGATTTAACTTTTCTGGAGAATGAAGATGTAACAAAGATGGAAAGCGAAAGACTCCGAAATGGGGTGGAGAAGGGTGAGGATGACGTGACATTCTGTGACTTGAAGGAAAGAAGACGTGAAATGAAAGGTGTGACAATGGTGCGTGACAAGGAAAGCGAGGCTGTGTCAATGAATGACCCGGATGTAATGAAACTAAGCGAAATGGAGCTCTTCAAAGAGCTGTTAAAGATACTGACTGACTTACGTGAAGCAAAAGTACTCAAGTACGGTGTTGACATACGGCTTACAAGCGAGGATTTTACCGATACCACAGGTGATATCGTTGATGTAAATTTAACAGAAGACGTTGGGCTACTTGTGGAAAGTCTTGAAGGCGAAGAATGCTGCAAAATAACACTTGCTGAAACTTGGCTGAATCTTGAAGAGGGAACTCCTGTCATAAGGCTTGTTTTATACGAAGCTGTTGAAGCTCTTGAACTACTCAAATTACTGGTTAAGCTTGTAAAGGTAGAACTTTCAACTGATAACGAAGTCCGCGAGGACATTGACTCAGCACCAAAGGAAACACTGGATAAAAGGGATGTCGTGACACCAGCTCTGAGGCTAGAGGTCGAACCCTTGATCACAGATGACGAAGCTGGTGTCAACAAAAACGTCAAGGTATTTGGCAATCTTGATGTCACGCTTAGATATGGCGTTTGTGACTCAGGGCTGGACGTAAATGCTACAAAAGTGGCTGAAGATTTTTTGGAAAGTAGAGTCGTGACTATGATCTGGACAGTCATGTTACTGATCGGACTTGATATCGCGCTTGACTCATCTCTTCTTGACGACGCACTTAAAGATGACGTCTGTGGCTTAGAACTTGCCAAGGTGAATGCTATGGAGCTAGCTGAAGAAAGTTTTGTAAGAATTGCTGAAAAACTTGCTTGCATAGTTGAGGTGACCACCTTGAAAGCACTAGATGTCACGCTTGGCGAAACGCTTATGAATGTCACCTTAGATTTTCTACTGGACGTTGTTGTGGTAGAAGTCTGAATACCTGATGTGACGCTTGGTTTAGCAATAGATTTAACACTTATCGTCTCTGTTATGAAAACGGCGGATGTCACAAAAGTGCTTTTTAAAGATGACCTTACTTGTGTCGATTCAACACTTGGTGATTGCAGTGCAAAGGAAGATGGCGTTACTGGTGTTACGCTACGAGACATTGATGTCCTGTGTGTGAGAAGTCTACTAATCTCGGTCACTTTTGAGTTGTTTGCTCCAGTGATTACTGAGCTTCTTGCCAAGCTTGTGGCCGCTAAACTAGTGACTTCCGTGGCAATTGGGATCAAAGATGTTTCTACAGGACTAGCAGGTGTGAACTGTGAAGCTGTGCTACTTTCTTGCGTGACTAAAGGCGTTACAGTTGACGTGTTACTCACTGTAACAACACTACTTCTAACGAGGGAGGAAGAAAATCTAACCGTGGTCAACCTTGATCCAACAGTCGGTACAATGGACGAGGTTATTTTCACAAAGGTTCTGTCAAGGGTCATCATTCGTGTTGTGTTGCGTGACAGGAGAGTAGTTAAACCTTGGGATAAGAACACGCGAAATTACAAAGGGTAACGCAAAATAAAACCATATAAAAAATTACGTTATTTAGAGAGGGTGACATCTGACAGTTCAAAGAACTGTTAAATTTGTGACCCACTGAGTGTCCTCAATTACCTGAAGACACTTTCCAGATCGAACTGGAACTTGGGAATATTAATTTCTGGGAGAGGGGAAAAACCAGAGTACCCGGAAAAAAAATTCGCAGAGGAGAAGAAAATCAACAACAATCTCGCCAATGCCGGTACTCGAACCCAGATCACACTGGTAGGGGACGAACGCTCTCTAGTCCACTGCGCAACCGTCATATAAGAATTGGATCTCACTGCCACAGAATTAACACACAATACGTTGCTTAGAATATATAACCTGGCTAGCAATCCCCTAGGAACAACAATACAAGGTAAAGCAAATCCAGGTGAATTCAAGTGGAAGGAAGAAAGAAAAGATAAGCACGTTGGAAGCGTGTCAACAGCACCACACATGAGGATGAACGTCAGAAAAAAAGAAGTTAAAAGAATTTAGAAAATTTTAAGATCTTGAAACCCAAAAAGCCACATTAATACCACGTCTGGATGTAAACATTAAATAATTTACGAGTGCCTTGGCGCAATAGAAACGTAAGTGCTAAGAGCATGGACAAATTAAATGTGCTTTCGTGGTGCGAACAAACTGAAATCTTACCACTGGTTTCTTTAACACTTGTAACGGTCCTGTTGACTGGTGTGCCTGTGGAACTGAGCTGTACAGTACTGGGTATCCTGGTGGTAAGCCTACTGCTTAAGTGAGGTGATAGTGTACTAAGTGCGACAGTACGTGTTCTAGAAGATGTTGTCAAGTGTGTTTGCAATGTGCTTCTTGTGAACAAAGATGTACCAATGAGGCTCGATGACACTTGTCTGGTAAAGCTGGAAGGCCTGGACACACTGGTTGATCTCGCCATGGTTACGGTTGGTATTCCTGTGACCGTTGAAGTGGACACGGTGGTAGAGCCGCTTATTTTCAATGATGAATTCCCCTGTTCAGATGATGAGCTTGCAACAGGAGTACTTACAAATTCTGAAGAAACGTCACTGCTTAGTCTCAGCATCGAGGTAGAATTTTGTGAGCTCATGCTGGTCTTCAAAGTTCTTCTTGTGTCAACAGAAGTCATTGAAGTTTGTGATATCGAAGGAGAGGTTACCAAACTTGAACTGAACTCGGCTGAGCTCCGTGCAACGCTTAGAGTCACTCTTGGTGTTATAAATGTTCCGCTGCTGTTGGATATCGTGGTTGTTAGCCGTGTGGCTGCGGATGTCGCGTTTAATAAGGCACCAGTAGAGATCAACAACACAGATGAAGATCTTGTTCTCGACAAAACCACTTGAGTTAAAACAGACGAATTTAACGGTATGTCCCTTGTTGAAAACTCTTGAGGTCTTGAGATCGCAGTGGAATTCAAGTTAACTTCAAAACTTGACACAGGGCTGGAAGGCGTGGTAGCAGAAAAAGAACTTGATATCTTTACCATGCTTGGCGTGCTTGTAATCTGAAAAGTACTTATTGAAACGACTGGGGTTGCTGTGATGTTGACAATAGACTGATTAAGGCCAATCGAGGTAGCAGCGATTACAGTTCCATTGGCAGCCAGAATACTCGAAAATGTTCGGCTTCCACTTGTCGTTGTCAATGAAAACACAGACGTTCCAAGCAGTGATCTATCGATTACAGACGTTGAATTCACCAATGTTGATCTCTTGGCTGTGGAGGGCAAGTGTGAAATAGTATGGTAAATAATAAAATACCAAAAGCATTATGGAATTGAGAAGTCCTTCCATAAAATCCATGTATTCCATGCAAATAATTCGTGACGTTTGTCATGGAGACGTACTCATGCTTTCCTGACGCCGCTGAACAGATAAGGATGTATTAACACTGAAAACTTTAGAATTTGTGAAAAAAAAGCAAAAGAAATCAAATAAACAAATTGAAGATTTTTTGGCTGAATAACAGTTACATTTTGTCGCCTCTTGCTTGGCAAACGACGGTTCTTCCACACTCCAAGGTATGAGTAAATGGTAAGTCTTCAAAACACACACATGTGAGGTGTTTGTGCAAATGAATTCAAAGTGGGTGTCAAAAAGTCAAGAAGTACTTAAAGAAATGACTAAGTTATGAATATAGAAGAGAGAAAACCGTCATGTTTCGTTTCAGAGAGTGGTTAATGATAGCAGCTTCTGCTGGACTTTAGAAGATTAACTAAGAAAGAAGAGGAGAGCAAATGTGTTAATTTGTGGCACTGTCAAAACGTTTCAATTTTATCCCACTGATTGACTTAAAAAATTAGGTTTAGATATTCACGTTTTATGACGACTGATTATGCAACAATATTTTTTAGCAGTTTTCATTTATCAGCACAAAAACGTAAAAATTATTTAGATGAAACTCCAAATGATCATCATCATCATCATCATTATTAATGTTCTTGAAACTCTGTCTGAGAAAAGATTAGTAAGTTAATAATGGTTAACACTAGATATTGTGAGTGCAGTTTGAAAATAGAGCAAAAAACTCAAGAGCCTGTGAGGTAAAATATGTTGCTGGGGATTTAGGTGCCATACTCAGTGACAGGGTTCACATAAGTAAAGAATCTGACCGACTGTATTTAACCAGTAAACCGGCATTCAACCTAGTTTGATTCAGAATTTTCTTTTATTGTAGTGTTAGTTAAGAATTAAAATGTTCAGAAGAGGTCTTAAACTGCTGTCCATTTTTTTTGTTTTATATTCAAGCTTACACTGCAAAACGGCATTGGTGAAAGCTTGGATTTTTATTTTTTTTAAAAAATGGACAGCAGGTTAAGGCCTCATTTGAACATGTTATAATTTTCAATTACATCATGCTGGTGAAAGACAACTTGAACAGATTGTTAGTAGCCTTAATTATTTATAGGAGTCAAAGAAAATCTCGGTTTAACGTGAGAAAAATAAATTACAGAAGTTTGACTAGAATAAAAAACTCAACGAGTATCCGGAAGGTGTCCCTAGTAACGCACCATGATTGTACATTGTATAATTTGTAATGGCAAAATGTAACCGATTCTTGTAGCTGTTGATGATGTTTAGAAATTAATGTGTTAAGCCAGTCAGAATAGATTATATGAATGGAGTGAATGTTACTTAAAAAAAAACTAAAGATGCAAGGTAAACTTACCGATGGTTGTCTCCACTGAAATCGCCACACTAAAAAATAACAATAAGAGAAAGATAAATCTCAGTCCTTCTTTCAGGTTGTAAATTAAATTCATCTCATATCAGGCTATTCCCTAGCAGTATTGGAAAGAAAATGTCAAAGCTTTTAACAAACCTACATGTGAAATAATCTCCTATTTATAAATCACAAGGGAACAAAACAAAGTGACTATGTACAGCTATGTACAGTATGCTAATTACTGGTAAAGCTTTTTATTAAAATATATGTATTGATCCTGTGGGGCACTCCTTGGAATACCTGGTGGGGGTGTGCCGTTCAGTTCTCCAAATCCTGATCCTATTTAAGGCCAAAACATGCCATTTTCCCCACCCATTTTCAGAGCTGGCTTCCTGAAAGTGGTGCTGGGTTTACCAATCCATTACCTTGTTAAAATGAAGTTAACTTACTGTTCAAGCATTTTTATCATTTAGCAGTTTTTGTATTAATTTTGACACTTAACTGTTTCATTTATTTATAGCTGAAACGAAAAATGTGTTTATATACACTAGTGGTTCCCTTGAAATTTCACACCAGAATGGGCAAAATCTAGACCTGTTTTCAGACCATACAGTTCAAAAACCATCCTTTGGGGTAATAACACATACCTAGTAACATAGCTCAAATAAGGGAGTACCCCCCCTCCCCCCAGGTATTGATGATGTTTCTTACCTTGTCTGTGTTGAGTTAGCACTTGTTGCAATAGGTGAAGATGTCAACGACAGCACAACAGATGCAGTTGTGACATTCATCCGTAGGGAGGAACTTGCAATGTGGATGACGGATGTCATGTTTATCCTCACAGAACTTGCTGATGACACCACATTGCTTGATGGCAGAATCAAAGAACTTGGTAGTGAAGATGGTGTAACAAAGGAAATAATACTGTTTGCAGATCCCCCAATGCTAGTCATCATCGGAATAGAAGTGTTCAATATTGGAACAGTACTGCTTATTGATAAACTGACAGTGCTGAATGGAGAAATGGTAGAGCTCAGTGATGGAACAACAGAGATCAAAGTCAGAGCAGAACTTTCTAATAAAATGTCAGTACTTGTTGAAATAATACTGCTCAGTGTTGGGACAACCGTACCCAGTGCGGCTGTACTGTTTAATTGAGGAGTTGATGCATTTCCCATGAAAGCTGTAGTTTCAAGGCCTACCAAGCTTGATGGAGAAGATAACGATCTTGACAAAAAGGATGTAGAACTTGAAGTTACAGCTATCACACTAAGACTTGTTTGATTGACAGTGGAACTTGCTTCTTGAACAGATGTGTTGCGACTGGATACGAAGCTGCTTGAGAGACTCACTGTTAAAGATGATTGCCTTGAGATTGTCAGTGACATTGCAGGTGATGTCGAGACATTTAATGGAGGCGTAGAAATTGCCACTGAAGAAGGTGAATGTGTTGTGAGATGTGGTGACGCAATTGATGTTAGCCTTGATGATGCTATCGACAATTGTTTGCTGGAAGGAGTAGCAAATGAAGATGTTCTTTTTTCTAGTGAACTTGATACTTGAAGTGTTGGGGATGTTAATGTAAGATTCAATGAAGATGTACCAACTGCTGACGAAATCAGCACTGTTCTGTTTAATGAAGGAAGAGTAGAAGAGCTGGAACCAATGGCTGTTGTTTCATTTGGTGATATGCTTGAGCTGTTTCTTGCTGGCAGTGATGAACTGGGAGTGAGAAATGAAGAGACAATGGCCGTTGTTACTGTTCTTGTTATAAAAGTTGAATTCCGTGATTGGTTGAGAATGGAAGATGGCATGATCAGAGTGGTTCTGTTTACAGAAGACATCAATTCTGAACTTTGAACAGGCACTGTTGTATTTCTTGATAATATCACTGTAGAACTTTTTATTGACACTGACTTGGTAAGCATGATGGAACTGGGTGAAAAAGATCTTGCAGAGCTGGTGACATTGGCAAAAACAGAGGACTGTATGTCAGTTCTGCTTGGCAACTGACTTGATCCTGTTGTTGTGTTAGCACTTGTAGTAAAAGAACTGACTTCTGTTCTGTTCATAACGACACTTGACACAGATGCTGTTGATTTGGAGGTTATGGCAACAGTCCTTGAGATAATCACAGAAGTGGACATATTTGATATTCTTGAGGGAAGGGCACTTGATGGTATGGGTGTGGCAGTCATACCCATTATCTGACGCCTCACTCTGCGTTTAGCCATGTTCTTCTGAGTACCTGACATGACATGCCATCCCACCACAGGAACACCAAGTAGACTACTTATGCTTCCATCCTGAGCATTGGTTTCTAGTTTAGAAAATGCTACTTCTTCAAGTTTGATAGCACCACAGCCCATGTGCCATGTCAGCAAGCTTCTGGAGCCCTTGGAAAACCTGCCATCTCCTGCACCAGCTGCCATCACTACAGGATTATCAAGCTGCCCAATGAGTGGATGAGTAGCTTGACCAGAAAATAAACTAACTTTACTTGAATGCAGGTTTAGGTGGTCTGCCATCTTTAGTAACAACATCATCCGTTCATGTCCATTCATGTTGTGCACATCAACGTTCAAAATTAAAGTGCCATGGATTGCTTGGCTGCCAGGAACACAAGGCAAACTTTGAACAGTCTTGATGTTGCTGCCTGAGGTGTCAGTGCTGGGGTAAACGGACATCACCAATTCTTCACTGACGGGTACAACTTTGATGAAGAAGGATCTTGACCCACAAACACGACCTCTGACCTCGTCTCCATCCCTTGACAGTGCTACTACCAGAATGTTGTATGTTCCTTCATCCTTCTCTGATGGAACGCCATATAGCTGTCTCTTGTTACTGTTGTAGGCTAGCCAGTGTGAAAGAAACCTGTCTGCAGTTTCTGATACCTGTAATGAACAAAAAGTAAATCGAATCCACATCATTTTGTTTCTTTACCTTTCTAACAGTTACAGTGAATTTGTGAACAACAGGGACATGTGAAGAGGCAGGGAGGAGGGAGGAGGGTAAGGGATGCCTTTAAGGTTGGAGGTCACAGTAATACATTACCAAGCATGGAAGGTAAAAGCATACATGGCACTATTCACATTTTCACACCAAGTCTTGAACATGAGTATCAACATTGTCCTTATAAACATTCACTCTAAAACTGGGGGCAAAAAAAAAAACTTGTAACCTAGAATGTAACCTCCCAAAAGTTACCTCTAGCAGTGTATTAAGTAAAAAGTAAGATAAGTTAAACCCAACTTTCCTGAAAAGCTTATTTCAAACCCCAAATAAAATGTTATGTCTCAGTCACTAACTTGCTGGCCATCTCCTGGTTAAATTTACATTGCCCCCTGGGATGAGCTGAACAGTCCAGGTCAAGCCACAGAAGACACGTTTCAAACCAGATTCAGTTGGAACAGATCCCAAGCCCCAAAATGATGTTTTCAACTTACGGTATCTTTACTTACCACAAAGCTTTCTACCTCACAGTCAAACACTTCCTCTGAAATGTTGTAAGCAAAGGATGAACCAACATATACCATTGTGTTTGGTAGCTGCAGACTTTTCACCGAAGGGGTAGGTTGTAAGTTGTCTTGACACGATGCCAAAGGCAATGAAAAAAGTCCTCCAAACAAGACCATAGCAAGCAATCCCCCTAGGGATGATAGCCTTGGATTTTTTCTCACAGAAAACGTTCTAGCTAAAATTTGTATACTTTGCTGAATGTAGTTTGAAAGCAGTAATATCAAAGCCATCCATGGAACTACATTGAGTAACGTCCATTTAGCAAAAGGTTGTGATAAACATTTCCTTCTCCACGGTTTACACTTCAAGTTTCTGTTACATGACAAGCATGAGTGCACAAAAGGATGTAAAATCTGCATTAAAGCAGAACATCTTTGATGTCCCTGATGAACTGTAGATTTTCCATATGATTCAAATGTCCTGTTATTCTGCAAACAACATGAACACGGTGGCCATTCTGTAGGTATCATCTCCAGTGATGGGTATTGTGACAAAATCCAAAACTTTGTTTGTGTCTATTTCCTGGTTCCATAAACTTCATGAGTATTATCAGTAAAGTGGTTATTGCTGGAAGAAAGAAAATATTATTTAAAAAAAAGAACATTATTAGGTGGTGTCATGTTAATCATAGTTTGGCATAAATACTGAGAGAGAAAAGAATACTGTGGCTTTTCTAATTAGTCACTGCAGAAATCCAGCATAACTAGTATCAAAAAATTAGCTTCAGTCTAATTCAAACTTTGAATTAGACTGTTAAAAGCTAATATGAAGTCGTGTATGTCTAAAGCTGGTCTACCTTTACATCATTTTTATATTTACTTATGGTCATAACACTGATATAAATGTTAACCAGACCAGTTGTGGTTGATTTTCTTTAAGAGTTGTCATACAATATGTTGGCCAAGATAAATAACGAGGAAAGACACATGTGTACAAAGTTAAGATATCAAGTTTCGTTTCCTTGTGTTCATGGTTACAAATGCAAATAGAAACAACAACAATGGAACTGAGTTTTAAACAGCTAGTCTAACGTAACGGCAAAATTGATTTTATTTTAGGAAACTTTTGAAAATGTAAAACAGCCAATACCTCTCACTGTATCTGTATAGTACTATCGAAACGCAAAAGCAGATACACGCAATCTTATCATTCACTAAACACTTGAGAAACAAACATTGAGATTTTCACTGTAAAATCGGTAATCGTAAAATCAATGGCATCGAAATACTACAAAATGTATGACTTTACATCAGTGGGGGAGTTTCACTTTGTCCAATTTATCAAACACTGTACCAGTTTAATTTTTAACATTTAAAGGTTAGAATTGACAAGATGAGTTAAAATATTGGTGCAGCTGCCTGTCGAATGTTGGAAAGCAACGTTGTTCCAACGGCTGAAATAAAAGCGTTCGATTTCCCCTGTTTTGCAAAATTATCAAAAGCGTCAGCCTACCTATAGCTTCGGTGACCAAGGCTATGATTTCCACCACATTTGGTTGACATCTTCCATGTTCGCACTCGGGAATAGCACCCGATAATACGAGATTTATCTCACGTACAACCAACCGTTTCCAATTTTCTCCTTTGGAATCAATAATCAAACAGCGTCGTTCTGTTACCGAGGACCCAGGCCGAGGACCCGAGACATTTTCGAAAGGCGCGTCATATTCCAAATTTGGAACAGATGACAATCGAGGTGGTCCTGGGACGAGTTGAACTGAAGCGGAAGCGGAAAAAAGCGGAAATCGCAGCCTAATCTCGTACCCAGATCTCACTCTGTTTTACAATCGCAGCCTTGGGCCAAATTTTCCTTCCAGGCCTTCTTCTTCATTTTTTCTTTTCGATGATTTTTGGCAAGCGTGTGAGCGAAGCGAGCGCATGAGACTGATCGTGTAGCGCGAGAAAAATGTCTATTTTCACCTTTCCCTACCCCCCCACGCCCGCCGCCAAAAAAGGAAAACCTGTTTGAATGGAGAGGTCCACGCAACGCGTAAATATATATAACTGACTGGTTTCTCTTGCCGGATCTCTAATTAAAGAGATGCTGCAGCCAGACGTCACTTAAAGTGCAAAATAAAACAAAACTGAATGAAGGGCTGGCCTATAATAAATCCGCCCTACCAGCGATTAATAAATCACCTGCGGGTTAGGTCTGTGAACAGGTTAGGCGGAAATACTCCTTCTTGAGCTTCTTAGCAAATGAACTAAACTTTCTAGATTTGTGTAGTTAAAAGTTTCATCAATCCATATTCAGATATTTATTGACAGCCTGAATATAAAATTGTAAAATTCCCATCCGAATGGTCGACAAAGGCCAGGGCGGTGTGTGAGGGGGCAGGGGATCGGGGGAGGGTGAATGGATACTCTTGGAATTGGCCATTTAGTGAAAGATAAACGGGATAACCTGAGATCAGGTCAATTTCAGCTGTTTTCATACATACAAGAGAAAAGAAAATAGAGGCTGACTCAGGTTATAAAATTAACGTGGAAATTCAATAATATCTACTTGAGACTCTCTGTACGGGGGTATTTTGTAGGATTAGGAATTAGGCGTCGATGATTTATTGACCAGACTGATATGAAACGCAAACTTAATAGAGTCACTAGCGTGGAAACGATTTGGGTGATGGGGTGGGGTAGAGGTGGAGACCCTAAAAAATAATACCCTTGAGCTCAGGTGGCACATACCCATCTATGATAACGAAATTAACTGCAAAAACCATGGATGAAGACCATGCTGGTTGTCAATGTTGGATCTCTAGAAAAGGAGATCTAATCAGCTAAAATATTAAGAACCAAAACATGAGAAGCCCAAGGACTACTGCAAAGCTGATCATGACAACATTTGCTTTTTCATAACAATATTTTGGCTGGCCATACCAGCCTTTTTCAGGTTTAGAGATGTTAATGAACTTATGATAGGAATTATAATATTAAATAGATGGTAGACTACGAGTAGTCCCCCATTTTTCCTTAGGGATAGTAGAGTGAGCAAAACGTGAGCGCGAGTGAAAATCACCTCACGCGAGAAAAGGCGACACGCGGCACGCCCGCTCGCGTTTCGCTCGCTGTACTATACCTGAAGAAAAATGGGGGACCACTCGTAGTCTAAATAGATGGAGAATGTGGCAATAAGAATTGTTTAAAAGGAGGACATACCTGTCTAGCCCATATATGAGACTAAGAGTACCCAGGGGTGCAGTGAAAAACTTGAGAGTAAAAAATACATATTTCTTTTATTTCAAGTTCTATAAATTAGAAAGAAGTTTCTGCTGAATGCCCAAATTTCTACAATGCACAGTCTCTTTTTATCCATAATTTAACAGGTATCATAATTTGTCACCATAAATAAAGTATCTGTTACAAAATTAACTTTAGAATCTCAGATCCCACAGCAAGCAAACGTCAAAGAAGAGATAAGCAAAGAAAAGACAAAACTTCTTATGCTTCATGTTGTTATATTGATTCGCACATCTCATAATTGACTGAAGTTAAAAGTTAGCCATACTTTGTGAACAGAACACTCAATTGCAGTTTAACTTTATCTTTGTTTGCCCCCAGATAGAGCAAAATAATATGTTTGGAAACAACACTACTTCTTTGACTATGTACAATAAAAATAAACTTTCCAAGAACTATAATTTATTTTGTGCCTTCGCTTTTAATACTTCCACAGTTTAGTAGTAATGAAGTTTTTTTTTCTTTTTTAACCACTTAGTAAATTTAACCTAACTGTTTTAGCATCATCAGCTTTGATGTTAACCACTAGCTAGTTCACTTAATAACTTAACTTGAATAAAACATTTTACCTAAATTACTTTTATTTTTAAGACTTCTTAGAAGATAATTTAATCAACCTAGTAAGAACCATTTGGTTCTAAAATGTTAAAAAGATGGAGATACAAGTAAAACCTGGATGTCCATTACATTGGTTCCTGTCAGACCAGTGACAACATGATCCCGCCCATTCTGAAATGAGGAGTAAAATGTAAAAGAGTCATTATTTCGGAGGAATTCTTTAGGATTCAGCCCTTCATTCATGGCGTCCAGCACTTGGAAAGGGCCTGCAACTGCCCCAGCTGCCGGAGTAGGACCATCCTGCCCATCAGTGCCTGCACTAAGTAGAACAAGACCACCTGGATTTTTACCTAATGGAAACTGATTGAAGTTTTCATTGATATCTATAGCTACTGCAAGTGCCATTTCTTGGCTGCGGCCACCGGTTCCTTTTCCTTTCAATGTCACAGTAGTTTCACCAGCCCCAATGATGCATACTGGTTTCTTGGCGTTCCTTGCAATGATAATCTTGTTGAAGAGATCATCTGTCAAGACATCTTTAGTTACAGGTGAGAGCTGAGGCAGGCTTCCATTCCAGGCAAAGTAAGCAAGATCAGAATACATATGGCCAACATCTCTTGCTTCCCCACTTAATTCTGTTGACACCACAACTGGGGCATACCCGATACTTTCAGCTTTTTTCACTGCTGCATTCACAGCAAACCTGTTGCTCCCCACAAGAACATTCTGGACATGTGGAAAATTTACAGGATCAACTTGGCCCCTTTTTTGTTGATCTTTCTCTGCTTGCTGCAGATACTGTATAACTATATCGGGAATCATTTTCTCCGCATTCAGCTTTCTGAATATTTCCAGGCAGTTTGCGGGTGTGGAATAGTTGGGAACTGTTGGGCCACTGGCTATTATATCTAGAGGATCGCCAATCACATCCGACAAGATCAGGGTCACTACCTATACAACAGAGAGAAAAAAATGTTACTTTTAAAACCTTTTTGTAACACAGTTAACTCTCTCTCTCAACAGACACCTCAGTCTATAAAATGGAAACCCCACTAAAACAGATGTTACAGGTCAATAAGTTAAGTTACATTCAGGTTAACCTTATTCCATGGGTGTACACACCTTAGCAGGGTATGCTGCCTTGGCAAGCTTTCCTCCTTTAAGGTCAGAGAGATTCTTTCTGACAGTGTTCAGCTCTTGAATAGTGCCACCACTTGAAGCCACTGCTTTAATTGTTTGCAATTTTTCTTCTAGTGTAATCCCTGGGACTGGATATGGAAGCAATGCAGACCCACCCCCTGAAATAAGCACAAGGAGAACGTCATCACCCCGAACACTCTCTGCAACTTCCTTTATCCTGCTTGCGGCATACTGAGCCTTCTCATCTGGCAGGTTGTTCCTTGCTCCTTCTATAGCTGTGATAGGACTGTTCTTACTTAGAATTGTGCTATCAATCAGTTCTCTGTTCCTAGAGGCCTGCAAATGAACAGACAAATGCACAAATACAGTATGAGGGTACCGATAAAACAACAACAAAATACTTGAAATATTTTTTCAACTTCCTAGGGATAAAATATAATAACCACAAGACTCTGGTTCCTTTTTGAGAATTCTTAAGCATACCTTGCACAATTTTGTGCACTTTGGCATTAAATCACTGGTAGAGAGAGATTTACTAACTTTAATTGGAAGTTGAGGAGGGGGCAGGGATGATTCACCTCTCATGAAACAAAGTTTGTATCTGTAGCCAGAGGAAGACCCTTTCAGTGAATTGGCCTGGGTTTTTATTTATATATTACACCCTTCACCGGATTTATGGATTTATCTTTCATGCAAAAAAACTACTCAGCCAATAAGAGCAGAGTAGAATTTCTTGTAGATAAACAACAATGGGAGATAGCAAAGTGTCGAGCAAAGATCAGGGTCGGCCAGGGTTTTTGGGTATACGGTATACAGGGGCTTTTTAAATCGGGTATACGGTATATTGCAGCTTAAATACAGGTATTCGGTATATCGGCTTTACTTGAATTTCAGGTATAAAGTATACCTAGGTATAATTTTGGGTATATTTGGATGAATTGTGGGTATTTTTGTGTATTTTGGCGAATTTTTTTCGGGTATACTGGTATACCACTCACCCCCCTGGCCGACCCTGAAAGATACTCCAATAAAAATGTTTCAAAAGAATGGAAAGAAGTTATGTATTTTTAAACAAACCAGACCTCCTAACCAGACTCTGGACAGATTTCCACAATTATTGGTATCGAATTTTTTACAGCCAAAATGCAGACATCTCTCTTGAAAAAGGCCCCAACAGCAAGAGGGAGGCAATGAGATGCGGCCTGTATTCACAGGCTACCCAAGCATCTGCACAGGACATGTCTGCGCACAGGCTGTGGGATTCTAACTGACCATTCCAGCAAAATACCATAACATATCATAATGCCCTTTGTTCGTCACCTGAAAATTTTGCATAAGCATTGTTTTCAGTTTCTCTTTTGGGGCAATTTTAACTCCAAAGAGAAACTGAAGACAATACTTATGCAGAATTTTAGGGTAACAAACAAAGAACATTATGGTATTTTCTGTAGTGGTCAATACTTCTGCTTATTTCAAAGTTTACAATCTACCATGACCAATACCTTTATCGCATCTGGCAGGCCTAAAGGAATACTGGCCACGCCTTGACTGATATGATCCCCGAGGATGTCCTCAACCGCCTTAGCCATCCCTAACACAGCTTTACCAAAAGCCACCACAGAGATGTTTTTATCAATGGCATACTCGCGTTCCTCAATGGAAAGGACGCCTTGGTGAAATTTGAGGTTATTTTTCACCATTTCCTGCGGACTTACGGCACTGAGGGCCGCTTTGTAGATCGTGTGCGCGTCCGATCTCAGGTACAGTTGAACTTCTTTATTGAAAGAAGAGTTTCCGAACCATCTTGCCCGCCATAGTGTCGATAATGCTCTCCCTTGAAACTTTATGTTCCTCGTTACAGTGCACAAAGCCATTTATCTAGTTACACGGGGGCCAATAGATATATTTAGCAGAAGAAGAATTTGCGCGTACGTGCCGTTCTTCTCTCACGCTGAAACTCCGTTTAATTCCCAAGTGGGGTACACTAAGGTGTTTTTTTGGTTCACGTAGAAGGACCCAGTCCCTTTTCGTAAACAGCGCGCAGTGCACTTTCTGGCGAGTTTTGTAGAGTGCAAGATCTCAACAAACTTGCTTGTACTTCAGTTTGTTTATTTTTACGCTGGATTCCTTCGTAGATCAGTGTATAGAAACAGCCTAAATCACGACATGACTGTTTGTCGTACCTCTCAATTTTTGTGGAATTCCGGAGATCGGTGAGTTTTTGGACGCGCGCAAATTCGAAGTTGGACATCGGAAGATGGCTCAACACACAAGCTATCTCCATATCGGAGATATCGTCTCGCTGTTCGCTGAAGGCACCGTTAATGGATTCATTAGCACACTCGGGTAAAGAAATGAGATTAATTTCAGTTGCATTTGTGTTTATTGTTTTTTTTGTCTCGTTCTTTCCAGTTTAATCGGAGATGTTCTTTTTTCAGTCTCATCGATGATCGATGTGTGGTACAGCCATCGGCTGGTGACCTCAATAACCCACCGAAAAAATTTCGCGGTAAGGAACAGTGATCGTCCGTTTATAGACACGCTTTGAGCATATTTAAATTTTGAGTATGATAGAGTAAGAGGCAAGCTGCCGGTTTGCAATCTATTTTTTCATCGTTAAGCTTATCCTTTATTCTTTTTAGACTGCCTGTTCAAGATTTGTCCGTCGAATCGCTACTCGGCCCAGAAACAGTTCTGGAAGGCGGCTAAACCAACTACTAGCGCCACAGATGCAGTTTTGCTGAAAAAACTACATGTAAGCGTGGGATGGTTATAGATATTTCACTCATGTTGTGTTCCGTCTTTTTAAATTTCTCTTTTATCTTGGCGAGAGATTAGCGCAACAAGCTTGACACCAGTATGCGACCTCATCATGAACTTCCTGCAAACTGCACACGAGATCATAGAGCTGAACCACTAGGTTAATGATCTTTTACGCTTTGTAAAAGCTTATAAGATACATTTTTTCTTTTACGAACAAAAAGCTCAATTTAAATAGCAAAGCATAAATTTTGCGTGAAAGTGTATTGAAATTATTATGCCAATTAGACATTTTATACTCTCACTCCTCAGGTGTGTGGCGGTACTAATATTTTTTGCCATTCGGGCTCTTTCATATGGTCTTATCGCAGCCAATAGAACTAGTGTGGTATGATGTTTATTTGCAAAGTAGTTCTCTATCAAAGTACATATGAAAAACTACCAGATGTGTACACAAGCGCTGAGAATAGCCATTGACGGCTGCTTGGTATCAGCAGTTGGCGAATTTAAGGCTTTATTTTCGACCAATTTTTCTTTTTCTAGCCAATTCTTCAGATTTTTACCGGAAGAAGGAAATAGCTCGTTTTCCGAGCATGTAAGTCTTTGTATTTTTCAAAGGAAAAATACAAATCAGACTTGTGTGCGACACTCCATTGTATAGTAGAATCTAATAAATTAATGTTTCTTGATTTGCATAATAGCTTTGTAAGGAAATCTTCTGTCTGCGGAAAAGTTGACTTTGTTCGTTTTGATGCAAATTAAGAATAAACAACACAAGAAAGCACTAAAAAAGTTATTTTATGGGAAAGGCAATTATTTTAAGAACATTACTTGTAAGTCTTTGGTCTCTGATGGTATACAACTGTGTCAAAAAATTAAGTGCAGCTGTTTTACTTATTCATTTTTATTTTTTATTGTTGTTATTTACTTTGGTGTAGTAATCCCCGATCATTCAATAACTGATCATGATGACCTTTTTTAATTAAAAGAAAATTTGAAAGCAAATTCATCCTCTTAAGCTGTCTTAGGCTTTGTATCATCCCTGAAGATGTTTTCCATTAACAGGCAACCTTGAATAAAGTGGCGAAAAGAATTGACATAAGATTTATATGGTGCTTAACTGCATTGTACTCACATTAGTTTAATTGGTTCATGGGCTATTGTACTGATCTTAATTCTGACAAAATTAAATCTTAATATTGCCTTACAACTTTAAAGGGATAGTTGATTCAAATGCTTCTTGCATTGATTGATTGCATTGACTCACCTCATGTTTATTGTATAATCCTTCACTTTCCAAGAGAAAGTGAACCAGAAAATTGAAGTTGCCGATTTTTTTGCCTATCACATAAGTGTTAAGATGCAATAATATATTATAATTTTTAATGTCAACCTGTTCATGGCCTCTATTTGTACAATATTTATCTAAACCACTAGATCTATAACTCTGTAAGCACATAATTGATTATCCATCATCTTTAATGGAAGAGAGAAGAATGTTTCCTTAAAGCTGCTTTAAAGAATGAGCTAGGGGAGAAATAACTATGAATTGAGGCTGGATTGGTTGTTGAATGCCCAGCAACTTATTTTCACATCACTGAATATGAATGGATATATTACTGTTTTCATGTAATTTATGTTTTACTTAACAAGTTGCAGGTTTTGCTAAAATTGCCCAAAAACTTTTGCTGTTGTAAAGACACACCTAAAAGTTTACTGAGAGAACTTAAAGAATTCACTGTTCCTTTTCTCTTGTCGTGAAGAGGAAGTGATAAAAAGGAGTTTTTTTGTAAAATGTTTTTAGTACAGCAGTTGAACATACGGCAGACAATTTTAGTTGATTTACTGGGAGGATACCTTTCTTTTGGAGACAGATAAACATGGTCCTGAACTGAATGAATTTAAGTCAAAGTCTTACCCCTTCACTCCCAAAAGTGGCAAAGTCAAAATTTGTCAGCATTTCCAAATTCCATTTTGCAAAACACTGAAAAACAAATTGCACAATGTGAAAGTACTGTTAAAGAGGATTCATTTGAATGGTCAAACCATAAGATTTCGTCAACAGAATCAAAAGTTAGAACCACCTTACAATTTAAAGATGCCATCATTCACTCTGCTAGGTGTCAAATGTGGAAGATCTTGTGTTTTTGGAGTGAAGTCGTATCAGCGTGCGAAGAAAGTGGTGTCCGACAGCCCAGGGCTAGTGGATTTTGCTATTGAGCTAGTGAATTCTGTTTTCAACTTGCCCGACGGGCAAGATCTTTTTTGAGGAATTCGAATAACAGAAGAACTGTGAGATCAATTCTGCTCTTCAAAAAGCTTTTGGGCTAGTTGAAATGACCTCTGGGCTAGTAAATGTTAGCTTCAGCTTGCCCAAATGGCAAGCTGTAAAAATGATTTTCTTTGCAACCTGCGTTTCCAGCTTTTCAAGCGGGTAAATAATATTGAGTTATGCCCTTTTAGGTAGATCTTGTAAGAACAGAAAAGTCTGTAAGTTACATGTAAGGGAAAGTTTTCTTTAATTAAGTAAAAAAAAATGCTATGCTTGGTAGTTTCTCCAAATTTTCCTACATGTACTCTTGGATGTTCTATATCCACCACAATTTTGAACGTGTTTTAGCAGCCAATCCATGGCCTATGCTTCAGCTTTAATTCCGTCCTGTAATTTTTGGATTGTTTTCTTCTAAAGTTTTGAAGATTAAAAGCTATACTCATTGAACATTAAGTTTGGAAACTGCCAAACTGAATGGCATAACCATTTAAAAACAAGTCAGTATCATCTGGTTAACTTTTATGTGTAGGTTTTAGCTAGGAAACTAGTTCCATGATATGCTACTATCATACTGCTAGCAAAATACTGGCCTCTCCTTAATCGTGATGTGAGGTAAATCAAAGCATATCCATTTATAAAATTAACATAAAAATATTGTCTGTTACCTTTACAAATTTTGTTTTAGTTGGCTTTAAGCTGAAAATTATTTAAGATTGATTCTAAATCACACTTGGACATATTTGTGTTTTCAGAACATGGATTGTTTGCATGCCTTTTTACTTGATTATTATAAGAACTTTTGCACTTTATCAGAATGCAGCAATAGGGCCAGTTATACGAGGAAAAATAAGATGCGTCTTACATAGGACGCGTCTTAAATAAGACGCGAACTTTCCGTATAAATGGCACATTTCATCTAAAATAAGACGTGGCTTAGCTTAAGACGCATCTTATCTAAGAACAGGTGTTAAGGGCTGTTCTAAAATAAGACGAGATAGATAAGACGTGTCTTAGCCCCGTATAAGTGGCCCTAATGTTTTACCATTTGCTCTTCATTTTTTTAAATACTTTTTAGCATGCAGCAGAGTTGGAGAAGAAGCAGAATGATTCTGAGTACAAAAAATGTTTAGGAAGTGTCGTGGAATATGGGGGAGTGATTCAGGTAATGTAAAATTTATTACTTTATGAATCCTCCAATAAATTATTAAAAAGAATTGAAAATATTTTAAAGACTTTTGTGTCTGTAATCAAACAAAGGTGCCCTTTGTGCAATGGCCTTCTCGTATTATTATAATTACATTAAAGTATGTGTAAGTCATGATATTTTTGTTGTTAGCTTCTTCATGTGAAGAGTAACAAGTTTCTGACTGTTAACAAGCGGCTTCCAGCACTGAGAGAAAAGAACGCCATGAGAGTTACCTTGGATACAAATGGAAATGAGGTAGTTTGTCACAAGCAATTAAACTTTTCTTTCCTTTAGAGTTCTACTTAGGGACACAGTCAGCTGATGCACATGCGCATTAAATACCATTTCTTAGCTGATTTGCATGTCACAAGACGCGCATGAAACAAAAGCGTCTCCGGAAACACTCTAAACAAACCTTGTAGAGTATACTAGTTACAGGCCGAAATCGTGATTATAGGCCTCAAGCCACATCAGAGCACTCATTTTTTATATACCAGTGAGAATTCACCAATGGATTTTTCCAGGGAAGCCAAAAATCGACGAATACTTCCTAATTCGAACATCAGTACGGGTGAGAAATTGCACGAAGTCTGAGTGATTGTACTGTGTGGAAGGTTCACCGTTGAGGACGCTTGATTTTCCAAATACATGTAACATTTTCCATCCATTTTCCAAATATATATAACGATTATTTGCTCATCAGTGTTACTGATTCATTGCTCTTGTTATTTTGGTAAAAAAGGCGATTTCTCCCGCCCGGCGCCTACGCGTTTCTCACCACTTTTGTTCATGTTCCTTTGAACACTGTTTTTAAGTAAAGTAAAGTAAGACTTCATTTACACAGGGTAGCCCATTCAGATCTAAGGCTGGTCTCCATAGGGGTCCTGTATCTTAAAAATTTAATTTACAAATATGATAACCAAAATAATCAAATATGATAAAATAATGTAATCGGATGTGCATAAAGGTAGCTCAAAAAGAGATTTTCAGTAAAAGATCGAGGATCGAATGAAACACTAGGTATGATTGAAGCGGATTTCTAGATGTATCGGATGCGTATATTTGATTTCAGGTTGAGGGAAACACTTTTCAAACTGGCAAACGTAGTGTCCATGCCAGCGCCGTCCCATAGCTGACTGTGTCCCTTTAAAATCATTGTTTTTATTTGAAAGCTAGCACCCTAGGATTTTGTCCAAAGATGCAAAAGTTAACTTGGCAGGTTATAGATCTTGATCACCGTAACTCAGTCCAGCAAGGAGTGGTTAATAATAATAATAATAATAATAATAATAATAATAATAATAATAATAAAATTCTTCAGCCCAAGGTTTTCTTTTTACTCAAGTGCATCTTACTCTTGTACAAATTAGTGATAAATTAATTGCTCAGCTTTATCTTCATAGGATGGCATCCATTCGATTTCTTTTTGAGTTGCTTGCATTATCATTATGTTGCAGTCTGACTGGCTGGTTGTTCTTTGGATAATGTGTATTGCAATGATGAAAACTGTTCCTCAGTCAGTGTGCAATATATATGTTGTAGTTAATTTTTCATCTCAGGTAATTTTTGTTTTTCTTTTGTTTTTGGGTATGGTAATGTATGCTAATGAAGTTGAAACAAAGGAAAAATGAAAATTACCTGAGATAAAGAATTAACTACAACATATATTTTATAGTGACATGTGGCTTTAACTGTACCTTTGATTTATTGTGGATGAGTTTGTCGTGAGCGATGTTGTTCCAGCACAAAGGGAAACCCCCTTTAGACTGTGGTCTCCAGTTAAAGAAAAGATTGTTGTTTATTTTCAAGTGTAATTTATTTTGATACTTTTTTGTCTCTTAGGGATCTTGGTTTTATGTTGTTCCATTCTACAAGCTTAGGTCATCAGGAGATACGGTCAGTGATCCTTTAGTTAATCTAATATTATTAGTTGTGAGAGTCATTTATTTTGTAACAGAAGATTCATGACTGTAATATCATGTTAATATTAATTTGCACTGAAACTTTGTCACAAAATGTTTGGTCACATGAAAATACTTGTAGTGATGTATTACTTCTGAAATCTGCCATTTGCAACATTCGAAAAAGACTTGCTGTGGTTGTGAGATGATTATTATTGCTTTATCTTTCTAATATCAGTCACATTTCATTCCCAAAGGTTTATTTTGGTCCATTGCATCAGAGAAACCAATCTCCACCCAGTCTATCCCCACATCACAGGCATCACTATAATTCAGACACTTGAATTTAATTTCTTGTGTTTTCGTGTTAAGGATCCAAATTTGATTGTATTTTTGTTTTCATCGCATATTTTCAACTTGACTTTTTACAGGTTGTTATTGGTGACAAAGTTATCCTAAATCCAGTGAATGCAGGACAGCCTCTGCATGCGAGTAACCAAGAGCTTATCGACAACCCAGGCTGCAAAGAGGTTTGACACATTATTTTGCATGCTTGCACTCGGATTTTTTAGTTTCTTCAGATTATATTGATTCATTGCTTTAATTTGATTAATATTAGCTAAAATATGATTGGGAAGATCTCTATGGTTGTTGACAAGTTGGGCTAACTGTTAATGCCCGTACAGATCAGACAAGTACAATAAATATTATTGTACTTGTGAAATAGAACAATCAGATCTACATTAAAATGAATGAATACTTGATAGCTGAGCCAGAGATTGTATCAAAGTTGTCATTAATTCTAAGTTGTTTGATAATTTCATCAAACCATTTGATATGAATCAGGCATTACAGAGTATATGTATGTGTGTCTCAAATACTACCTAATGAGTTTGAATGGTCATAACTTTCAATTGATGAATAATGAATTTAATTAATTTTACAAGTATCAATGAATGCAATTTTTTCAAATTCTTTCACGATTTTCTTTGATGAAAAATAATGAACAAATGTTCAACTGTCAATGCTGGAGTTAATTCTATTTTTCTGTAATTTATTTAATTTTTCCTTGAAAGGTCAATGCTGTCAACTGTAACACCAGCTGGAAAATCTCTCTCTTCCTTGCATATGAGGACAACAGTGAAGAAGTCTTGAAAGGGGTGAGTGCTTCTGACAGTTAATTCATAAAAAAAAATTGCCATCCATGTAAGTGAATTTTTTTTATATATGTTGTACAAGAATTTCTCATACCCCCTGCTCCTTTCCTATACTGTCTGTTTCCTCCTATAGTCAGCTACTCTCTCTAAGACGGACACCTTTGGAGCAGGTAGCAACTGTCCCTTTAAGAGTGATGTCCATCTTTTGGAGAGTCAAATAAAGGGAGTAACTAAGGCAGGGACCAACCATAGGTGTCCAGTTTTACTAAGGTGTCTGTGTTATAGAGGTGTTCGTAAAGAGAGAGTCGACTGTAGTCACATCCAAATTACAGAAAAATATTTTTGGTTTAATAGGGAGAGTGAAATGGTAAATGCTTATCAAAAGGTAACTGGTTGTGGGAATTTTTTACCCTAATTCAGGGTGATGTTGTAAGGCTGTTTCATGCGGAGCAGGAGAAGTTTCTGACTTGCGATGACTACAAGAAAAAGTCGTATGTTTTCCTGAGAACAACTGCTCGACAGACCGCCACTTCTGCAACAAGCTCCAAGGCATTGTGGGAAGTAGAGGTAATGAAAACTGTCTAAGTCTTATTTTTACCTTTAACAGATGTTTTTTTTATTGGCATTTCTGCTTAAGTAAGGAATCCACAGTAAGAGAAGCCCAGGGCTCAAAATAATATTTGGATGTGGCTGGACACCATGACAGGCCAAAGAATTTTGTGTTTTGTCAAGTCTTATTTCTAAACGGTCAAAATATAGGGGAAAAAGTTAACTAAACCTCGTATCATTTTCCATTTGTAAACATGATTGTAAGGAAAAATCCAAGATTTGCAGATGTGAATTTGGCTGTTTGTTCAAGGGTGAGAGTGTATGCCACCCGTAAACATGATGGCCTGTGTGTGAATTGTTTGGCCAATCAAGTCACCATTCTGGCCAGATAATGTCCATTCAGTTCACTGGCTGTTGTTTTGAGCTCTGGGGGCCTATTTATTAAACAATGTTTTCAACAATTTTTTCTTATGGTCAGGTTGTCAGTGCCTTATCAAGACCTCTAAGTGAAGGGAAAGCTCATGGCCAACTTTTCTTGGTGTCTTGCGACTGTCGTGTCTTGCAATTTACCTTGTTTGATGTGTATATCTCACTGATTTTCATCTGGGTGGTATTTGCCTTCTTCCTAAATTAATAACAGCATGAAGCAGTATTATTTTTCAACAAGAAATGTTGATCTTTTGGTAGGTTGTTCAACATGATCCTTGTCGTGGTGGAGCTGGACACTGGAATGGCTTATTTAGATTCAAACATCTTGCCACAGGAGATTACTTGGCAGCAGAGGTGACGTCAAGTTCAAGTTATTTACTGTCACTATAGTAGATCTTTACCCTTTAATGATGGAATGTTGTTAATCACTACTCATAATTCATCAGGACTGAGATACCTATATCCATGGAGATTTCATTGGAAGTTGGGCATCATTGTTGTTGAAAAGTGTGGTCAAGATTTTCAATTCCAAAGAGTCCCTAAAATCACACTTAAAGAAAAGTCCTAACTCCACTTTCTAAAGTAATTTAAAAGCCAATACTACTAGCCTGCGAGCAAGCTCTCCCGGGCACTCTGGCAGCGAGGCGGGAGAAGGAAGGAGCTGTCAGATTTCTGCCAATCAGCGCAAAGTGGAAACCAGCACGAATTTAAACAAACATTGAAAAACACGTGTAGAGGGTAATGCATTAAGCATTTCGCATCGACTTTTTCCATGAAGATATTGAAATTCCAGAGACATAGTTGCAAGCTCTCCTTCCTTTTCCTGCCCGGCCACCAAAGCGCCCCAGAAAGCTTGCTCACAGACTACAATAGTACTTATACATTCCATATTTCTTGATTTGATTATCTTCAAATTTCCAGCAGTGAGTTCATGAGAATTATTTAAGGATATAATCACCCAGAATAAGTTCTCATGATATTTTGGCAATTAATTTCCCCCCAATATTTCTATTCTCTGGGCCAGGAAGGGAGAATTTGTATTTTTATATTAGGGGTTAAAGGATTGAACAGATTTGAAATATCCAAAACATTGCTTGCCAGTGTTACTTGACTTTGTTACCTGCTTATTATTATTACAAGCACACACAGTAAAGTCAATTTATCTGAATTTAATGTTGATCTCTGCAGGCTGATGATGACCCCACCAAAGACACAACCAGACAGAAACTCAAAGGGAATGGTGCTGTGTATCATCTTGTGTCTGTTCCTCATGGGAATGACGTGGCCTCCATCTTTGAGCTTGATCCTACCACACTGACAAGACCAGACTCTGTAGTACCAAGGTAATCAATTATTAATATTAATATTATTATTACTATTATTATCATCATCATCATCATCATCATCATCATCATCATCATCATCATCATCATCATCATCATCGTTGTTATTATTATTATCATTATTGTTGTTTTTGTTGTTTATTTTGTATAAAAATAAATTCAGGGGGTATAACTTTAAGTGTTTATTATGGTACACAATCCAGGGCTGCAAATAATTTCCAGGATGGCTCTGGTCAAGTTGTCTGTGACCAGACAAAGGTCAGTTACGTTATACAGTATCTCTACTGTTTTAAGATCTGAAGTTCGGAATTACATTTCCATGAGAAGAGTAAATGACCAGACCAAATATCTGCTCATCCATGAATTTGAAAGATAAAGCCTGTTTTTACTGGACGTTGACTGGCTGTTGTTTCAAGCCCTGCAATCATCAATTTTCTAGGCTTATAAGAACATGGCATGCCATCTAGCAATATTTCAGATTTGGGCAGCATTGCAAAATGGATGTCTGCATGCTTGAAACTTGTATGAAATCTCCCTCCCTAATGTTGGTTTTTACTCATCCCCATCATTTTCTGTGTCATTTCAGATCCTCCTATGTTCGCCTCAGACATCTTTGTACAAATACGTGGGTTCATTCCACTTCAATTCCTATTGACAAGACTGAAGAACGACCTGTCATGCTAAAGGTATGTACAGTATCCTGATGGGTTAGTTCTTCCCTTGATGGAATATCATTTTGAAGCTGAAGACTGCCATAGATACTGTAAATCCTCACTTAAGCCCCCCCTGTAATACCGCCCCCTTTTTACAGGGGAAGACAGTTATTAAGCCCCCCTCTCTGGTAACCCCAGCCCCCCTTTTCAGGGGAAGACAGTTATTAAGCCCCCCCTCTCTTTTAAACCCCCTTCTCTTCCCCTTTTAATATTCTTGACTTAATGTATGCCTGAGGTTTGTTTGGCCTCAAGTTTGTAAGGCAGGTGACTATTTTGAGCTACCGACACAAAATAAGGACTCGTTACCTTTCCCTTTTTTTATCTATAAAGACAACCTCTTTCAAGCCCTCCTTTGCTATCAATATGTTTTCAGATTGGTACAGCGAGTATCAAAGAAGACAAAGAAGCCTTTGCTATTGTGCCTGTTCCTCCAGCAGAAGTCAGAGATTTGGATTTTGCTAATGATGCCAGTAAAGTATTGGCTTCCTTTGCCAACAAGATGGAAACTGGAAGCTACACTCAGCATGAAAGACGGTACGAAAATTTTGTTGCTCCAGCGAGTATCTGTACTTTTTTTTCCCCACCCTTACTAGCTGGAAACTGGGTTAAATTCCAATTAAATGAACCACTTTCCCACACTCTTGGTATTTTCTTTTTCATTTCTCCTGCTGGGTATGGACAGTTCCTAGAAACCTGTCTACCCCATTCTTTTAACACAGATATTCTTCATTCTTCTCGTAAGTGGTTTCATTTTTTATCTTTTGTATTGAATGGTTGGCAAATCTGAGACTTAAACACAGTTAGGCTCAATTTCCGAAGCTGTCTTATGTGCAGTCTTCGTCGGAAAGGAGGGATGCAGGTTTACTTCCCGATTCGCAGCTGGTAATGTAACCTTAAAGAAGGTGCCATTTCTGGCCTCAGTAGTACTACAGTGTACTGCTATAGGTTTAATAGCTTTGAGAAATTAATAGTAAAAATTTTAAGATTGGTGAAGTTCCATATTTCTTTGATCTGCTTTATTCCATCAGGGTTCAAAGCCTAGTACGTCATTAACTGCCGCTAATCGAGGGTAACGTTAATTTGTGTTTCAGGTTTGCAACACAGCTGTTGACAGACCTCGTCTACTTTGTGACCGAGCATGACACAGGGCGTGAAGATGTCCTGAATATTTCTGTACAAAATCCCAACAGAGATCGGCAAAAACTGATGAGGGAACAGTATATTTTGAAAGAGGTTACTTTTTTATTCACTCCATTTTCATATACTCTAATCGCAAATGCATTTTTTAACAAACTTTCGGACAAAATTTTATCACTTAAATAACTTATCCACAGATAAGTCCGTGCTCGTTCTGGTCCTCAAATCTAAAGCTGTCTAATGTGTCTCATCTTCTTCACCCTTCTTACGCGTCCAGGTATTCCATCTTTTGAAAGCACCTTTCACTGATAAGGGATCAGGTCCTATAATGAGGATAGAGGAGCTGTCAGACCCCAGACACGCCCCACTTAGACACATCTTCAGATTATGTTACAGAGTCTTACGGCACTCACAGCAGACGTATCGGAAAAACCAGGTAAAATCCAGAACTGTTTAGTGTAGAATACCAGGGGCGTAGCGAGCCCATAGACTTTTATACCCGGGCTTACAAATTTTTGGTTTGGTCACACTACTGCTTGTAATGAATAATGCGTTGTTGGGGGGAGCTAAAAAGCTTAAGAGCTCAAAGTCATGCGTGCAATTTTCAGGATATGTGGAAATGAAAGTCAGCCAGGCCTACAACTACTCGGAATACCTTTTGACTATGCCATCCAATAACCTCCAAACTACGGGGTTAAAAACCCAGTTCCATTTTGCGTCTTGCCTTGTCTTCAATCGCAATTCAAACATCGCATCCTCAACGGAGAGAAACTGGATTAATGATATTTCTGTTTCGTGACCATTATTTATTGAACGTTTCATGTGTAGGATGCTATGAAAATTCCTCCAGTGAAAAGTAAACTGTTTGTTTATATTTGGACCTAAGCAAATAGCGTCTCATTGAAAAGCTAACGATACTAAGAGTTACTTTTACCAAAAAGAATTTCAAGTTTGTGTCACACATATATCCCCGGTGAGATGCATCGCGTTTGTTGTGCCGAAGTGCTCATTTATACTCGCCTCCCACGTATACCTTCTTAGCATTCTTCTTGGAAGGTTAGAGTCAAATACGGATAACCAAGGTTCTCTCCTAACATGATCAAATATTTTGAGTTCTCGGTTAATGCACGTTCCTGCCTTCAACTTGTTAACAATGATTTGTTTTTACAGGAGTACATTGCAAAACAGTTTGGCTTCATGCAGGCTCAAATAGGCTACGACATTCTCGCTGAAGATACCATCACTGATCTGGTTCATAATAACAGAAAGTTGTTAGAGAAACACATCACTCGCACAGAGATTGAGACATTTGTAAATTTAGTTCGCAAAAAGAAGGAATGCAGGTAAGAGCAATAGTTCTTTTTCATGATTTGTAAACGTCTTCTCTTCTACATTTTTGGTGTAGACAGTACCTTATTGGCACTTTTGGCGAGAAAGTATTTTGCGGGGTTTTATTTTCGTGATTTTAACAAGTAAACATGGAAAAAGGGCACTAAATTTCGCGATTAAAGTGTTCCCACCTTCATTTTCTTTTTTAAAAAAATCTGAATTTTTAAGAAAATGAGATAAACTGAAACAAGCAATGTGTGAAATCTTTGCAAACTCACGTTATTTCACAACGGAAGATACAAAATGGAGCTTACCAGACTACCAGTAAAACTAGAAAGTAATTTGTGTTTGTCGATACATATCGTCTCTATTACTTGTCAATTGTTATTTGCATTTTCTATATGGGTATTAAATTTCGCGAGGATCTATTTTCGCGGGTCTTACCAGTACCAGTAAGGTAAGAATAGGCTCTAGTTTAGTCTCTCCTAGTTCAGAAATCGAACTTGTCGGCTGGTTTGTACGCGCGACACAAACCCACGAGAAGGAACCTGGAACGAGTTAACTTTTGCAAAGACGTCTGGGACTGTTTCCAGGGACTGGGAAAAAATTGGCGAATAGCAGACTGGCGTTCTCAGTAACGATCCCAGGAACACTCGCGGGATACATTTCGGTTCCAGTTCCCTTCTCGCTTCTAAAGAGGAAAATTGGTATACTAGAGCTCTACAGTTATGAAGCACGAATTGATATTCTTATTGCATTTTGCTCTTAGGTTTCTTGACTACCTGTCTGATTTGTGTGTGTCCAATAACACAGCCATCCCTGCTACACAGGAGCTGATATGTAAGACAGTGTTGTACTCCAGCAATTCAGACTTGCTAATCGAGACCAGGTTTGTTGAAAACTTACGAACAGTGACGTTTGCTGCCCTCTAATCATATAACTCTACCTTTTAAAGGTAAGAACATTACAGGGCAAAGCCCAGCTTTGAATGGGACATTCTCACGAGAATGGTTTTCATCTAAGTGTGACCAACATCAAGTTTCTCCTTACAATAATATCAATTCATAATCAGGAGGAAGGGTTATGAGAATCAATAAAAATGATCACCACAACTGGCTGCTTTTTCGTTTGCGGAACTCAGTATGCATTCACTTAGCAATTCAGCTATGTTGTACTTTTCTAAGTTGCACTGTCTTCTGGTTACAACATAAGGTGTTTTTAAGTCATGACGTATACTTACGGTTGGCCTTTTTCTGTTGCAGAATAATTGAAGGAGAAGTATTCCTAGCCTGGGATGGCGGAGAGAAGTTAAAGGCGCAGAAAGATCTGGCCAAGGGAGCTAAACTTGGTGTCAAGGATGACATCAAGATTCTGGACTATTACAGGTAGATTTCTTTTGTGACAACATGACCGTGACATAGCTCTTATCGAAATTTTATTGGAATCAGTAGATGAGTCAGATTTTGTTCCCGGTAGAGATACTAGAGAGCTTTAGATTCTAAGACAAGGACGACTGCGAGAACGGAATTTTTCCAATACTAAGTAGTGCGCGCGCGAACCAACGTCATTTTGGCGGGGAAACGTGATAGCCGTCGTCATTAGGGACCAGGGCGGATAAACGGTACGAGTTTGATGCAGTGAACTGGGACTCTGCTTAGAAATGCCGTTGTTTTCGACTTCGGTCAGGGCTTGCGATGTGGAAAACTGCCGCTGTCACTGAATTTACTTCTTCCTCGTTCCTATGTGCTGGTACGCTGTCAAATTTTTGATTTAATTGGAGTAGACAAACATCTCTTTCAAAGGGTTTCTCTTATTACTTCCATGACTCTACCACTGAATTAATTTTCGTTTTATCAGTGCTGTCTAAAACACGAAGGAAAATCTCATCCATGTCATCCATGGCAAAACTAAAAGACAACAGATCGTGGTTTTTGACGTGTATTTTAGAAATGCCTAATTTCAATCACCATCATCCTTCTTTTTAATTTTGAAAAACAAACGTCTTTCTGTTCCTTCGGAACTTCAAAATTAGTTTCCCCTCTGTTTTTACGGTTTACTTTGTTTTGGTAGAGACAAAACCTTACAACTAACCTCAATAAAAAAGTTGCCGAACGAATTGAGAATCGCCATGGCGCGTTGCACCCGAGAAGCAAAGTTTGGGTGTCAAAATATATTTTAATTTTTTGTTATGTTGTATAAAATTTGTCCCCCTTTAACATATGTAAAAATGGGTTAAGAAAAGCTTTTGCAAACGAAACGGCGAAAACGATTAAATTTATCGTATTCGAACTTTCAAATTAAACTCCTCTATTTTCTGATCAACAAGTTTGACTTATAGGCATACAGACACAAACATATGAAACTGTTTATTGATACTGTTATGAAAGAATTAATCTATTTAACATTGTAGCCTGAAATTACAGAAAGAAAATAGGATTTCGGTTTAGAAAATTTCGTCGACTTAGCACCGGAACGGGACTCGTGGTCCGCATCACACATTAAATGAAGAAGCGCTCGTTTCACGATTTATCCGCCCTGTTAAACGTCCGAATGGAAACGTTGAAAAACAGACTTCGCATCGTTGCCCTGTGACTTAAAAGAAAGATTTTGTTCTGAAGAGAACGTTCAAGTTCGGACAGAGATGGTAGAATTTATCGCCTTACCGTTCCCGTTCCCAAGTAAACTTAAAATTTGGTCATTTCACGTCGTAGTTGTGCACTGAAGGCAAAGAAATGTACAAAAAAAGCGTGATGCACATGCAGAGTTAATTGTTGTTTTGCTCATTAAGCCAATTGTTCTTTTGACGGTCCCGTTGTCGTCGTCGTCGTGGTTTTGTAAGGTCTCAGGGACCTTACGTGGTTGACATTTTCATCCATAAGAATTATTTGGGACAGTTTCTATTCACGCATTTTCAAATTTCAGAATTTTTCCCCTTGAATCTCACTTTTCTGCGCGCCGTAAATGTGATTCTTCATAGTTCTAGATTACATACCACAGAGACCCTGACTGTCTAAGCATGGAATAATTACAGTGGTATTTTGGTGTCCGTTTCAGATACCAGCTTAACCTGTTTTCACGGATGTGCCTAGATAGACAGTACCTTGCTATCAACAGCATCAGCAAACAGCTTGACGTTGATCTTATACTCAGGTTTGTACAACTAACAAGTAGTATTTACGTAAAAAAGGTTTGTTTACAGTGAGTGTGCAGTCATCTTCATTAAATTAGCGAGGTCCTGTTGGCTTGTTAGCTCAATTGGTAGAGCGCTGCACCAGTGTCGCAGAGGTCAAGGTTTTGAATCCCGTACAGTGTAGTGGTACATTAGCTCGTCTTGTAGTTACTGTATCTACTCGAAAGAGCGCCTGGAAAACGCGCAATGCGAAGTGTAGAAAACGAAGAGTACGTAGTGTGGAAAATGAGGAGTGCGGAGTATGAAAGATTCGGAGTGTGGAAGACGTGTGAAAAATGCCGAGTGTGAAGTGTGCAGCAGTTTACATTCACATAATTATGTGTTATTCTTGGCTTATGCAGGTGTATGGCCGACAAGGAGTTGTCATGTGACCTGCGAGCGGCATTCTGTCGTCTGATGCTTCACATGCATATTGATCGTGATCCACAAGAACCAGTAACTCCTGTTAAGTACGCCAGACTATGGTCAGAGATACCCACAGAGATGAGTATTGAAATGTAGGTATATAGCAACTCAGACCTGAAACCTGTTCTTCAGCTATTTCGCGCGTAGGAGTCTAGAAGAGTGTTTAATACCTTATGTGGTCACTCAACTAACCAGACACTTAAAAAAAGTTCAAACATTTTTTAATCGGACCCCTATTGAAGAGTTTATATGTTTTTTAAGTGTTAAGAGCACTCCCATATTTTCAATTCCCCGCGTAGTGTTTTTTATGCTTTGGTAACGGAAAGCTTAAAAACATTGCCTGTGTTTAGAGGTATATTTTCCCGGACTTTTTCTTACTGCCTTCAGCTACTTGTCCGTTGTAATGCGCCGTTTTAGACGCCGTCGCTTATGTAATTCCTTTCTCTCTGACATTTCTAGCATAAACTGTGACTTTCAAATAAAAGTTGAGTTTACCAACGTACCTTGAAACTTCACAAATAGGACGACAACTTGTAATTTTACTTGAAACTACGGATGTTTAATCCTGCAGTTGCCTGTTAACTGTTCACAGGTACGATCAACACTTGTCAGTCGGAGAGGAAAGAGAAGAGATCAGAACAAGATTTTCAGGAGTGATCTCATTTGTGGAGAACTACTTGCAAAACATCAGCAGCAACATTTGGTCTTTCAGTGATAAAGAACAGAATAAGCTCACTTTTGAGGTAACGCACGATACTTTGGTTCCTGTAGTTTACTTTGAAGGGAGTACATTCTAACGTTTGCCTTAATGTTTGTTTTTAGGTTGTACAGATCGCCAGAAATCTCATCTACTTTGGTTTTTATGGCTTCAGTGAACTTTTACGGCTGACACAAACGGTGTTGTCAATAGTTGACTGCGAGCAACGAGCTCACGGAGGAGTAAGGACGACTGGAAAACAAAGTGAGACGACACACATTCATCCGTTTTGTCATTTCAGTATTTCCTTTTCCTGTTTCTTCTCGTATGGCTAAAACTGACTTTCTTAGTTATCAGAATTTCATTATAGGACTACGCGATTGCTAATGCCTGGTCCACTAAACAGCAGGCCGTGAGCGTGACCACAAAAAGTGGAGCTAAAAATTAACTAGTAATATTATGCTTTCTTTACATAGCTCTCCTTGTCAGGCGGTATTGTTGTCCCTTCGTCTTTTCGTGTATAAGATAGACTGCGCTCCGTAAAGCGGTAAATCGTAGCCAAGAACAATATTCTCTTAATTGCTATTAGTATAAGGTCATGGAGGTATCGTTCTTTTGGTTATACAGTATGTTAGCATCCCGTGTGAAGAACCCTTCGCTCATTCATTACAAGGGGGCTTGCGTACAATCTGCCCTGGTCCTAAAAGTTTCGAGCCCTTTTCTTAAGCATAGTAAATTAATTTTTTACTTGATCGATGTGATGTAGAAGAGGGTTAGATATCGTTAGACGTTGATTTGATCAATCATACTTTCAGTTGTAAATGGAGGAGAGAAGATCAATGTGATGAGAAGTATTCACAATCTCGGTGCGATCATGACACGCATGGCATTAGGGGGAAGTCAGGATCCCTGGGGGCTCTCACAGCAACCTGAGGGAAGTCCCAAGCAGGAGACGGAAGTTGACCACGTTGTCATGGAAACAAAGGCGAAGATCATAGAAATCCTGGAATTCATTATGAACGTGAGACTTGATTATCGCATTTCCAGTCTCCTGACGATCTTCAAGAGGGATTTTGACGAGAGCAACGCTGGAATGGAAATGAATGGGGAACATGGTATTGCTACTATTTTGTTTATACTAATAAGCTCCTGGTACAAAAGATACATGGCCACAAGGGGAAATTGGCTGGATTCGCGTCGGGGACGCAAAGTTTTCTTGGCCAGTGCTTTTTCTTATTTCATGAGCAAGCAAAGTAATTTCCATCTTACCCTATTTGTCTAGATCCCAGGCTCTGCTGGTATTGCTCATCTTAGCCTGGTCCATAGCCTATGTCACTTATGAATTAAAGTAGCCCTGTTACCAAGATATTCGTGCTGTTTTAGGTCAATTCTGTGCTTAAGTCGTTACTAAAAACCTTTACCCATATACAAAATGCTCCTGTAAAGTAACGAAGGTGTCAAAAAAATTTCGTCAAGGTGCTAGACGACAGGAAACACGGTTTTAATGCCTCAATGTGGTAGTAAATAGCAAAAATTTACCGTTATTTTTGGAACTTAAGTCATGATTGACACAACTTTTAGCATTTTAAAAAGACAGCAAATACCGTAAAAATACCATAATACAGCCCCTTTACCCTTGAAAATATTATTTCATTTTCGTCAGTGTTCCTTACTCACCCCTTGCTTGACAACCTAAATGAGAGGGTTGTAAATGGGCATAAAATTAATACTAACAATTTAAAAGAAAAAAAAAACTTCTCTTCTTTCCGGTTTATCTTATTTCTTGTTTAAATTATCATAGAGATTGTCTAATTTGTACATTTTATTTCAGGAACTAAACTGAAACAGCGCTGTAAAATTGATAAAGATGGCGTTCCCTATTATCTGGGTTCTCCTAACTGTACGTGCTAAACTTCAACTCTTTCTTGTGTTCATTAAATCCTGATAAATGTTTAAAGTCTTAATTTCTCTTTGTAAAGTACCTCTCCAGCAACCTAAACACATTGAAATTGTGGCGGATAGTGATATCTAAATAAATGTTAAGTGCCTTAAATAATACTTAAATTTATGGAATTATAAATTAAAAGCAAAACAAAGGCCTCCTAAATTTATAAAGTTAGTAAAAAAAATTGAGTTTTTTTGTAAAAGCTGTCGTAGTTTTGCCTATGCTGTAGTTAAACCAGTATTGAGCCCAGTTTAATTCAGAATGTCTTTTTTTTCGTGGCTCTAATCGTTCACAGGAGACAAATGAAATTCTGGTTTAACCCGAGAAGGGACTTTACCTTCAACATCTATACACTTAAAATCATTTTAAAGAATCGTTTAAGTAACTAAGAGAAACAGCTATTATTTTTCCTTACATAACTTACTGTACCCTGGGTACCAGAGGTGTTTTCTCGCTTGCGACGGGGAGCTTCCTTCCGTCGGCCGCAGGCCGACACGTGTTCGGCCGAAGGCCGAAGACACGAGCGACGAAGCCGAAGACTTGACCGAAACCGGAACTCGCGCATGAAAAGCCTCTGGCACCCAGGGTAAACTTACTGATTCTTACTTTACTGTATAGGGATCGACTTGGAAAACATAAGTGCTCAAGCAGAGGCAATTTTCGGAGGTTCCATGTAAGACCTTCCTTTTGTTCTTTTTTCCCTTACCTAAAATCCAATCCACAGTTTCGACATTAGTCCTGAACAACAGTTTCTCTAGGACAAATTTCCCCGGGCTCCACAAAATTAGGGGTGGAAATGTGTTCGTGTATTGGCTAGTGGTGAAGCGATAAAGTACGACGTAGCTCAATTAATAATGTTCCTTCGTAGGAGGTAAGTGGGTTCGATTTATGGTTACACTTTTGCGATTCCAAGCCTTAAAAGTTATATTATGTAACAGCGTTTTGAGGAAAAGTATCGCTGGACAGGTTTAAACTTTAAAGACATAACATGTAACGTAACATAACTTAACATCTGCCTCGCACCCAGACGTCTCCCTGTAGATGAAAATGGGCGCACAAAGGAAGGCGGGAAGGAGACCACGGACTTCGCCTGCCGTCTGTACCCTTCTCATGGTCCCTTGCGGCTCATCACCAGTCGTTCGCATCTACCTTGCGAAAAACGAAGCGCCTGAGGAGGAGGCTGACTTAGCGTTATACTCCTTTCAAAATTTTCATGTTTACTCGGGTTCCATTTTCTTCTAGGGGCCTTGAGGAGATAGATCTTGATCTTGATGGTCAGGGAGGGCGTACGTTTCTGCGTGTGCTGCTTTACTTGTGCATGCACGATTATCCCCCGCTTGTCACTGGCGCACTACAGCTCCTTTTTAGACACTTTAGTCAGAGACAAGAGGTGCTACAAGCCTTTAAACAGGTTAGTGAGTATATGAATACAACAACTAGAAAAGCATGGGCTCAAAACATGCGCTACAGGATTGAGACAGCTAGTTGATGCTCGTGATCATCCAGTGCCATTACAACGTGATGAATAAGTTAGCAAAACATAAAAAGGATTCCACAAAAATTCGAGAAGAAAGAAAAATGGATCCGAGAAGTAAGAAAAACTACGGCAATATATGAAAAGCCCTGAAATCTAAAGAAGTGCCCCGCAGAACACGTGCTTCACAGAGTAAGGTCGCTGGCCGCATTGGCTAAAGTTTCACCTTGCCTGAAATAAATTTAACCATATTAATAGCTGTTTAGTGAAGTAAACTTTGATAAAAAGGTTTCCAGAACTTCGAAATCACAGATGAACTTGTTACACAATTGATGAGGGACATAAGCACGTCAGTAAAAAGCTGTAAAACTTGACGGACAGGCTGTTTTGTAGAACTTGACTAGCAGTTAGTAGAACTCGATGAACAAGTAAGTAAAACTTGGTACACAGTGTTACTTGACAAAAAGGTCAGGAAAAACTTGATTAACAGGTCAAATTACCGCCTTTCCTGGTTCACGATAACGGCGCTATTAAACGTTAAAGTGCTACTGGGACGAAAATGTTTATTTTTATTTAAAACCTTTTTTTTTCAACAGGCCCAAAATTGTTCGCCGGACTAGACATCTTTCGCTGAAAACTGCGCAAAAACTGCGTACCATCAGTCAGTTCACAAAACGAAAGCCCGCGATAATTTATTCAAGCGGCTTCACCTTTTAGCACGTGATTTCCTGTTTGTGACGTAGATGCCTCAACCATTTTCTCTTCTCCTGATAGGTTCAGCTACTAGTATCCAATAGTGACGTGGAAAACTATAAACAGATCAAATCAGACTTGGATGAACTACGGCTTCTGGTGGAAAAATCTGAGCTGTGGGTTTACAAGAGCAAGAAGGACCTTCCTTCTGAGAGAGGGGTTAAAAAGATAACTCCCGGTCTAGTAGGACTACGAAAGGATGGAGGGAGCAGCAAGGAACCTGAATCTACGCCCCGGAAAGACAGCTTGGAACAGGAAAGCGTTACCGGGAATGCTTCCCAGGATCCGCACAGCAGCGACAGTGAAGGCGGACCAAGCACTAAGGTCAGTTATGAGTCCTGGGCCATGTTCACGCTGTACCGGATAGCTCTTTCGCCGGCATTGAAACCATCCCGGATATAGGGCTTCTGTTTACAAATAAGAACGGCGATATCAGCGCGATTTCTGAAACGCTGCGACGCTGCGTCAGTTGACGACGGCGCGCGCAAATCAAACATCTGGCTTGACCGATGGCGGAACGGCAAATTGGGCACCGGAAGTCGAGTTTTAGTCCTTTTTGCGCGCTTTCCTGTTGTCAAATTACGTTCCCGTTCTGTTGCTAAATAAGTAAGCACTGGAATGTAGTGCGGCACCAAACCCTCTCCTGCCACATGCTGTTATATCTATATGTTAGTGGATTATAATTTGGTTTTCCACGCAGTCTCCACCATCATCACACCGCCATTATCACCTATTTATTTATGTGGTATATTACTATAATATGCATTCTAGTTTGCCGTGTTGCTTTGTACATGTTATCTTGTTTATGCCTGCCTCAACAATCTATACAAAAATCTAATAAGTGTCTCAATTATCTTCCCTTTGTTTGATTTTGATTTTTTAGCCTGAACGCCAGAGGATTGTCAGCGATGGCTCATTAGAATTAGATTTTGAACACTCGGACACGATGTCACTGAAAAATTACAAGAAAACAGAAGCGGTAGGAAGTATGAACGGAGATGGTTACCGGTCATTTCGCCCCCAAGTCATCCCTTTCCCGGTTACTAAGCCCCCCTTTCGAGTCATTTAGTGCGTTTCAAATATAATATTCCTCGTTCTATAGGCCATAAAGCAAAACAAGCGCACTTCAAGTATAATATCCCTCGTTCTATAGGGTATAAAGCAAAACAAGCGCGCTTTTGCCTTCAAATGTAATATTCCTCGTTCTTTAAGCCATAAACCAAAACAAGCAAGCTTCAACTTTGATATTACATTCTCGTTCTAAAATAGGGGGCTACGTAACTTGGGCGAAATGGCCGTAAAGCACGGAGATGTGGTTTTAACTGTCACCTCTCTCTGCCAAAGATTAGCGAAGCAAAAGACAGAAATACGTCTTGAGTTCTCAGGTTAATTAAACACTTTTGATTTTCAAGCCAAAGAGTGGTAAAGAATAACAGAAGGATGGTAAATGTTAAGCTCGGTGAATTAATGTCATGACATATATTAGTTATGTCACGAGGATTCGATCCGAGGGAATCCTAGCGGAGTGGCGTTTTTGCGTGATAACCAGAGAGGTGCGGGGAAACTCTAAAGGCCATATACTGGGCTTTATCAACTCTTCTGAGATTCCCCTGACTACAGTTTAACAGTATCTAGGTGAAACCTGGTCTATTTGTGTGATACTTTCTGAGGCTTTATCTCCACTTTACCCATATCGCTGCTTCTTTGTCAACAGATCCTTGAGAGACTGAGCAGTCTTTGCGTATCTCATGCACCAAGCGGCAAAAAGAATCGTAAACACGAGCAAAGATTATTGAGAAATATGGGTGCTCACACGGTGGTGCTGGAACTGCTACAGATACCCTACGAAAAGGTAGTATTTTTCAAATATGCTCCATTTCGTCTTAATTGACTAAAAATTGACTCTTCCTATCCTACAATCGGCGACAAAATTGTTGGGATATTTTTTCCCAGATGAGGTACTTTGAAGAACAAAACAATCTGCACCCTCCCCTCTCTCCTTCATTCTACGTTCGGGGTGTTCGTTGTTTCTTACAGGTAGTTCGTATAACGGCACAAGGTTGCATAAAGGGGGTGGGGAAGGGAAAGCTTCTTATCCCCTTTTGAAGTTGATCAAACGTCACAAAGGCCCTTAAAGGCAAAGTATCTCAACTAATTTTGTTGCCGATTGTAGCTATTCTTTGAAGCTTCTTTGTAGTGTCTGGGAAATTTCTTAATTTGTCAGCTGTGGCTGATTTTCGTCTAGTAAGAAAAAAGAATATGTGTAAGTCCAAGAGTGACAAACATCAATTTTCTCAAAGCAATCTCTATTCCACGGTCAAGATAAAAGGTTGTGAGAGTTAATAAAATGATCACCAAAGATAAATTGCTTTGATCTTTTATCAAATGCTCTACTTATTCTTTATGGTAATGTATAGAGACCAGTTTGGAGAATTTGTCTGTGGATATTGGGGCTTAAAGGCTAAAGCACCTTATTTGCCCCTCTATCTTTCTTTAGAACGAGGATCTGAGGATGGAGCAGATTATGTCCCAGGCTCACGAGTTCCTACGGAACTTCTGTCTTAGCAATCCACAAAACCAAGCCTTACTCCACAAGCATCTGGACTTGTTTCTAACCCCAGGGGTAAGTTCGTTAATCTCTTGTTTCCTAACGGATGGGTTTATAGGACAGAGCCCCTGTTGTTTACCCTATGGGTAAGGTTTAATTCTATGGAGCTGATTTCGACCCAGTTTTCTACGCGTGCGCGCAATAGCCAATGACAGAAGCGATAGCCTCTCCAAACAGCCCCATAATGCAATTTGACATACATAGCACCTGACTAGTTGTAAGCGCAGCCTAAATTAGCCAATAGGGAGCTTACGCAACAACGACGGCAACGCTGAACGGCTGTGAAAATGTCACTTTTAAAAAAAGTGAATTCGCGCTGCTTCAAACTTTACGGTGCTTATCCCATCTCGTTCAATTCGTCAAACGCTGGCAAACTTTTCCAGAGCTGAATTCTAAAAGACTGTATCGAAGATCGGAAAAAGAAAAACGAAGTCGTTGCCTTGTTTTCAAGTTCTCCAGAAAATGTAAAATTAGGCATTTCCACGTCGTAGTCGTGAACTGACGGCAAAGAAGTGTACAAAGAAGCGTGAAAAGCACGTGCAAAGTTGTTGTTTTGCTTATCTAATTCTGTTGCTCTTTTGCCGTTCTCGCTGCCATCCCCGTCGTCGTTGCTTAAATTTCCTAAGAGGCATGGGAAAGAGGAGAGTTGAAATTTGTGAAATCTGCAAACCTCTCTTGCTCCAAACAACTTGTCTTCTTTTTTTTTCCTCTCACATTTTATGTAATTTTGTTCTTTATCCCAGCTGAAGGAAGCACACACATTAAGATACGTTTTCATGGAGAACTCAGTTCTATGCTACGATGTCACGGAGAAAGTTGTTCAACACATTGTGCACTGCATAGAGACGCAAGGTCGCCATGTTGAATATCTGAAAGTTTTACAAACTTTGGTGAAGGCTGAAGGACAGTCCATTAGAAAAACACAGGACATGGTGATGGCTGAGGTACGTTACAACTTCCGTGATCACGAATTTCGTTTTGAAAAATGGTTAAAAGAAAGGTGGCGATGAGAAGGTACTAATGAATGATTGTTAATCTGGTCTTTTCGAGAAGACTCAATTACACCACACTGCTAGAACTTTTTACTTTACTTTATTCTTTTCATTGGTTTCATCATTGCCACAAAACTTAACCCTGTTAACTTTAACGAACACAGGCAATTTTTCAAACTGAAATATTGTAATTCAGGCGACGATGACGAGAGCCGATACGACACCGAATGTGTAAACTTATAACCTCGCTAATGTTAGCTAAATAAATACCGAAATAAATAAATAATGATTTAAAGGCAGCAGATCCACTTATCTAACTGATTCCTGGTCGAATTGGAATTTGGAAATGTTGATTTTTAAGGAGGGGGAAATCGGAGTACACGACGAAAAACCTCTTGGGGCAGATGAGAGAACCAACAACAAACTCAACCAAAATATGGCGTCAACGTCTGGATTTGATCTGGGGCGACATTGGTAGGAGGCGAGCGATCTCACCACTACACCACCCCTCCGCCACCCGTTATCTCCGCGCGTGCAGTGCAGTCAAACAGTTCTCCTACAGTACAGATAAGATGATGGGCGGAAGATCAAGCTTGATCTTGACACTTCCTTTGTACAAACAAATTTCAGTAAAAAGAATATCAGAATTGTACCTCACCGAGTTTAACTTCTTCTTTTTTGTTCTCTTCATAGTTAGTAAATGTGGGCGAAGAAGTTCTGGTATTTTACAGTGACCCACAGTCTTTTAACTCGCTTGTGGAAATGATGCAGTCTGAAAGAGAGAGACAGGACCAATCAGGACCTCTCTTGTATCATATCAACTTAGTAGAACTGCTGGCCTGTTGTACCGAGGGCAAAAATGTGTACACGGAAATCAAGTGCCACAGTCTACTTCCGTTGGACGACATTGTGCGAGTTGTTACACATCCTGATTGTATTTCTGAGGTAAGAGAAATTTTCGGGTGAATAGCTCAGGGAGACTGAAAACATAGTCAATCAAATGTAACGGAAAAATGTCTTTGAGCCAGTTGATATTGTTGAACCGATACTTGGTATCAGCACTCAGAGTAACTGTCCGAACAAAAAAGAGGAAGTGGGTTATACCCTTAACTAGGCTCTTTTAGGATCTATGATACAAACGACCTAACTGCAAGATCTTCTAACTGATTTTGGTATTACATGCATAACAGAGGAGAATGGTCTATTAATATTTTCGCGTAATTTATGTTTGACCGGGAACGATTAGTTTGCCTTATGAACAACGTGTTTAAATATGGCTCATAAAACAATGGTCACTCTGCAAGGCGGGGTATGTTAAAGATAAAAGACATATTCGTTGTAGTTAATTGCATTATTATCTTGCTCTCAAGCTCCCAGAAGGCACTTTTATTCCTTCCTCGTTTTACCCTGGAAACTAAGTTATTTTTGTAATCTCTGCCCAGGTGAAAAATTCTTACGTCAACTTTCTGAATCATTGTTATGTTGACACTGAGGTGGAAATGAAGGAAATTTACACCAGCAATCACATCTGGACCTTGTTTGAAGATTTCTTAGTGGACATGGCCCGGGTAAGAATTATTACCTTTTAAAATACAGTTCCAGTTCCTTCGCAACATTTCTGGTCTTGAGCGTTAGAAGGCTGCGTACTGGGGATGAGAAATTCTTTCTTAAAGGGGCTACAGCTTCTTCACGAGGATTTTGCTGTTTTAGGTCAATTCACCGACCGAAAACGGTAACCGCGTATGAAAAGTCTTTGGCAATGTGGCACCCAGGTTATATTTGTCCATATTTAAGTTAGAATAAAAGATACAATACGATTCTTTTCGAACTATATGTCGAGCGTTTACGCCGAAACATATCTTGCTCTGGTATTTTTCAGGTTTGTAACAACACTTTGGATCGATATCACGCTGACACCATGCTGGAAAAATACGCGACAGAAACCATCATGAACTTACTTACTTTCTTCTTCAACTCTCCCTTCTCTGATTCCAGTACTACCATTAAGGTAATAATAAATTAAATGGTTACACAGTTTCTTGGAATTAATTTTTGTAGTAAGGTACCACAATAAATTGTATTAATGTTGTTGATCTACCTTGTCACTGGGATCAAACGACGTTATAAAACATACACTCGAAGCTCCCGTAAAAAGCGACCAGACAAAATGCAAAGATTTAGTGCTCGCTTACGGGAGGCGGACTCTTAAGAGAATCGAACTACAGAGGTCTCTTCCGAGAAACATTCCTTGCACATCTACTTTTTGGAAAAGAATTAGTTGCATGCAGTTTCTAAGTTATGATATATGCAGTGGCCTCCAAATGTTTTTCGCACATATTGAGTAGCATAGCACGTACAACAAACAAATATCAGACCATGTGTCAAGTGTTCGCTTTCAAGGGGTTAAAAACAATGGAAATTTACGAAAAGAGCTGATCATTTACGAAAGGTTCCAATTACAGGACTTTGACTAGGAAAAGTTTGATATTTTGAATAAGTGGTCCCTTACGAGAGGCTATCGCATATGGAAAGTCGACTGTGTGTTTTGAATTTATGAAGTAGGTAATCATCATTTAATCAGAGACATGAGGAACTGATGCTAATAAAGTTAAATTTCTGTTCTTGTTCTTCTTTAGTCGCGGCAACCTGTGTTTGTTCGTCTACTCCGTGGAGCATTTCGTCTCTCTCAGTGTTCTTGGATGTCAGGATCACAGAAATACCACGTGGAAACGTGCATCAAGACGCTATCCGATGTGGGTTAGTAGATCTTGCTTCTTTAGGGCGAAGAACCGCTTAGTCAATCTTAGTTGTGCGACATGCGGTTTTCTTTAGGGGGCTGCAGAGGAGACTTACGCATGATGGCAGTAGAAAAAATCCGCAATTTTTAGTGACAATGTATTTCAGTAGCACGAAAGTACTAATTGGGGACACTATTCTTCTTATGGAGACGGGACCGCCATTTTACATTGTCATCCGAGCCGCGCGAAGGTCTAGCCGTTTGCAGGCAAAGGAAGTTCCTTTATTTCTCAGTTGTTTTAAGCCCCTCACGGTGCCTGAGTATTGGTCTGGCCCCCCGGAATCGAACCAGCGACCTTGCTCTGCAGTCAGGTGCTCCACAGGATTAGCTCATCCTCTTCACCCTCTTCTTTCCTTTTCACCTTCGGACAGGTGTTTTTTGCCTGATTGAAATTTCTATGACTGTTTGTTCCTCAAATGTTAACCGCCCAAAAGCAGTAGCCTGTGTACAGACGCCCCCTCCCCTAAGAAAAAATCGGGAGGAGGGGAGGGGAGGGGGCGTCTGAACACAAGCCCCAGCAGCAGCAGTCTTATAACTTGTGGCCTTAATTTTTAATACCAACCTACACATTCTCTAAACTATTCTGTTAACTTTTGTTTTTATGCTGTTGATTAGAAGAATTTAGTAAGAAAGTGGTGAATAAGCAAAGTTTGTTGTTTTTAGCGAGGAATCGTGGGATTGCAGTTCCAGCAGACCTTGAGAGCCAAATACAAGCGCTGTTCACTCGGTCCCAGTTGGTGATGAAACACACTCGGCAATGGCTGAGTCACGGCAAGGTCCGCCGGGACTCTATGATGAACCTGTCAAGGGACTATAGGAGCATTATTGAAGGGCTCCAGGTGAGATTCACAAACGAACACTTAATACATTCAAAATAAAATACTCTCGGCCGTGGCTGGGGCACGGTAAGGTCCGAACCTGTCTAGGGACTGTAGGAGCATAATTGAGGGGTTCCAGGTGAGAAATTCTAACGTCACGTCATCCTCAGAGTTACAGTTACCTCGTACAGTTCAAACTCAAAGAGAAAAACGTTATAAAAGGAAGTTATAACCACCTCGTATAATGTGGTAAACAACACTACAGAAAAGTTCAGCTCAGAAGCTGTCAGTTGTAAGGCCTCATCTCAGGCGATTCCTATTACTAGTTTAATACTGACTCAAATATAACAAACAGCAGCAAAGAATTAGAAACATTATTGTGTCTCTTTGCCTTGCAGGATATCGTTTCACTGCTGGAGGACCAGCTTCGTCCTCTTGTCCAATCAGAGTTCTCCGTACTGGGAGACGTTCTCTATCGGCCAGAACTCATGTTTCCTCGGCAGTCTGGGGCCTGGAGCAAGTCCAAATCGGGTGGCTTCGTCTCAAGGTAGACTTTAAGATCGAACGTTTATTCTTTGTGCTGAGTGGCATAGTTTTGTTTTTACTTATATTCAAAGAGTTGAGTGTTTATCCATAGTACCCTTCCTCGCTTAGCCTTCTTCGCAGACCCTCTGTCTTCTCTTTAGGGATTTTCGAGTGCGCGTATGAAAATAAAACCACCGGGGATTTATTGACCGGCAGCGTAAGGGAATCGCTTTCGTACGCCGACAAAAAAATAAATGTGGCTGTGAACAGGCTATTCATCGCTCAAACAACACCAAACTGAAAAGTAGAAAGAAGTTTTGAAAGTCATATTACTTTACAAAATATTTTTTTCCCAGTTGGGTCCTTCCCCCAAAAAAACGAAACACATGTCGGTCTTCCGAACATAGTTCTTGCGTCGGGGTCGTCTAGTTCAAGAAGAAAACATAAATCGGTGTTCCCGTAAAAATTAAAAATTGGTTTCAGAGGACAGGTTAGTTCAAACTGGAACAGAATAATTTTTTCTTTCTTTCTTCTTCCTATTTTTTTTCAAACCAATTTCAAAATGCTTCTTCGTGTAAAGCAGACGTGGATAAGCCCAGGAAGCCGTAGTCTCGACAGTCGACGTAAAAACCGGATAACCACTACACTACGAAACCGGATACACTATTAATGTTGGGAAAATAAGTTTAAATAGGCTCCACCCGCTCTTGCATTGGTAATAGGGCTCCGCAACGCGTGAAGATAACAGGATGAGAGGTACGGCAATACTTTTTCATATCTCCCAAAAAAAAACATTTTCTATGGCATTCTCGCTCGTTTTCATGTCGTAGCCTCGTTTTCAGCCTCGTTTTCGTAGCCTCGTTTTTCTCGTTTTCTCGTTCCAGTTCACTTCCGAGAATAGGAAGAGGGTAATCGAGAGTAATTCTGTGATTGTTTTTTTTTTTCTGTACACAATTTCCTTTGCTTGGTGGCGGCGCAAATAGCCATTTGTAAACGGACGATACCGTTTTTTAGCGTTTTTAAGATAGTTGCAACATTTTTGCACTCTTATGGAAATTCTCCTAAAAAGAAGACCTTAACAGACTGCCCTTCTGCACGCTAATCTGTAATAATAATAATAATAATAATAATAATAAATAATCGTCAACATCATAATCGTCATCATCATCATCGAGTGTCGCCCATTACTCATATGTCAATAAAAAATGAGCCTGGCTCTTTCACTAAACGTTTTACGCAGATTTACTTTAGATCTAAACGTCGATGATCCATATTTATTTTTTTAATAGAAGAATCAAATAATTTTTCCAGAGAATATATGTGTTACCAGACATGCATAACATCTTATCCTGGTTTCTACTGATGACATCGGCCGTTCGTAAAAGAAGCATAGGTTGTAGCGGCGGCGGCTGATCAGCATCAAATTTCTCGTTGTAAAATTACTACTTTATAAAACAGTGTGATCATGAGAATTAAGGTGATGACCATAGACGATGAATTAGATTGATACTTCAACAACTTCTTCCCTCTACTTCTGTGGGAAATGTGTGAGGGCACCAAATGAGAAGTCACATTTTGATCTGTCCATTTCATTCAGGCTGATAACTCACGCTAAACAGCTGCTTGAAGACAACGAGGAGACGTTGTGTGTACGAGTCCTGCAGACAATCAAGGGGATGATGGCACGAGACATTGACTTTGGAGACAAGGTACGAAATAACAAAGCTTTGATGTTTCCTGTAGTCTATGTTCACGCATACAGACGTAAGTGTTTACCGCTGTCCACACAAGAACAGCTACTAATTTATTCACTCGATGCTCACGAGTTTAAGCCGACGTCTAGCAATAGCAGACGTATTTCCGGTCGTGGCTTCTCTCCCTCCGGAAATACGTCTGCAGTTCGCAGGCTAGGTGACGTCTGTACGTGAGGAACAACATTGGGGAACTTAAGCGAAGGCGTTTTTGAGAGACGCACGTCAACCGGAAGTAGACTTTTTACATTCCTGAGCAGTGGTTTTGCCCAAGTTTTCAGTTAAATCGTCTCTACAAGTGTAAAGAAACTAAGCAATACAAATTTTATAGCGTCACGGCATATTAAAAGGGAAAAGTCCTCACTTCCGGTTGACGTGCAAGTAGTCAAAGGAGCGACGGAGTTTAAGCGGCGACGTTTTTTGGACGACCCATGTCAACCGGAAGTGGATTGTTTACACTCTTGAGCCGTGATTTTGAACAAATATTTGGGCAGATCTTCTTTTTAAGAGTAAAAACAGTTCGCAATACAAATAAGGAAGCGTCAAGACACATTAAAAGAGAAAAAGGCTCACTTCCGGTCGACGTGCATCGCTCAAAAACGTCGCTGCTTAAACTCCCTGATAGGGCGGTTAAGCAACCGCGACGACGGCAACAAGAGCGTCTTTTGCTAAGAAGCAATAAGTAAAATAGGGAAAACAACCCTGCACGTGCAGCACAGTTTTTGGTACATTTCTTTGACATCCACTACACGGCTACGAGGTGAAACCTCTTTATGTGACGCGGTTTTATAGAGGACGTGAACATACAAAGACTTTTAGAACTTGGATGTGGTCCTCAAGAATTCAGCTCCAGGAAAATTCGTCAAATCGAGCGAGGCTAAGTGAACGCAGTTGCTTTTGATTTTCTGACAGGATGTCGCGAATTCAAAATATGCGCGTAGCGTCATAGAACCTTGCAAACTTCGTTTGTATCGTGGTCGATTTGGTTAAACATTCGGAATTTGATCTCTAATCTCTTGCAGTGGTCCGACTACCCATTCCTTGACCGCCCCTCGGGGCTGGTTTTTAGTGAGTGCTTGTCGCTTGGGCCGTGGTTAGTCTGGTATACTTTAAAGCTTGTAGGCAAAGTGCAGCTGAACAAGATCTAGTAGAGGCCAAGGGTTGACCACACCACAAATCAATTTTCCATAATTGATCCCCTACTCTAGACCCAAACGTCTATACCCTATCCCAAACTAAACTACTTAAAAACCGCTCCCCATACAGCGGCACACACCCATATAGCTTTTATATGACCCCAGTATCCTCCAACTTGGCCCATCCGTTTAAACCGCAATTTTGATTATTATCAAATTTCTCCTTTAAATGTAAGTGGTTAAATAATCAGGAAGGAAATGAGAATTAAGAAAATGATCACTCAGATTTAATTAGCTGGATATTTTACCAAATTCCTATCCACTTTTATGAGAAACATATGGGACAAGAAGAAAGAATTTACATTTTAATACTGGGGATTAAAGGGTTTGCTCCGTTGTTACTTTTTTTCAGGGTGAAGCATTGCGTTCATCACTGTTAAGCCGCTACTTTGGCTCAAACTATTACTTCGCGATAACAAGAGACGCAACCAGCAAAACTAACCCAGATGGCACAAGTAGGAAAACCGGAAGTCAGCTGGTCAACTCGGGGCCTGGTGCTGAGATGTTATCGCGCGCGGGCGTCACGCTTTGCGAGATGCAGGGTCTGTTGGATAAGTGTGGAGCCTCGGATCTGATTATTGACCTCATCATGATGCGTCCAAACCACAGAGTGTTTCTAGAGATTCTAGAATTTGCCATCGCCCTTCTAGAAGGAGGAAACAATTGCATTCAGGTGGATGATCTCTAAAGCTTTTAACGTTTTTATTGGATAAATTTTCTTGCCAATGATTAAAGAGGACACGTCACGCTGTATGCTATGTTTATAAAGCTATCACTGAATTCCAAGAACAAAATGTGCAGTTCTGTTACTTAAGACTTCATTTAGGCGTTGAAATTGTTTCCCGTCGTTAATTGGAATGGATAGCAAGGATGGACATGACTTAAAACTTAAAAAGCTGGGCCAACTTTTTCAAGTTTTGATGGTACGCCTGCAAAAAATTACCAAACAAATTATCATGATTCGTGCCCCCCGATGACAGTTTTTTTTATATGTTTTTCATAACTCTCAAGAGAGTGTTTATGTACTTCCTGCCCCCTCCTTTTGGAACCACTTTTCTTTCACACCATATTGTTATGATCCTTGTACAAAAACATTCAAACTTCTTGAAATTAATTTTTTTTCGTAGAAATCTTTTCTCCAGCGATTTGGGAACGGTAAATGCGAAGAATTCTTCAGATACATTTATGACAAAATGACAGATGCCGAGGCTGAAATTCGTGCGACCATCACAGTTCAAACGACAGAATCATCTGCTGCTAAGAAGAGCGAGAAAGACACTTCACACGGAAGAATGTGCGACACGCGGAGATGCACTGTGATTGGAGGACGGAGGGACACTCTAGTTACAGGTAAGCGGTTACTTAGCTATGAAACTTTTGACTAAATCACAAAAACCACAATTGCAATCCGTTTCAATCTACTTCAAGATTGTCCATCCGCGCTTCCTTTTAAATTTGCTGGGTGATTTATATCTTTTTCTAACTTTTTCAGTGTTTATTTTAATATTTCACTCAATTTGGTTGCACTTTTCTTGGTTTTAATTATGATAAATTTCGTGACATAGCTCCTTTGATCGTTGCAGTTTCCAGTTTCTTGTACATCCTCGTGTAGTGGTGAATTTAATGCTTACTTATCGATAAGCGCACAGACTCTGATTTAGAATTCCCACAATGTCACCAAAGTTAATGTTTTTATTCAGGTTTAACATCACAGTTCTTTTCCTTTCCACACAACGTCGTTATCATGTACATTTCTTAATTGCTTTGCACAGTTATTTTGTCGCCATTCAGCCAGACAGACTGAATTTTAAAAAAATCAAAGAAAAACATGTTTTAGGAATCGTTGGCATCTTCCGTTAGGTTCTTAATGATAAGATGTCTACAGTGTGCAGGTCTCTTGTGTCCCTAAAGCGAGGTTAACCCTTAAAGCTCCAAAATACAAATACAAATACAAATTCTCCAGACTGATCCCCATACATTTCCTTGAATTGGTTAAGAGAATTTGTTTGCATATCAAAGCGTTTCCCATCAGGTGATTATTTTATTAATTCTCACAACATTTTCCTTTCATTATGTATTGATTTTGTTGGGAGAAAACCGACTTTGGTCACTCTTGGGACTTAAAGGCTTAACCTTGTTTGAAAGCTTTTCTCCGAGTGTCCGTAAATCGGATTCCGTTGTATGTTACTGTCGGGAGACAGGCTACACGTGTGACGTTATGTGGCTCGCGGCTCAGTATCTCAGTTTGTTTCAGGGGCTGAACATCTTCGTTGCGGAGTGGAACGTGCTCTCTAAGGCCAGGGTCAAATGTCGAACTTAATAAGGGACGAATCGAATGCTTATGATCGAGAGCAATAGATTTTGCTTATTTTCATTAGGTTCGGCATACGTGAAGTTTGACCTTTGGTCTGGGCGTAACTTAGAGATGAAGAATCGCGTTTACGCCCAGCGCCAAACTTTAGTTTGGACCACGTAACCAAGTTTTTCCTTTATTTATCGTTTACTGTTCATTTTGTCTACTCAAAAATCTAAAGGTGCTCGCCAGTTTCATTTATGAGAACTGTTTTGGACAGTTTTTGTTTTCTTATTTCCTATTTTGAGAAATTTCTCTCCCAATAATGGGATTGGTTTTGTGCAGAAAAAACTGTCATTGAACGTTTTTTGTTTGTTACCCTATTAAAAAAGCTGACTATTTTTTTTCTTTTTTCAGGTTCTTTACTAGGTATCAGCGACGACGTGAAAGAACAATTATCCGATGCCGCTACACACACTAGCAAGGCCTACGCCGCCGTGAGAAGGGGTCGAGACCCGGATGCTGAGGCGGAACCTTCAAGACACCTGCCCAGTCCCTCTCTGTTAGGAGCTGATATGCAGAGCACGTCAGGAAAACAGGAAGTAAAGACCATGTCTCCTGAAGTTCTGGTCATGAAACCCATTCTTAGATTCCTTCAGCTTCTTTGCGAGAATCACAACAGAGACCTTCAAGTAAGTTTGGGATGCTTGCAAGGAGAATTTTCGTGCTAATTTTCTGCAATTTCTCAGTTATATTGCTAATTCTTCTTATTCTCATTATTTTTCTCCAGAACTACATTCGCAAACAAGATCACAGTAAGGTCAATTACAACTTGGTTCATGAAACGCTACAGTTTCTTGACTGCATCTGCGGGAGCACTTCCGGTGGCCTGGGCTTGCTCGGTCTGTATATTAATGAAACCAACGTGGGACTCATCAACCAGTGCCTTGAGAGTTTGACTGAATACTGTCAGGGACCTTGTCACGAAAATCAGGTGCGTGACACATTGTTTCAGTGTTGCAAAACTTCTATCGCTAATTAGCAGTGAGGGTATTTTTGTGGTTCATGTTGCATACTAGCGTACTATTCTCTGAAACTTGAGAAATTACTAAACAACAGAACTTTTGTTTTTGTGATAAACTCTGAAAAACTGTTAGGCTGACAAGTTTTCAAAAACCTCAATTGTAATTCGTTTTAATCTTCTTCAAGTTTGTCCATCCGTGCCTCCATTTGTACTTGCTGTGTTATTTATACTCCGGGGGGGGTACTTTAGGAATTTCTGGGTGGGGATGTGCCGCTGGGACCCTGGAACCCTGGAACCCTTAACCTATACCGGAGCTAGTTCAGCTGAATTTTGCTACCCTATACTAGAGTAAACTCCCCAAATCCCCTCTATCCTAGAGTAGCTGTTTCAACACAACTGATCAGTTTCCTGAAAAATGATACCCTATTCTGGACCCAAACGCTCTGATTTATATACCCTATCCCAGAGTAAACTGCTTGAAAACCATACCCTTCACAGCGGCACATAGTACCTATATAGCCTATATATGGCTTTTTTACCCCCCGGTTTATACTCCTTTTTAACGTCTTGAGCGGTTATTAAACTCAGTTTGGTGCCAGTTCCCTCTCTTTGAATTTGGCAAAATTTCATGACACCTCTGATAACTTGTTGTTGTTGTTGTCCTTTCAGTCTGCTATCGCCCTTCACGAGTCAAATGGAATCGACATCGTCATCGCTTTAGTTTTAAACGATATTAATCCACTTGGCAAACAGCGGATGGACTTAGTGTTGGAACTTAAGGTTCGTAAAGCTGTTGTTTCGTTACGCATGTTCAACTCTTCCCGCTGTAGCAAAATTTGGCGCTGCAAAAATAGGTTTTGCAGCTTTTAAGAGCCGTTAGTATTAGCTTTGTGAGACATGTGTTTTCAGCTGGCTAACTTCGATTTTATTGATCATATTTTTTTGTATGTTTGATGTTCAGTTTTTCTTTGTTGTTTTTATCTAACAACCACAAACAAGCAAAACAGACCAACAAACAAACAAAAAACTTCTCTTCCCAGCGCGTGGGAAGAGAATGTTTGTATTCCTACACGCTGGAGCTTGCCTGCCTTGTGAACACTGTGATAGTTTTATGCACATGGTAGCCAGCTTTTCATCAACACACTGCGGGTGTATTACAGTTTTCTTTAAGGAGGTTTTATTTTCTTCTGAAAAAAATGCCAGTAACTTCTTCGTTTTAACGAGCATCATTTAATTAAGTTTTTTTAATTGTTTTTCAGAACAATGCATCTAAAACGCTTCTAGCGATAATGGAAAGCCGACACGACACGGAGAATGCCGAGCGCATTCTTTACAACATGACTCCACAACAGCTAGTAGACGTCTGCATCCAGGCTTATAATCAGGAAGATCTAGAAGACGAGAATGAATGTGAAGTTTCATGTAGGGATGTCGGTCATAACATCTATATTCTTGCGCATCAGGTATGGTTTTGTTTGGAAAGTTGGAGAAATTGTAGTTTATAGGCCGATTCCAAGTTCCAAAAACTCTTACTTTCAAAACGAGGCTAAGGGCAAAATCGTTCGTATGAAAATGTCTTTTATTTGTATGAGAATAAAAAAATCGTTTTCATATCAATAGCTTTGCATTTAGCCTCGCTTTGAAAGAGATGGTTCGGGCGATTTGTACGCAAGTACCAATTGAGAACATGGAGACGGGATCGCCATTTCTACGTGGTCTTCCAAGCCACACGCAGGTCAAGCCGTTTGCAAAGCAAGGGCAGTACTGTATCTTCTTCCACTGTTGTTTTAAGACCCTGAGTATTGGTCCGGTTCCGCGAACCGAACTCGCGACGTCCCGCTCTACAGGCCAGTGGTTTACCGACTGAGCTAATCCTGCTGTGGTCTTGTTGGCTTTTTAATCGCAATTTTTTTGTTATTTCAAAAACAAAGGCCTGCATTTCTTGAAGTGTTGAGGGTTTTTTCGTCTATTTGCCTTGCCAAACATCAAAAACAAAGTTAATCTGTGATTTGCCCCCTCTTGTTTTCGCCTTATTATGTTTGACTCTACCTGTTCAAGAGCACACAAAGTTTAAGTTTCTCGATGATATCCCGACTTTTTGCTTGTACAGGCCACTTTCAGCGGCACAAATGACCTCTTAAGAAAGCTTCTATTTAGAATGGCCTTCTTTCTAGTCGTTGACTGTTTTCATAGTTGTGTTCCTTCGCCGTCTCGATTGCAGTGCCGTTTCAGTTGAATTATTCAGATATTGATGGAGAATGCTGAATAATGCTGTGAAATAGGTACTCAGAAAACAGGAGAGGAATTTTTCATTTTTTGCTTACTTCAGTTTTTCCCTCTTTTGTGTTTTTAGCTTTCACAACAAAACAAGGAGATGGCAACTCTACTTAAACCGAGCCCGCCGTCCGATGCTGAAGAAGGCAGAAGCGATGGTGCCCTGGAATACTACGCAAAACATACGGCGCAGGTCGAGGTAAAAGGCATTCCTTATTGTGAAAGTTTGTTTAACGACGTTTTATCCCCGCCTAGGAAAAGACTATTTTGTTCATTTGGCATGCCTGAACTTCGCCCTGAGAGTAAATATGGCTATATTTTCTCTCCTGCTACTACATTTCCCAACAAAATTTATTAGTATTATGAAATAATCGTTTTAATTTGCGGAAAAAACTATCAGATATTGCTAAATGAAAATCTTAATTATTAGTAAATGCTTACGAGGCCATTGGGTATTTTTTCCCTTTTTTCGTTTCCACGTCTCAACGCCTTCGTATCGTCTGTTCAGAGATATGTCCAGGGTCGAACGCTTTGACAGCCATCACGAAGTGTCCCCGTGGAAAAAAAAAATTATGATAGTTCCAAAAATTCTCCCTTTTAAAACGATGCTAAGTGTGAAACCTTTCTCGTTAGAGAGAGTTTTATTTGCGTGAGAGTGAAAACTCATTTTCATATCAATGGTTTCGCACTTAGCCTCGCTTTGAAACAGAGGCTTGGGGCAAAATCGGTCAAATATGACAAAATCAGTTGCATTTGAAGTACTTTTACGACTACGTCTGCGTTCAATCCTTGACATCAGTGTCTGCTTAGCAATGCGTTCAGTTATCATATTTTAATAGTTGTTTAAATTTTTCCTTCAGATTGTTCGCCGAGATCGTACTATGGAACAAATTGTTTTTCCAGTACCGAACATCTGTGAATATCTGATCGCTGAAAGCAAAGTTAATGTGTATCAAACCTGTGAGAGAGATGATCAGAACAGTAAGGTAACTTATTTCATTTGTTAACAGGCCGGGAGATTCCGTTTGTAAGAACTTTTTTGCCACAGATATATTATTGTAACTTTTAACTTTGTAATTTTGCTTTATTATGCATGTATTTTATTATAACAGTTTTAACTTGAGAGGGCGGTGTTACAGTGATATTGGCATCCCCGCGTTTTGAACATCCCCATTCCCAAAACCATTGTAATATGGGCATCCCTTTAGCGATTTGGGTTAGGGTTAGGGTTACAGGGGATGCCCATGTCACTAGGGTTTTGGGAATGGGGTACTCAAATCACTTTAACAGCGGTGTCGCGCATTCGCCACTTTAGAAACGATAAGGGACCTGCCCGAGTTAACTTTTGCCAAGACTTCTGAGAGTGTGACCGGGGACAATGGAAATAATTAACCAATAGCGAACCGGCGCGTCCCCGGTAACCATCCCAGAAACAATTGCGGGACACGTGTCGGCTCCAGTCCCCCTCTCGTATTGTGTCCCGTTCGTACCAACCTTTTCAGTTATAAACGTTTTCCATTTTATGATAATTAAGGATTTATTTTTTGCCTATTTATTATTTTTCGTATTGCATTTATGCATTGGACCTAAGATTTACCACATGAAGTTGATAGAAACAGTCAGGTTCTAACGTTATTTTGTTTTCATTTTCAGGTTTCAGATTTTTTTGATCGAACAGAGGGACTGTTTCGGGAAATGCAGTGGCAGAAGAAGCTAAGAGGTATCAAAACTGATCTGGAAAACAATTTTTGCAATCCTGAGACAGCGTCTTTGAAAGTCAAGCTGTTGAAAAGTTTCTGTCGAATGCGTGTTTCCGCCAATGAAGGTTTTTTGTTTGCGTTCGGCAATACGTCTTGACTTGGGAATCGTAGCTTGAGAAAACAGCCGACATTTCGTGACGCCACCCACCACTGGTTTCCTGGCAAAATAGGGACTTTAAGATCCAACGACGCGACGGCAATGAGAACGTCGCTTAAAAAGTGAATTTGCGTTCTTTCATTCTTTATCGCAATTATTCCTACCCACTTACTTTGTCAAATGTAGGCGAACCCTCCTGGAGTTGAATTCCTAGGCACCATACACAAGTACAGAAAAAGAAATAAAATTTCGTCGCTGCTTGTTTACGTCCTCCATAAAACGCGAAATTAGGCATGTTTACGTCGTAGTCGTGCAAAAACGGGCAGAGAAATGTATAAAAAAGCGTGGTGCACGTGCAAAGTTGTTGTTTTGCAAATAAAACCTATTGTTTTTTTGACGTTCTCGTTACCGTCCGCGTCGTTGGATCTTAGGGCCTGTTTACATGGAGGTGGGGGACCCCAGGTAGGTGAGGTAACCCGCTTAGGTGGGGTAACCCGCCTGTCCATATAATCTCTCATTTTCATTTGATCACGTTTACATGATAGGTGGGGTGACCCGCCAAGGCGGGTAGCCCGGTCTACCAGACCGGGTTACCCTCTCAGCCGGGGTCACAATTTGTCATGTAAACGTTTCAAGGTGGGGTAACCCGCCTGGCCGGGGTCGGATTCGTGATACATCAAATTCGCGCAAAATTCACTTTCGCGGTGTCTTTGCATTATGATTAAAGTTAACAGTAGAAAGCTATTGCACTGACGGGTTGCAGCAAGAGCAACAAGTGAGTGAAAAAGTGCATTAATCGCCAAAACTCGTGGTTTGCCAGCATTTTTCTTGTTTACGTGCTTAGCGACCATTCAATAATCTTGAGAAAGTGCACCCCGGGAAGGCGGGGTTGTAAGATTGCATGTAAAGGCGGGTTATTTTTTTACCTCACCTAAGCGGGTTACCTCACCTACCTGGGATCCCCCACCTCCATGTAAACAGGCCCTTAAAGTCCCTAATGACGCCTGAGAAACGAGTGCAGAAATTCCATACTGATGACGCGTCACTACCCAGAAACAAACGAACGAAAACAATCGTAACTTGGGTACCTGCGTTTTCTCGCATCGTTTGTGTGTTGTCCTTCCTTCCTTCCTTGGACTGCTGGGCCGAGTTATTCAAAGCTGGGTTAAGATAATCCAGGGTTAGTTCGAAATTTGAACTCGGATATGAAAGCTTAAAAAGCAAATTCATCGTAATTCTTTTTGTCAACAATTTGATGATTGGCTACTCTAAAAAGAATAGAGAAAATTGTCCAAGAAAATGCTCTTGATGAAAAGAAAAAGACACCGGGGTTAAAATTTAACCCTGGGTTAGCGCTAATCGGCCTTCGAACAACTGGGCCTGTTGCTTATTACCTGCCATTTACGTTTTGAATTAGTTCTGATCCAGTAGTTTATTGTGTTATTTTAGTTTACGCTTTCTCTATGTACTAAAAGGTTCTGTAACCTTCTTGACTGTTACGTCAACAAAACCGAAAGTCTGTTTTTCTTGTATCCTGTAACTAACGTTTTTCACTGTTTCTTGCAGAGAGCCGGTTTCTGTTCGGCGTGAGCAGCCGGATGACGTTATGGGAACAAATTTCCATCAACTTTGCAGTGCTTATTAATCTGCTTGTTGCCTTCTTTTATCCTTTTTCGGACGGCCCCGGTGGTAAGAAACTCTTAGAAATTATCTCAGTAGATTGTCAAAATTGTTTTCCCTCTCTGAAGTGCTTTTTATTGTGCTGTGCACCTAGCTCACGCCTGTCCTCCTCTGGCGCGCGCGCATCCCTTATCTCGCTTCCCATATTTCTTGTTCTCGTTCCTCGCGCGCATCGGTTATCTCGTTTTCCATATTTCTTTTTTCGTTCCTCGCGCGCATCGGTTATCTCGCGTCCCATATCTCTTAGGCTTCTCAACGCAGGCTTTAGCTTTTGCATCTGTAAAAGACCATTAAAGGGAAAGTTAAAGAGTGGTACTCTTCTGTGGTTCTGGGCCCGGTTCCTAGAAAGATGGTTAAGTTTAACCCAGGATTAAGCGAAATTTTTAACCACGGTTTTCTTGCTAAGAGAATGTAACTCAATCTCACAAAATACAGTTGAGCTTTTACTCTGAGACAGCTTTTACACCTGAGGATTTTAAAAATCCTGACAGAAGTTCACAAGTGGTGATGAGTGAGTTGAAGAGTTTCTGATTTTGTTGAAAGCAGGATGGTCAGATAAAGCCACTGAGCTGATCTTTCCTTTACTATATCAAGATATGTTAATTTGCTAAGTGATTACTCAAGATTTACTTTCAACGATTTTGTGTCTTCCGTTTCAGATCTAGACTCTCGTTTGTCTGTGCTGGTTTGGCTGGCCATGATAGTGTCGTCTGTCATTATTGTTTCCTTTCCTCGGCCGTCAGGGATCAGGACTTTCGTAGGCTCAACTATTCTTAGACTTATTTTTTCTCTTGGACTGGAACCCACTCTCAAGATTTTAGGATTAGCAAATGTAAGAAATTCTGCTGGAATAATATTTAATAGAACGGTTTTCATTTGAGTCGAATGTAATTCATATTTTTTAGAATATGTTCACACCACTTTTTAAACCGGTTCGTGCCAAAACCAAAGTCTATTTGTATTTGAATTACCCTAAGTTGCCGCTTGCAAGCCCTGGGATTTTATGTCTTCGTAAGGGGTTTAAGGATGGCGGAATAGTGAAAGCAGTGGCGGATCTAGGGCAGGGGCCCGGGGGACCCCCCCTTATTGTTAGGCCAAACTGAGGCCCGAAGGGCCGAAAAAAAAATTTTGGATGCTGCCCCCCTTATGTAAGGGTCTGGATAACCCCCCCTCCCCCGGTTTTGCTAATAATTAAGATAAGCTTTTCTTACAATTTTAAATTTTCAGGTAATTATCAAAGCAATATTTATAGTTAGTTATGTTGGAAATCGTGGTACATTTGAACGCAATATTCACTGGCTGCTGTCAGATCGAAATCTAGTCCTCCATCTCATGTACTTCACCTTTGGAGTGCTTGGATTCACAGTGCATACCTTCTTCTACTCAATATTGGTAAGTGTTCGACCAATGTTGGCAAGTGTTACACAAATATAGGAAGGTACAATGCTGCATGAAGATAGGTAGTGCCTCTTGACTTCAAGAGTTGAGGAGTGAAAGACTTTAAGAAGGCGTATACTAGTAATAACTAAACCCTAGGGAGTGCGGACGAGATCGATGCGACAGAAAGGTCTTGCTCGAGCGCTGTGCTTTGCGTAAGTTTTACGAGATAGAAGTTCAAAACGCGCGTGGTCAGATTACGAGAGGTGGAAGGTCCAAACGCGCGTGATCAGATTGCGTTTTCAGCATTCCATTCACTGTTAGTGGGAGTTCAAATGAATGCTGTCTACATACGTGCTGCGCATGAATAACAGCAACCTGGAGATTAATATTGCGGGCTCCACAGGGCGCCCGCAATAAATTCTTGTCAATACGGTACACAGTAGTGGTGTGATATGACCTAACATTGACAAGTCTCCATCATCTTTTCTCTTCAGCTCTTAGATGTGATATTTCGAGAAGACACCCTCTGGAACGTAATTCAAAGCGTCACACGCAATGGCCGTTCGATCATCTTGACCGCCATCTTAGCCCTTATTCTTGTCTACATGTTCTCCATCATCGGGTTTCTGTTCCTGAAGGATGATTTCTTGGTCGAAACTGAACCTAATCCCCGTCTTCACTTCGGTAAGTCCAGTCTTTATTTTTCAGAATCTATCCACCATACCACATGGGTAGAAGGTTAGTTTGACCCTGTAAGCCTTATTATTATTATTATTATTATTATTATTATTATTATTATTATTATTATTACTATTATTATTATTATTATTATTGTTATTATACACTGCGCTCACTGTCTGTCTTCTCATTGGCTAGGAGCCCAGAGTTAATTTTGAAAATCAGCGCAACCTATAAATTAGTTAATTATTCACTATATTTGCTAGCAGATAACTGACTGTTCTGAAGGTTGCAATCGCAATGCATGGTTTCTAACAGTTGGTTGTTCAAACGCTATATAGTGCTACCCACTGGATAAATCACTATCCAGTGGATAATTATTACGGAAACCAATTGAGCTATCCAAGTGGGTTTTGAGCAACTGGGACCTGTGTTCCATGCGAAAGTGTGTTTGTCGATATTTTCTTTTTAACAAGGTTTACGTTATATCCGGAGTGTTATCAGTCTCAGCTGAGGTCTGCGAAGTAGCGCGGAGATCTTTGTTCTGGGTCCCCAACGGACTGAACGAATTATTGGAAGTGTGTTTCGAATTTCGCATCAAACTGATTGGCCAATCGCAGAATGTTTTTTTTAACGGGCCAATCATGGCACGTGCTCAACTCATGGCACACAGCTAGGGGTACAGAACTAGGATTTCAGCGCTAGTAACCAGAGCCTGGTAGTTCGAAGCTGGGTCAGGATAACCCAGGGTTGGTACGAAATTTGAACCCAGATATGAGAGCTAAAAAGCAAGTTAAGTTTAATTCTCTTTGCCTACAATTTGATACTCTAAAAGGAATGGAGAAAATTATCCGAGAGAGTGTTTTTGATAAAAAGAAATAGAAACCAGGGATAAAATTTAACCTTGGGTTAGCGCTAACCAGCGTTCGAACAACTGGGTGCAGAGGTTTAGTTTCGTCTGTGGCGCAGGTAGCCTACGAAAACAGCCATCTCTCCACGCTCGCTTAACTTTCCTAGCGGGGAGCGACGGCTTTATTTGCAGAATATTTCACAGGCTAGGAAGTTTGAGCGTGATAAAAATTATGAATGGACTCACGGAGTTACCTTTAAGCATGATTCGCATTTTACATATTTTTCTGTCATCTTTGCTTTTCAGAATCCTCGCCACCAAACACATGCTCTGCGGGTGAGAAGTCTTGTCAAGAATCCTTGTCTCTTTCGCAATTAAGTTCAGAAGAGGACAGTAGCAAGGAGCGCGCCTGTGACACTCTGCTTATGTGCATTGTAACCACGCTCAATCAAGGGCTTAGAAATGGTGGTGGTATCGGGGACGTGCTCAGGCGACCCTCCATGAAAGAGAACATGTTCGTCGGTCGCGTTATTTACGATCTATTATTCTTCTTCGTCGTTATTATCATCGTCCTTAATCTTATATTCGGAGTAATCATCGATACTTTTGCCGATTTGAGAAGTGAAAAGCAGAACAAGGAAGAAGTCCTCAAGAACACTTGCTTTATTTGTGGTAAGTCCCTTTCTATTTAACCACAAATTATAAGTTAAAAGCAGAGGTGAACGCTTTCAAGCAAGAAGTTATACCGAACTGCTAACTCCAAGTAGAAGCAATTCGACTTGTTCACAAAATCATTTATTAATAACTTAAATAAGGCTGCCCAATCTCTTTAGCCCTCAATGGTTATTTTGGGCAGCCTGCACTCTGTCTATTTTTAATAGTATTTTAGATATATGTATAATTCAATGTGGAGTACAAATAAAGTTGTTGTTGTTGTTGTTTACTTTGTACTTGAATATCACAGCAATTCATTACTTGTCATTTTGGCTTTGGAAAATGTCAGTGGTCAAGACAAGTGACAGAAGCCTGTTTTCTGCAGATATCCTTATCCGAGGAAGAATTTCAAAGATACATTTTTTGACAAGTGCAGTTTACTAGTAATGCCTGACCTAAATTCGTTTCTTTAAGGCGGAGTTCTAATCACTTTGTGACTTTGCATTTCAGGTCTTGATCGCTCAGCATTTGACAACAAAGCGGTGTCCTTTGATGAACACATTAATTCCGAACACAATATGTGGCATTACTTGTACTTCATAGTGCTGCTTAAAGTCAAAGACACGACCGAGTTTACTGGGCCTGAAAGCTACGTCAGTCTTATGGTTAAGGTACGTCATAGCTGAGTGTAGGTTTCGAAAATGAGATCCAGGCTCAACAAGAATAACCTGAGAAAACAGCTGACATTTCCTGACGACTCCACCACAGGTTTCCCGACGAAATGACGTCTGAGAAACGAGCGGAGAAATGCCATACTGATGACGGGTCACTACTCAGATCTGGGTAGTGCTTTCGATTGGTCATATCGCGTGGAAATTTTGCTTCAACTAATCAGAAGCACTGGCCAGATCTGGGTGTTCACGCGTCATCATTGTGGAATTTCTGCGCTTGTTTCTCAGACGTCATTTCGCGGGGAATCCAGTGGTGGCGTCGCGAAAATGTCAGTTGTTTTCTCAGGCTACCTGGGTACCAGGCCCCAGGTGTTCAAGAGGTGGATAACGCTATCCACTGGGATCCACTGGATTAATCTTTATCCGGTAGATAACGCAATTGGTTTCTGTAACCACGTATCCGCTGGATAGTGATTTATCCGCTAGATAATACTATCCAACGTTTCAACAACCGGGGCCTAGGGTTTAACCGATATTGTATTCCCGTCCGGTCGACTTTTTACCAAAAGCCTTTGAGAAAATCTCTCATGTCGCGGTAAATCTTCTTTTAAGCCTGCTTTGGTGCTTTAATAAAATACTCCTAAAGACGGTGTTCACTACACTACTCTGCTAACCCTGCTTTAAGAATCAAACTATTAAAAGAGGCCTTAAATGTTGTTTTCTTAAGCTACGTGCAAACGGACGCAACAACTCCCAACGTTTTTGGTCCAACATTGTTGTGAGTTGTTGCGTCCGTTTGCACGCGGCTGAACGTTTGACCGGTTTCAAACTTTGCGCAACAACACGCTGTAACATGCAACAGGGCGTGCAAACCGGAGCAACATGTAACATCCAACAATGTTGGGAGTTGTTGGCCAACAATAATGTTGCGGCCGTTTGCACGGGGCTTTAGATGACTAACACTTTCTGTACACTCATCAAAGTATGGTGTGAAAACTCCCTGGAGGAACTCAAATTCCTGTGATTCCCCTCCTCAAAAAAAGGAAAATGGTGAATGATGCCGTTGATCGGCGAAAGCTTGGATTGTAATTTTATTTATTAATCAGCAGTTTAAGGCCTCATTATAACAATATTTAATATATAAGTCCAGTCTGGTCCTCGTTCTTTGCTAACAAAACTGCTTTTCGATAAATTGAATAAGCCCACCCCCACCCCCACGGAGAAATCGAAGACAATGGTTAGGCAACTTTTTGGGGGTAAACAAGGTGCATTATTGTCTTTGTAAAAATGGTGAATTACCCATGTCTAATCGTCAGCAATTCTTGTCTTGTTGTCATTTCACGTTTGCGTCGTTTTGAATAGGATCATGATCTGGAATGGTTTCCACGGATGCGTGCAATGAGTCTGGCAATGGATGAAGGAGAGAGCGAGCAAAACGAAATGAGAAATCTTCAGGAGAAGTTAGAGAGCACCACACGGTTGGTGTACACTTTATCACAGCAACTGAATGAACTCAAAGAACAGGTAAGACGCCATCTTATTGCCATTTTTGTAGCTGGCGGGATTGTTATGCCCAGGGGACTTTTTGGACCCCTTTAAATACAAGATAGCAGGCTGCATAGCTGGCGCAGGGATACCATCTTGGATTTCAAAGGGTCCAGGTGACAATGTCACTGTTATTGGGTTGCCTGAGTGCTGGTTAAGTCTGTCTGCAAAACAGCACCGAAATCCTTGTTGTAGGCCCCCGTCTGTGTACCAGGATTTGAGTACGAGCCATGATTGGCCTGTTGAAAAATCTATTGTCATTTTGCCAATCAGGTTGAAGGAAAATTCGAAACGTATTTCCGGTAATTCGTTGAGTCCACTGGGGGCCCAGAGCCAGGATATCGGCGCTACTTACCCGGGTTAGATTATGTCTACGACACAGGCTTGTTTTTATTAACCCTTTAAACCCTAAAATCAAAATTCAAATTATCATTTGTTATCCCTGTGCGTTTTCAATAGAAGTGGTGGGGAGAATTTGTTGAAGTATCAGTTAGATTCATCTAGTGTGATCATGTCCTTAATTCTCATGACCTCTCTGTTTTACAAAGCATTGATATTACAAGGAGAAATTTGATGCTGATCACTCTTAGGGCTTAAAGGGTTAACCTACTTAAAAACGTCTTTCACCTTCCTCAGATGACGGAACAACGCAAGCAAAAACAGCGAATTGGTTTACTGGGACCTCACTCCGTCAACAGTCTTACTACTAATAACTTCAAGATTTGAACACGTAGTGAGGAAGAGCGGAAGGGACTATTGCTTTGGCCATCGGACCACTCAGGAGTAAATGGCAATACCTCAGCTCCTGTTGTTAGGCGATTCTACCAGGTTGTTCAGTCAATGGTGGTGGCTCTTCACCAAGTTATCAGATCGAAAAATGAGAAAAATAACTTTTCTTCCGTGAAAGGACAAACTAGAGACAATCCTTTAGCGTATAAACTGTAAAGTCGGGTTTCCGCCCTACTTACTCTGCTTAAAGTCATCTGTCAGTGAGCAACTACAACTATTTAGTAGGAAATCATGCCAGGGATTTAATGGTCAGGAACCAAAGTTTTGAACAGTGAAAATATTAACCGTGTAGCACTAAAGTTCTCACTCGAGAAAGACTCTGCATGAATGGAATAAGGTCTTTGTTGAGCATGCCTTGTATGTTGCTAGGATACAGTTTCGAACCCAGGCCTAATTCCCGTGCGCTTTGATACTGGGGCTCAATATGACCATCGATTTATTGCGTTCGACTTTAGGAGAACGCAACACCTAATCTTGGGACTCCTTTGGTGCTCAAGGGTGACCTTTTTGGTACTCATTTCGTCGTACGTCTGCATTTTCTGCGCCATCTTGAATAATTAATCTTGTGGGCACAAAAATGCCAAATACAATTAATTTAACGTCGGCCGTAGCAATGATTGCGTGGCGCAATGGACAATGCGTTGCCCTTCCACGTCGAAGGTCTTGGGTTCGACTCCTGCCGGGTGAGACTTGTTTTCTTTTTTTCGTACTCGTTTTGTTTTGTTTTGTTTTGCAGCATCTATTTATTAGGAAATAACGTCACATTTGACCGTAAACCTAAAAAAGCTCGAACGCACTTCCTAATCTGAGATTACTACTAGTCAATAAAACGGATGCTCGGACTCTATAAACCAGTTTGATGAGAGAAAAAAAGATTGATTACAGTGGCGGATCCAGACCTTGAGATAAGGGGGGGGAGGGGGCGGTCATCCAGACCCTGCGATAAGGGGGGGAGGGGGCAGTCATCCAGACCCTGCGATAAGGGGGGGAGGGGGCGGTCATCCAGACCCTGAGATAAGGAAGGGTGCCGGTCTCAAAAAATTTTTTTCGGCCCTTCGGGCCTCAGTTTGGTCTCAAATCAGGGGCGCCCTCCCCTGGATCCGCCACTAGATTAGTCCAAAAATTCGGGCTTCGGTGACTTCAGAAGCTTGACACCATTCGATGGGGGCTCCTTTTGTCTCCTTGAATTTCTTTCAAAAAAGTCAAAGTAATGAAAACTGCTTGGAGCTACAAACAACTACTTGTTTTGAACTGCACATACTGTACATCTTTTTTTAAGCGAGAACTTTGTTGGTGTCCAATTTGTAGATGATAATTGCACTGTTAATAACTGTAAAGATTGTATTATTTGGTTGTCCAGCGTGATCGCCATGTGAACTTGTTTTATAAATTATTTGGAGGATAAAAATACTGATAAAAATATTTAAATGTAGAAAACATATTTAGTTAGGTAGCATGGGAAAAAAATAGCATCTCTTTAGATTGGTCATTTTCTGCGAGTATTTGATACTTTTTTTGTTCTTGGCCATTAACTATTGTCCGTAGGTTTTGAAATATATTGTATATGAAATATGGACTATGTGATATTTAATGAAGATCATCGCTGTTATCATGAAAAAAACTCAGAAAATCCTATCCTTTGCCCGGTTCTCAGATAGGATGGAAGTCACGAAAATAAATCAAGCAAAGAGAAAATCCCGCTCTCTCCCCAGCCCCAGCGCTATCCTGGAGCCTGAAACAGGCTAAGATGCGTGGCAGGCTAAGAAAATCTAGAACTTCAAAGAGACGGAGATCCACGACACCCGCATTTCCAGCGCGATGAATCATGGCAAGCTGCGATATTATTTGCTTTTACGCCCTGCATCCAGCGTAATACTGAAAGTCTATGAATAATCTCTTACTTCTTGTTAAAATCTGACCGTTATAAAATCTATTTACAACGTCTTACCCATAGTGGAAACGTTTTTGTTAGTGTTCATCGTGTTTACTGCTGTTGGCCTTCTAGTGTAATATTCTGTCAGTCATCATCTGTGTGTATGTGCCTGCATTTCAGTGCACCGCCGCTTGGCGCTAAACCTTTCTCTCCGTAGAGGCCTCTTTTTGTTATAGGGAATCTGTTTGAAACAAGAGCCGATAAAAGCGTCTGCTCCCCACGGGCTAATGCCCTAGTGGGGAGAAGGAAAAATTGAAAATGCGCAGGGAACGATGGGAAGGGGAATACCCACCGGGAAGGGGGGGTCAATGGCTCAATGCGGAGGAGAGAGGCGCTAAATACTTAAACAAGAATCAGAATGAGGATACAATTTGGACGGTGTCCCCTAAGTAGCAAGCGATCGTGCGCGTTCTAAGAGAGAGTTAGTTAACAATTATTCCTCGAGCCTGAATGGGCTCTGAGTAAAAAACCAACGAGGCCGAAGGCCGAATGGGCTATTGACTCAGAGGCCATGAGGGGAAGAGGAATAATTGTTTTAGTAAAATCCAACTAGTTGGTCAAAAATATCGAGAATAAAAAAAAATTTAGCTAGTTAAAGCTAGACTTTCATCCTTTTTTGCGGCCAAAAAGCCCGCGCTCTTCGCTACTAGTGGGCTGTCACATTTAGCTTAGTAGTAGCTCAACCAATCAGAACGCAGCATTGATAATAAACCACCAGTTGGATTTTACTAAACCAGAGTTAGACTACCTTCTTGACCGAAACCAAAAACCGCGCATGGAAAGTTTCTTCTGGCGCCCAGGGTCGGACATGAACGGGAAAATGAGGTAAGGCTCGCCCTGCGATTACTTGGATCTGTCCTTGTCACCCTGTGATATGCCAAGAGTTCCGTCGGTTATGAAAATTAAAATCTCCCCTTACTTCAAGTCAGAGGCACTACCTCGTTCCCAGGACTCGTCTTTGGCGTTTGAGAAGGATTGCGTACTAGTGATAACAATGGCGGCGATCGTGCATTGATTGTGCTTCCTTTTGACCGCTTTAGACTACCCCAGCTTTCCTACTTCGCTGCTTGTAATTGTCACCGCTTCTGGGGATATCTTCTCTTAAAAAGGTAAGAATTTTCCCCTAAATATCTTAGTAAAATGGTGTTTAATTTTCTTCAAACAAGGAGCCGCCGTTAGTCCCGTTGTTGATGAAAAAAAATATTATAAAAAATAAGGAGTTAAATTATTATTAAGTGCCACCGCAGTCCGCACTCCTTTAGTCGCCGAATGATAAGTTAAGGATTTTTTAATTAAAGAACGGTTGCTTATAAATGAAATGGTGAGCTTGTTTTGCTTCATTGCTAACTAAAGAACGAAGTTGAAAGTTTATAAGTTAAAATATGTAAATTGTACACTACTGTGGGACTGTGGCGACAGCTTTTTGAGGTCAAATGTAAGTGGATCTAGCCCTGAGCTGCTGATGTGTTTAATATAGCGTGCATGGAACAGCTGTTAAGTGTGACAATTTTTAGTGAACTGTCACTCCTTTAATCTAACTGTTTCAATATGTTAGTTTTCACTCTATGAAATAGTCTTCTATACATTCCAATTTGTATCCTGACTGGTAAAATTGACAGTAAAACACTTAAAACGCTACCATTACTTCAGTCTGAAAGTGCATGCACAAGCCTTTATTTAAACTCTTTCTGTGCACACCAAATTTGTCGCATTGCACTCAGCAGCTCCGTGCGTAGATTTACACCTGACTTGTAGGGGAGTAGTGATGATATTTTTCCCAAATCCACCCCATCCTCAGTAAGTTCAACACATGGAATGGACTGACAATTGGGTTGTAATCCATTTGTAGCCTTCTTTTTACTGAGCCAAAGTCTGAAGCATGATCATACTGCTGTGGGGGTCCGGAGGCATTCTCCCCTGGAAAGATTTGACATTTAGGTCCATCTGAAATAGGTGGAAGTGCGTTTAAAACTTGTATCCTTCTTAATACTGTTGACATATTTTTGGTTATTTTGTGGTTTATAGTCAGTTTTAAAAATCAGGCAGTTATTTCTCTTGAATTGCATCAAAACTCTATATTTGTCTTCACTGAGAACCATTCTCAAAATTATATACTTCTGAAAAAAAATTTAAATTAAACACTTCATTGATGCGGAGGCTCTGAAATAAAGTAATCTTCTTGAATTCTTCCCTGAATTTTTTGAAAACTCTATACTTGTTTTCACCGTGTGAGAACCATTTTCAAAATTATATACTTGATGAAAAAAATTAAAATAAAACACTGCATCCATGTGGAGGCTCTAAAATAAAGTTATCCTCTTGAATTCTTCCTTGAATTGCATCAAAACTGAGTCAAAACTCTAGTCTTGTCTTCACTATCTGAGAACCATTCTCAAAATTATATACTTGACGAAAAAAATTTAAAATAAAACACTGCATCTATGCAGAGGCTCTGAAATAAAGTAATCTTGACCCATTATTTGAGACTCACAGTTTTCCCTCTTTCCCTCTTTTTCCCTCTTTCAACTAACATGAAACATCTGAGACGCTCGGGCTGTTATCCTAAACATAAAATGCATTGAAGGCTCTGCGACTTAGCGCTGTTGCCATACCCAGGTTTTGCCCTTTTTGCTTTGCCCTTTAGTTTCCTGTCTTAAGCACCAGCATTTTAGTCCACCAATCATGTGGCTTCTCTGAAGAAACTAACAATTATCAGAGAAACAGCAAATGTGCCTATTGCAGTCGTCAACAGGAGTCCTCCTCCCGCGACTTATATCCTGTCTGTCTTATACTTTATTGCTACACAAGTGCGTACTGTATCTACACTCCAGCTTGACTTAACTGAGAAGAACTGGGGCATACCCAGACGTTGTTTTAAGAGATACCACCACAAGGGAGTTTGAGCACCAAGTTAAGTCGCAAACCTTGAAAGGGCACTTCCCTGTCTGGAAATTTTAACTGAAGATTCTCCGAAATGTTATTTCCAGTCTTTTCCCCACAACATATTTTGTAAAAAAGATAGTAAAATGACCCAGGCATTTTGAAGCATACTTTTTATTGAAGTTGGCTGTGTCAATTCACTAGTTGAACGCCAAATTTTCCTTGCCAATACTTTGTTGCACCTTTTGCACTGGAGGTGGAAGCCTAGGTGGTGGAATTCTACTAAATGGTCAACTTTGAACTTGCAGACTCTATAAATGGTCAACTTTGAACTTGTCTATAGGTATCTGTGGAGGTTGTTTTTGTCACATGTTTTCCATCAAATTTTTGGTTTTCTATGAAATCATCACATATCAAGGATTTTTTTAAGTGTTGAAGCTACTCACAATCTGGAACTGAGCTTGCAACCACAATGATGATGACAGAAAGGAGAAAATAAAAAGGCAACATGTTTATACAGCAAAAAGAAAAACCCTGAACATGCAGCACACTTTTTGGCAACTTTCTTTGCCATCATCTCTTGACTAACGTCATCAAACTTGATCGTTGCGACTTTGATTTCATCAGAAATACCAATAGAAAGTTTTAACTTTAAAGACTTAAGTGGCCACCTGCTCCCCCCTCATGAGTTGGGAAAGAATGAGGTATGAATCTTGCGGGCTTTATTTGCAGGGCTCAAAATAACAGCCTGTCACCAGACAATGTTCACCCAGGATGGCAACTTGACCGACCAAAAACTTCACCCGCAGGTCATGTTGACCAGTCATGGTTTACTGTATTCAACAAAGCAAAACTAAACAAAACAATCTTTCACCTCACAAGACTTGTTAGATACTATGGAGGAAACACTAAGTGAGTAATGGTTGGGTAGTGTCTTATTTTAGCTTTGGAAGTCAATACATCATCTTGTTTCACTAAATACCACTCTTAAGCATCCATTGGGAAACAAGATGACTATTCTTTCATTAAGCACTTTATAAAGGACTCGTGAAGACTAGAACAAATGGTTTTGAGATTACAGCCTGA